CGTGACACTCAGATCTCATTACTTTTGGTTTCTTTCTTTTTCGTTGAGCCATCGAATACTTAGGTACCTAAGATAGCCAAATAAAATCTTTAAATCTAATACTCGAGCACACAGCCTAGCGACATTTTGGACCCCATCTAATGATCAAACAACTTGGCTGGCCCCTATGTGCGGCAGTCGCGATCACTGCGTCAAAACGTCTCCAGCGGCCAACCAGCGGCATTCCAAAACTCGGTGACTCCGGTTTTCCTATTGTTTTTTTAACACCGTCTCAAAACAATTTTTTAACAAGCTTTCTGCATATGTCAACGAAAAGTCATGTGATCTACATTGGCACGACAAAGGATGATCGAGACAGGGGTAACTTCTGCATACTAGTATCTAGTGTCTGAGAAGATGAGATAGGTGAAAATTCCCTCACAGCCGATGTCACCAGGCCCAACTATTGCTCAGACGCAAGGTGAGAGGCTCATCAACTTCGATGGTTTCGCTACGGTTGACGCATCTTCGAAGTCGTAAACTTTGTCCTGCCCATTGTAGCGACCTTCGTCACGTCTTTCCGCCTGTATTGCCGCGCGCGGCGACATCTTCTGTGGATCGATGACGGATTTGCAGCCGCCGCCATGATGTTCGATATCGCCTTGATGGTTTGCAGTGCTTTGTATCTGAGAGGCTACGGTGCGTCTGCTGCATGTGATGGCACACAATTCTGAAGACACTCAGTGCTTCACCCTCAATGGGCAAAGGTAGCACTCTATTACACGTGCGTTTCCAGTATATCGTGGTTCTTAAGAGACACTACAACTGCATACGTTAAGGTTAACACAATGCTTTTATGGAGTTATCTGGTGAGTGGCTATGAGCATGTTAAGGGGACAACTAACATAAGCGCACAGGTGTTCCCGATTATCCATCTTGTTTACAGTTGTGCGACTGGCATACTGGGGGACCCAGAGGAGGATACTCATCCGCATTGCAATCATCTTTGGCGTTATATGGGCTATACTTTTTGCACAAGTGTGGTGGACTTGTGAATCGAACCCTAGTTGGAAAAAGCTACCACGTCCGCAGTGCCCTCTCGGCAGAAATGTCGCGATAGCACAGATTGTCAGTAGGTTAACAGGATTTAATACAAACGATTACTTTTCTGACCTTATTTCAGCCGACGTTTGGAGACACTGTCCTTATCTTGGCTCCATTTCTTCTCATTTACAAAGCCACATTGACGACGCCACAAAGAGTCCGGGTGATCTGCCTGTTCTCTACATCAGCGATCACCACAGCTGTCAGTCTCACTCATGCATATTATGTCTTGACTGTGGGAGAGCTCAAGGAGGCAGTATCTGCCATGTTCGAGGGTACAGTCTTAGCGCTCAGTGCTCAGACAGGCTCGTTGATACCCGTGTTAGGCGTCTATATCTCTAATCGTCGCAAACCTAAGTGTGGTTGTTACATTCTTCTTGCGCATGCTCGCAGATGACGAAGGATGTCGCGACCACAGTTGGAATCAGGGTCGACTACTATAGAATTTGAAGGCGTCGGATCCAGAGTCGACGAGTAGTCTCAGCGGAAATTGTAACCATGTTTTTGATAACCGAGGAGTCAAGTCTAGCTAGAGGCGGTCAACTTCCTTGAAGGTATACGGTTTACTCGAAAATACTAACTTGCTCACCCTAATCATAGATTAGCTGCAGCAACTGTGAAACTGCAGCCAAAGTTAGATATAGCTATCACTGTTATCCCCAGACTGGCTATCTACGAACATGCAAAGTAGCTCGAGATACGACTTGCTCAGTAGACTAACGGCTACTACCTGGGATCATCGGAGACTAGGGTCATAGTAATCGAGGATGGAGATGAGGCAGCGGTGAACTTTTGGGTACGTATTTCAATTTCGATGGTGATCTTGACATGCCACCATCGGGCACTTTTAGTCTCCCCTGGTCAGTCTTCAGGATGATATCTGTTCCTTTGATCGAAGTAAGTATTTTTAAGAAAGGGATGTCAATCCAAGAGCCCTCAATTAAATCAAAGAATGTTGGTCGTGGGGCTGCGGAGTAGTAACACATGTGGAATGTTTGAATACTACGAAGATCGAAGGGTTATTCGTGACTTCGGGGAGAAGACACGCGGCAAAAAAGAAGACGCGGAAGCGCCCTCACGGCAGAGCAGGAAGCCCAGACTTGGATAGCTTGCGATGTGCGTGCTTCCAACCGTATGCACATCTCTCAGTCTATTGGTTCATCTATATCATTATGATGATAATTTGCGCTAGGATGAGGATACGCCCGCAGATTTGACACTCAGGCTACGTCAACACCTCAGAGCTCCTCACGACACTCCCGCAACTCTTCCACGCATTAACTCGCAAACAGAGTCGTCTCATCTAAAGCCTTTCTGCGTGCTCTGCATTCTCGAAGAGCGAATTCAAAAACACAAACTCAGATACACGGAGAGGTGATTTGACGGCGAGTAGATGGCGGACATCGTTACTTGGCAGGTGTACCAGGATGATAAATCAATGTAAGTGCGAGATTTGTTAGGTGATGTGGTGGGAACAGTCGATGGAGCATCGAAGGAGATTCAGTCATTGGTTGATGCAGTATCATGGGGTCCATGTTATGAGCCAATTCGTTGACGCTGAAGTTAGATTAGCGTGCACGTCCAAGGGGAAGCAGGTCATACCTATCGTACATCGCTATGAACAATCCATCATACCCGGTTAGATACTTGAGCAGCGTACTTGGCGAGTGAGATTAAAATTAGAGGTCAGGACGAGGGGAGCGAATGCCTGAACGTAGATTGTGAATCACGCTACTGCGAGAAATGGAGAATCAAGGCATCAGATATGCGCTGATATAACGTACCTCTGGAAGGTGCTTTATCACCGCAGAAACAGACTTTGATTGTGAGACTGCAAAGCAGTCACGTACACACGCAACGAACGCCACAAAAAGGTCGACGCCAAGTGCGTAACGACAGTGTCAATATCTCGCACAAGCTAGCTACTACACCGACGCCTAAAGGCTAACGATCCCTTTCCCACTCTTGCATAAATGATCGGCAGACGGATGTCTTGTCTATCGGAAACCGGTTCGGCACGCTCCAGCACATTCTGGATAGTGGAGGAGCGAACCCAATTGAACACAGAAACTGTCACTGTGAGGAAGTGAGTTGGTGACGTTCTGCGGTGAGGTGGATGCAATGGGGTTGGATGCTTTTTAGGTGTACGAAGACGAGCGGTTGAATGGTCCAAGTGCATGACGGTGTTTGGCTGGCTTTGGTACAGTCATTTGGATCCTTTCTGACCAGTACTAGGAGATGAGTGAACCCATGTATTTTGACAGGCGTAAAGGACACAAATTCACTCTGGAAGCACGAGCTTTATAAGGCCTAGTTCAACCAGTCCTGTACATGTTAGCATCGAGCAACTTGAACAGCAGTGTACAAATGCGCCGTAGGGACACACTTAACATCCCCGACTCACATCGTTGACGCCAACTACATGATTTAGCTTTTACATGCGCCGCATGCACCAGATAACTACATAAGTATCACAGACGAAATTTAAAATCAAACAAAAACTAAATTCTCCTGCTTCCCGCAGAGCACCAAACAATCATTAGCTCCATTGAGCATCTCCCGTGCTACACACCATTGGCGGTCAATATATGCACGCGCTCCTGGAAAGCGATTGAGGTCATGCTGGTCGCTGTGTCGGAGTTGGCCACGAGCTCAGCATGATATTCTCGAATGCCAAGGATCAGGCGTGGTCCCAACACAAACATCTGCACGACCGGCAAAATTTGAAGAAACCCCTCATACATCTGAGTACCCAGGGATGATTGGTCCTATAGAAAACGATGAACCGTGGTCGCATTCACAGGTCAGTGAAAAACTGGCATACAGATGAGTTTGTTGGTGACAAGAAACTAATGAGGCGGCAACAAGAAACAACAAGAAAGCTGGCATGTCCGATGCTTCAGTGGAAAAAGAGAAACATATTCACAATATGAGCTCACCTCGCAAAGTACAACATGTGAGTTTTCATCAACACCCTGAAACAGTCCCCAATAATTCCTCCTGTTGGATGTTGTCGCAGTTCGCTGAAGTGTTTTACAGCAACCCAGACTGCGAGACATAGTACGAAGACCTCCCACACAGTGCCGATTATCCAAGTAACGGAATTCAGAAGTAGGATATCTCTTGCATAGGCAGTCGTGCATTGATAGGTGTCAGAGAGGATGAGTTCCTCTGGTATACACCAATGAACTTCATGCACATTTTTTCATTCACAATTAAGCGTACCCCATGAAGTATGCAATGTTGTCATTACGGAGACCACTCCGCTGAAGATGATGGCAGATAGGAAGGTGATGACGAGAAATATCAGGATCTTCTTGGATTGTTGATACATGGCATGTAACCGAGCGATCATGATGACTCGCGAGATGTTTCAGTCAAGTTAATATCACTGTGGTCTTGCAACTGCAGAGCTCACCTCCCAGCATTGGATTTACCACAACGTTCATCCAATTCCATATGATGTATACAATCCGGCCTGAGGAATGCAGTCAGTGATCAGCCTCGGGTAGCGCACTCCAAACAGACTCACATCTATGGCATTCATTATAATGAACCAAGAAGCTGGTCAAGAGCCACACTCACTCCTGCAGGGCGTCACGGTTAATCGAGGGGGAAGAGCAGGCATCAGGGCATCAGTGCAAAAGACTCACTGCATCTGTCAACAAGATTGTCGGAATACTGTCTGTATGTCGCAGGTCAGAAGAGGCAAAGATCGTGGATGTGAGAAGATATACTCAGTATGTGAAAACTGATTGTGAAATGTGGTTCATCAGTACAACAACAGTGCTGAGCCTTCTGAACATACATAACATACAACATTCCAAGATAGCGCACCTAGGATATTTTCAAGAGTCAGCACGAGTTGTCAACCACAGCTGTAATACAAGCTACATACACTTAGATACAGAACAGTCATAAGGGACCAACGTTGCCTCTGTCGCAAATCAAATTTGTTCCTCTGATGTGTAATTCCGCTCACCCAGATCAGTTCGACCTAAAATTATTGTTAGCAAGATGGCTGCTCCTGTCACAGTATTAGAAATACCTCTTGTCCGAATGCAAGTGCTGAAAATACTTGTAGGATATCAGCTATTCTTAAATATTATCAAACTCACCCCAATCATACGTCACTACGGCGGCGGCGGCAACTGCGAAACCACAGTCAAGGTTGGATCGAGGCGTCAGCGGCAACGACAATCTCTGACTGCTCTCCACGAACCTCCAAAATAGCTGGCAACACGATATAAATTGATTGACGGCCAGTAACTAGGGTCGTCTGAGACTAGGGTCATAGTAGTACTGTTAGAGGATCGATGTGAGGGAACGGGGAACTTGGTGAACGTACGAGTGTTTGGGCTAGATATACAACCATCTAGCGCTTGTATGGCCGAGATGAGCATCATCAAAGGGGCTGTATCCGTTCTTGCCTTGATTGGCCAAGTATCTGAAGGAAACAGTGCAAAAGATGAACATCCTGGCTTCGGCAGCTCACTCCCGGTGTGCATTCTCATATTTAGTTAGCACCAAGGCTTCGATCATCAAAAAGCCACTCTTTCCTGTGTGCCACAGATGAAAACATGGCCGTAATAGAGAGCGAGCGTCCATTTCCATCATAACAGCCACTGTCAATATCCCGCTGCGGAATGATGGGACGCTAGCACACAAACACGTGCCATCGAGTCTACAAGAGTAACCAAATATAATAGCAGAAGCAAAAAGGATTGCGGCAAGTTAGTAGGTTTGAGGCTTCACTGACACAGCTAATGTGATGGACTTCGGACATGGCCATAATATCCTTGATGTACTGCAAATGTCTCAAAGCCTGACTACGACCGCGAGCCTCGCAGCCGAGAAACAACGTATACCCGTGGCATTCCCGACATTATGGCCGAATGAGTTGTACCCGTGCGAGGGAAAAAAAGGATCGTGCATACCTCCCAAGCATTGGTATGAGCAGCGCAGAACACCTAGCCAGACACTTGAGTCTTGAGCAGCGGCGTGTTTAATAATCGTAGGATCTTGTAGTAAAGGGGAGGAGGAAACTGGCAGAGTGAATGTCTGAGGTATGCATGAGAAACTCATTTGGTACCGACTCAAACATCGGATGCTTCAAGGTTCACCTACCTATGGCTCATATCGACGAGGTCGATCTTGATGGGTTTTCTGCTTGCGGGTGATGCATCGAAGGGCCAGAAGATAACGTGATTGTGACTCAGTTGGTGACTGTACATCAACAGGGCCCAACCACGTCACTTGTAGCTGCTGTGATGTTGTTAATCATCAAAACGCTCGCAAATAGGAGAAGATGAGCAACCCAATTTGATTAGGACTTAGTGGATGACGTCGGACTCCACATACCCTATGGTTATCCTCCTGGATCATGAATTATCCTCGAGGTGATCGCTGTGTGCTGCAGGTCGAGAGTACCATGAAACTGACTCGTACGTGAAAGCTCAAGGCTTCGAGAGCGAGAGTGGCGGTTGAGAGATGAAAGTATGGGGATATGTGAATGGAGATGACCCAGACAGGGCGATAAGATGTGATATGATGGAGGACGAGAGGGAAGAGGGTATTAGAGAAGCTCAATGTGCAAAGAAACACAAATGAGCCAAGGCGTGGCAGGCGAGGACGTACTTGACTAAACTCATGGGACGGAAGTATGGAAACATGATAGAGACCGATAGAGATGATGGCGAGCTCAAGAAGAGTCATACTATCCTCGAGTTACCAGAGATGCCTAATGAGGAGTAATTGGCGTCGAGAAATCCACAGATAATTTCTTGGGAGATCAGGCTGACGCGTTAACGGGTGGCAACCTGATCAGTTGTCCTGGGACACACAGGTGATGGAAAATAGCCTGCGTGTGATTTCGGGGTTAGATGTGATGTTTAAATGTTGTACGTCAGTTTGCGTCCTCCGAGTCATAAGTAGAGTGACTAAAAATGCACCTTTATCCAGCGCTGACAGGTGCAGCCTCCGAGTCCTTCACGCGTTCTGCAACAAGTTGGTCTGAAGAAGCACAATCTTTCTTTCCACCAAGGGGTGGATAGAAGAGCACTACATGTCGAAGTGTACCCATAACAGATCAAGCTTCAAGGGTGATCATGATCGATGGTCCAATTAAATTATTGGGACGGAGGCAGAAGTGAAATAGCCCCCGGGTGTTTCCGGTTTGGATACTTGGAGCTTCTCCTACTTACGACAAGTCTACTGTCGTATTACTGTCTTCATCTGAGCAACTAATGATTCGGAATTAGCTCTGGACGAAAAGTGCATGGGGACTGGTCTCCACGTCTGTTGTCATACTCAGAGTGAAACCGCATCCAGGTCAATGATGCCACCATCCAGCAGCTGCCCCAGATCTTGGTCTGTGAACGACAGACTAGATTGTCCTAGCATTTTCTCATTCGGAGACACCACCATCCAGGAAAATTTTGCCATCTTGCCCCTGGTCCTCACCTCGTTTGACGAGTCGTCGACTTGCTACAAATTCAATGCAGGCACTGTTCGCCTATCCAGGTTCTTCAAGTTTTCCTCAACGACTAGTATTGGAATTTAGTTCTTTTTGCCTTTAGACCTCGTATTGCCTTCTCGACGTTATCACCTCCAACACCACATGTAACGCAAATCCGTCTTGGCACCTTGCTTCTTGACCATACGAGCACTCCGCACGACCATTCCCTGGTTCTGTTACCTGATCTCATGGTCTCTCATATATAGTTCGTACCATCTCCATCACACCTCAGTATTATTCTTCGTGACTTACTGAGGTGTGCAATGTTTATTTACTTGTTCGTCACTCGTACTGATGTATCCTAGCGCGTCTCCCGAAGGTAGATATACCATCAATATAGTATTGTCCTTCGTGACTTCAAGTTACTGAGCGCGTCTCCTGCTAGTTTCACTAGCACCTTTAACTAGGGCACCAAATATTGAAGTTGCTTCTTCCATGTCTGATCCATTCTCGACTCGCTCTGGCATTCGGCCACTTGCCCTTGACATAGTACCCGGCCTCCCCACATCATGTACCATTGCGCTTTTGGGCAGCACTAGGAGATACCTTCTGTAACGCCATCACCCCTTCAGTTAATAACCTTGGAGTGTCACTACTGATCGGAGCTCGGCGAATTTAACACACTGAATCTCTCTCACTTACACGTCCTTCATCGCCATCATTTACTTGCTTAGCAGGTAGCAGTAAGTCTGAACTAGATGGTGTGACCATATGATTCAGACCTACTACTACCTACAACGATATATTCCAACGCTCTGCTTTCGTGATTTCTGAATCCCCTCATCTGCAGACAATTGTGGTAGATATAGCCCTATCAGGTACTGGTTCTCACTCTTGCCAGTGGGACGTTCGCAGACGTAGTTTGGTTGTGATGAGCAAAACAAATTGATTCCTAAGCGATTGTCCTAACCTTTTGATTCAGAATCGGGGAGCCACACTTCTGTTTGATCCTGCTATCTCGCTTGAAAGTGTCACTATTTTGCATTGTGCATCAAGTTACCATCGTCCTCTTGATAACGGTGTTGGCATGGTGGGCGGGCAAAAGGCGATTTTTAAAGACTGTGTGTCTCATGCGTCTAGCGCGAACTGGTGGGCATTTTTGGGGACGAAAGATCGCGAGCACACAGTATATCGCATCCATAATTCATACCATAAGCCCAGTGAAATGATACGACTTAATTAAGGGGGTCATGAGATACAATAGACCGCGAACCACAGCGTAACTTACTTTTTTCACGTGTTGCTGCTTTCAGGCATACACCAACACCAGGAACATAAGCATTACATAGCAGACATACAGCAGCTATATCAACATGGTATAAATACAACTTCGATTACGTTGCAATGGAACCTCCTATGCTCCTTACATCCAGTCTTCGCTGTCTGAAATCCCCTCCCATTCCCAGTCGTAGTCGTCATGGTCGTCGTCGGCCAAGTTCCGAAGTACCCTTAGTTGTTGCCATGCTTCTTCCAGTGCATCTTCCATGGTGAGATCGGTATCGGAATCCACAAAGCTCTCATACCACAAGAAATCCGATAGAGTTGGAAATACCTCAGCCAAGAGATATGGAACACGCGAAACTTCCAACACCTCCGTGTGTCCAAGATGCAGCTTTTGAAGGGCTGTTTGCGAGGGCCAAAGCTCCTCGGTCCCATCAGGTGCTCGAGGAGTTGTCGTCGGCCGTGTAGCATCGAGCGTCAGATGTAAGGTATGCAGCGATCTGCACCTTGATGCCATTGACATCATGGCGCTGAAGGTGACGGTACAACTGGCACGTCTCCTTGAAGCGAACCTCAATGCCTGGATATCCGGCCAGGCAACTGCGACATCATTGATGAACTTATCGTCAAGGTTGTAATTTCCAATGCCGACTAATATAACAGACGACAGCCTTCTGAACTTGAGCAAGGGTCGGAAGACTTCGGAGGGGAGTGGAATGGTGTCCTCGAATTTTTGTATATGTGATGTGTCGATCATATATATCTGTTGCAAGGATCCAAAATTTTGGCACAATGTGGACAAAGATTCCATGAACTCGGTGATTTTGGCCGGGGAAGCAGGTTCGGAATACCCGATACTGATGTATGCTAGTTGTCTGGCGGTGATTTGACGAAGGAAGTGTGTGGATTGTGACAAGGAATCGCCAAAGAGACAGAGGTGCCAGAGACCATGGAATTCGAAGGGCATACCACCCACATCGCAGGAGGTCCCGCGCAAAGTAAGCGTGAGGGATTGAAGACACTGAGCTTGAGGCTGGATATTGGTGATTGTCTGCCTCGTCAGGCCTACGTCGATTCCCTCAATGGCCAGTCTAATTAACTTTGGCAGCTTTCCGAAACTCGGAGGAACTGTAAAAGTCGTGGCACAATGGTTCGTCCTTATTATCAGTTCACGTAGGCCGTACGCTTCTGCAGGAAAAGCACCAAGTAATTGTTCTACCTCATACGTCTGGACGCCTCCAGGTACATCAAACGAGAGGCATTCCAAATTAGGCGACATGAACTGCCGAAGTAGCAAGAATTTTGAACTACACCCCGGCAGATTACATATAGCCTCGAAATCCAATGCATGAAGGTTTGGGAAGAGTATGGCTGGAGGGAACTGCTCGAAAATCCTCTGTAGGGCACGACCACTCAGGGTGAGATGTGGCTTCGGGGGAAGTGCGGAACTGATGCCATTAATATGAATCCGGCGCACTCTGGATGCGTTCATTCTGAGGCGTTCCCACTCAATGGGAGTTGGCTCTCTGGAAAGATCCTGCAAATCGGAGTACGGTGAGCATTGTCCAAGACTCCCATGATATACTTCACTCACGATAGTTTGATTCTCCGCGACCTCCCAGGTGTCTTGCGGTAAACACATGATGAGGGGTGCCAAACTTGACTGTGTAGACCAAAGGATATTGAGAGCGGGACCCGCCAACGTGGAGCAAGTCATCGCCACGTTCACTAAGTCCATCGCAGAGGACTTGACGTGTTCTAAGACAGAATAAATGATATCTTCGGATTCAAGAGCGCGATGCATGATTAAAAGTTGTTGGTACTCAAGCAACTGCACGATACTCGGTCTTATATAACCAATCTTACAAGAATTCACAGACCGACAGGTCTTCTGGTGATTTATTCGCCTGGGTGTGGCCACTTGTGGAGGTCGTAGCATTATGGACTCCATCGGCTGCTTCATTGTGGACAGTATGAGACGTGACAAGACATTGTTCCACATGGACTGTAGCTATGGTCCATCACTGTCGATAAACGGCATCTTTCCGCCAGATGCAGAGTACCTATAGTACGGTGTTTCCTGCAGAACACCCAGAGCCAAATAGACGCGACAGTTATCCACGTCAAATCGTGAAATCTTCATCACGTATGAGGAGTAACTTTAGGAGGAGAGCGCTGGCAGGATCCAGGTGCTGAGCGCTTTTTCTCTCAATGCCGACGCCTGTTCAATGGTTGTCCTCGGAACACCAGCCAAAGAGGTCCGAGCGTACTAATAATCCAAGCAATGGTCAAAGTCCAGGCTGCCGGGATAGCTCAGCTGAAGAGAACATGGTTTGTAATGATAACACTTCAATCACAACCGATTGTGAGCTGGAGCACGAAAGAGACAACTGGGACGCCGATCGTTATGGAAGGGCAAAGGAAGCACAGTGTAAAGGCAAGGAAGTTAGAATCCCACTCACATTCAGAACAATATGCACTGGAGCCCCATGGCCACCTCCAGATACTAGAGGAGTCCGGATCAGTCGGCCCACGTTTGTGCTGAGGGAGCCAAGCATCGGAGTTCAAAAGCAGAGGTGACACATCGTCTATCTATTCCATTTCCGAGTCACATGCACGGAATTACACTTGAACCACAATATGATTGCGTTTATATGGAAGATGTGTTGCAAAGGTTGTGTCTGGTGTTAGACGTTGAGTGTTGGCACCTAACTGACCTCGCGGAGAGACCTGGACAGGCATTGGTAGTAGTAGTTGACTAGCGCAGCTTCAACTGATAAAACTTTCATGTGTCAAGCCGACCATGTAGCAAACAAATTTCGTTTCATAAACCATATGCATATGCATACATAACATACGACATAGACGAGTAGGTAAACCAGCACCAAAACTCTCTTCAGAAAGTAACCTCCATCTCGATAAAAGCTGCGACCAATCAGTTTAAACGATGCCCATGTTACTCACGTCAACGATACGGCGGTAACGGCTACCAGCGCGTACATCGAGGGGACGACGTTCGGCCAATGCCATGTGTATGTACCATTGAAGTGTCTTCTCGGGAGAGCGCGGCTCGTCCATGTCAAGATGCATGGGGCGCATATGGTCTGGGCAGCGTTCCTTGCAAATAGGCGCCAAGGGATAACCATTGATCATTCCACGGAGAACGGTCGGGTCTTGCTCATGCGAAATATCATCATATTGGGAGTAAGGCCAGTATGACCGTGGATAGGCTGGCGCAGGAGTCGGGACGGCGACATGGGATGGAACTTCCCGAATATTTACACTTGGGGAGCCCGGGACTAATGTGTGTAGGGCGCGGGTGGTAGGAAGAGGGGGAGCGGGAGCGAGGGGAGGAGGGATATTCGAGCGATCAGTGCTCGACTTGGCGCGAACGCGTTCTGCCAGTCTGCCACTGCGAATATGGTTGTTAGGAGTCCGTAGTGCATCCACCGAAGCTTGATCAACAGTGGCTTTCAAAGAAAGTGCTCTGAAACCGGTGCGAGGGAGGCCCTCAGTTGGTTGAGGGGAATAGGGAAACTTGGCCAGCAAGTCCGCATGCGTCTCAACGTTTGCGCGAGTCAGCCCATGGTAGTATACGTGTTGCGATAGTTTGCCGTGGTAGATCTCGAGCATCCCTGGAGCTTGCTCGACGTACACGATGTCGGACTTTTTAAGGGGAGTCTTGCCACCGTGCGCGGGTTTGAACGCATCGTTACGAGGCTCGCACTTCCTCCCTTCTGAAGAGAATTCATATGGCATCGATTTAGAGTGCTTAAGTGACATCTTCTGGTCATCGTTCAACCTGAGGTGTGTTGATTAGTATGATGGCAATAAGTTGAACACGAAAACGGTCGACTCACTTTTGGAATATTTTCTTGAACGAATTCATGATTGATGTGAGGAAACAAGGAATGTAAAGTTGCAAAGAATATGAGGTGGTAGTGCGTCTGCTGGTGCAGGGAATCAGCATGTCAGTATATAAAGGTTGGGCTACTGTGGACGCACCACTGCATCCACAACCACAACCACAAAGCAATTTCTCAATATCCGAAAACCATTCGAGTGTGGATGCTCTAGCGAATGTTCCGATAACTTACCTAGAACCAAATCAATGCTATTTATGTCGCCACATTTGCATAACAAAGGTAGAATATGCGACAACCAAATAATTGGGGCACAGTTGCCACAAGCCGGCACAATGAATGCATCACGCGTCCTGCTCATTATCTCGAGCTCGTAGCTTGTGCTCAATGAGCGCGCGATAAAAATTTCGGCAATGAGGGACAGCACGCTGACTCGGGTGCACAGGGCACATGAATAGGGAACCACGTGTACAGGGATATTGACAAAAAACGGCTAGCTTCCTCCTTTAACTGTCTCGCTGGATAAAACCACTCAGCGTACCTTTAAAGCGCAATGCACCCGACCGGCTATATTTTAGTCCAAGTTGCGCAACATCGATAAAGACGTATGGTGCGCATTCAGGCTGAAATTGCAAGCAACCTGAAGGTAATGTAAACAATCAAACAATTATTGATATTAATTTCGATGGAATTACACACATGGAGGATGGACTCGGGGCCGATCATGGCCCTGAACGAGGCTGACACTGTTGATCTCTAGAAATATCGAAATACTCTAACTCCAATCAGAATGAGTGGATCGTCGGCTCCAAGGTACGAAGGTTCAGTTACCTGTCACTGTCATGGTCAAACGACTCAAATCTGGGACTCAGATTTACTTACTCTGACCATGCAATCCGCATACAATTCGTAAGCCAGTACAGAATCATGCCAAATAGCCCTGACTGGAGCTATGGTCGCAATCCGGAGTTGCAGCAATGTAGAAGACTATGATCACAATCATGATGGTTTTTACTTTGAAAGAGACTAGAAATTTACCTACAGCAATGCGTCAGCCCGCAAAACAGCACGCAGGGATTAGGTGGCTGGAAATAAATTCGAATGGAATCGACAATCCGCAGTCTGGCTTGAAAAATATTTCATTATGGGAGCTAAGAACTTTGCTAGTTTGCCTTCCAACCAATAGCCGGCGATATTACATAATAGAATAATATGTTTGGCTTTGTTAGGAATGGAAGCTCAGCGTCCTCATTTGGCATTACCATATTTATTTTTATCGAGAAATTCACCGCGTCACCTGTGAGTGGCGCTCAAGGATGCGCGACGCAAAGAATCAAGGCACTGAGTGGGTTGTACTAGTATCGTGATAGTCGATGGCCACGGCGCAAATTTCCTGAGTTAGTTGTATTTTGTCACTTAGAATATCGATGAACTAGCAGGGACCCGGAAAACCGCGGCCGTAATACATATGAGACGCGAGAGTATACATCTGCGAACCTTGGCGTAGCGAAGGCGTAACGAGAACATGACGATAACATAGCTAAACGTTGTGAAAGTAATGTGTGTAAGTCGTAAGAAAATAAAACTACTGCTAGGTGCGAATCCTCTTCGAAGCCGCACCAACAGAAACAAACATTTGTGCATCACTCTGACGCTTTCGAGCACCCGCACTGCCTGGGATATCGATATTCTCCTTCTCTGAGTCGGAGATAGCAAGAGTAAATAGTGGTCGAGATGGACTCCACCCGGGGGGACGGATCCCCTACTACACCATTTGACTCGCCTCCCTGCAGTTCTGCCGATTGTTTCCCGCGATCAACGGTGCGTGTATTCAATGAAGAGTTGTATATGAAAATGGGCAATAATGCCGGGATATCAATATCATGTGCCAACCTAGGCCTAGGTTCACCTAGCTACCGCTGTTCAATGATATGGAAATATTAGTCTCCCCGAGTTAAGGTATGAGTGGAGATCTGACCTCCTCCGCCAGTTATTGGTGGCCTGGAACTTAAGAAGGAACGCTGGAACACGAAGTGTGGCATGACCTTTATGCAGCAACGAGTGATCTGCGACGAATCTGAGCCTGACGCTTCCTTACTTCGGTGCGGAGTAAAGGAGCGCATCAACTCTCGAAGACACCAGGAAAGGACCTCGATTTTGGAGCACAGCCCCATCAAAGATATTTGAATGACAAACTTTTTAGCAATCGATTGCAAGATATGCCTCTTACAAAGAATGTGTTCTAACAAGTATCTGCACCGTCTGGACACATCGCGGTACTGCGATCCAAATCCCTATGGTGCATTCAACGACATCACTCAGCAAGAAGCTTCTCCACTGTAGCATCAATCGCCTGAGGAGTAGTTGTCGATGCCCAGCGATTCAAGACTTTTCCGTTCTTGTCAATCAAGAACTTTTCGAAGTTCCACTGCGAGTGGGAAGTTGCGTTAGCTGCATGCACATCGACGATCCAACCCTACATGACGAACCTTAATTCTGGAGAGGCCCATGAGCCCAGGCTTCTCATTCTTGAGCCATTGGTAAACAGGGTTCGTGTTGTCACCGTTTACGTCAGACTTTTTCATAAGAGGAAAGTTCACTCCGTGATTGAGCTCGCAGAAAGATGCAATGGCGGCATCATCACCAGGCTCTTGGCCGCCAAACTAATGGATATTATTGAGCTCTATATCGCAGTGAAACAGTGAATGGAGTAACCCACTTGGTTACATGGGAAACCGAGAATGACGAAGTCACGTTCCTTGTACTTGTCGTACAAAGCCTGAAGGCCTAGGTGTCCTTCGTCAGTTGCATATCAACTTAGAGAACTATAGATTGCACCTTTGTATTGGGGAGTGAAACCACTGGAGATTCCAAAGAGTGAATCACTCGTAGGTCTACCATAGTTACCGACTTACCACTTCGACGCAACATTGACAATCAAGACAACCTTCCCTTTGAGCTGTTCAAAGTCATACGTTTGCCCGCTAGGCAGCTCTGTTTTCAAATCATAAAAAGTGTTTCCAGAGGAAGAAGACATCGCTCGTCGTGAGAGTGAAGTTACTGGTTGGAGAGGTGAGGGTGCAATTCGGACAGGTTGACACCGAAATGGATGAAACGACCGGCAAGTCCCACCGATTTCACAGTGTGGGATGTGGCTATATCGCGCCGCCCCGGATCTGATGCTGGAATATTGTGTAACCAGGCATGATTGGGTCAGCGAAGGAGTGAGACTTTTGGACAATACGACCTTCATGAACGAGCATATCCAGACAAAATAGTTGGCGCTTAGTGATATTACCTGGACACGTGTTTATCTTATCTTTTGTGCTGTAACCAGAACGGTGAAGTTAATGCCGGCAGCGGCTCCAGCCAAAACAAACTCATGATAGGTTCCGTCTTTGGTCGACGTTGTGTGGAGAGTTTGTTTGGGAAGATATTCGGTGCTATGGGATAACAGAACGTGCTACGAAGACTAAGAGAATGAGGGAGAGCGCGCAGCGCCGTCTGGCCCCAACCGAAGTCAAGAAGAGAGGTGAACTGCGAGGGTGGGCGGCCAGCCTCGCAGGGACCTGGAAGGGAAAATTATGCTAATCGAGTCCACAAGAGCGGTTTTGCATGATGCGAGGCCCACCGTTGCGAAACGTGGTGGAGAGATGGTGGAAAGGGAGTGACGGGTGGGGAAAAGAAAAGAGCTCGACGATAGATCCGTCGAAGTTCTTGCTAGTGGAAGAACAGAAAGATGAGACGCCGTTCTTCCAAAGGCGAAACTTTCAGACCTTGTGCTGCCTCGCTTCGTCATAGAGTGAGAAACTACTGGCACGCTACTTAGCAGGTGAAGGACATATATTTCCACCACTGTCTCTTCAGTCGTTCCCACGCTACGGGTTATTGTATCGAGCGTACAGGACAACGATGTCGACAGGTTCTTACAACGGCTGTGCAGAGAGGTTCAACGTTTGTGTTCAAATAGCGGTGGGATATAATACACTGTACTGGATCATGTCACGTACAAAGTGCTTGCACTGGTATTCTGCACAGATTTAAATTGGTGAACCGAGGTATAGCTTTCCTGAAAGAAAAGCTAGGGCGGCCTGACCATCCAAACTGTACTGCAGAAATGTCTTAGGCTAGTCTGTGAGGTCCACCAACCCAACCTCCGTCCATACAAGGGAAACGACCTAAATATCAACCGAGTCAGTTTGAAACCAGAGTCAACTTGCTGTATCCGCGACCAAGAACACCCGCCCAGGCAAAAACATACAGCCCCGCGCGTGGAAAAAAGCGCACGACAGACATGACGCGTCCAAATTGGGCGACCAGGCTGGTGGATGTGAAGGTTCGGCGAGTTCGAATTGTACCGTACGTATTTTCCGAACGGGCAGTGACTCACTTATTGAAGTGCCAGATGTAGAGATGGAAGTAACCACTGGTGGGGAGTCCTCCCAGCCTTTGCTCAGATCCAGAAGAACGATATCAAGGAAGAGGATACTAGGCCAAACACACTGATTCAGTGGCTCGGGTGATGCGGAAAGCAGCACGCATTCTGAAGACCCCATTCCGACCAGGGAACCTTGATATGTGTCTCTGACTGCAGGGTCCTTCACGAGGAGATGACCATGTCGATGACTAGAATAACGGACGATATGCTGAAGGGGGCCTCCGAACCCACGATGGCACATAGCCGGGCATATGTACAGGCTGCTACGCATCGGAACGATGGGTTGACGTGTAGGACGGCAATTGACAAAGATGGACGGCTGAGGCGACCCACCGTCAGGCATCAGGTTCTTGCAATGCGCATACGGTTATAAGACTCGAGCCGATCACAACAATCGCTCGTTGGTCAACTCCGTGGAATTGCTGCACATGACCATCTCTTCGATCTAGTAAAAGACACTGCTTATGCCACACAGCAGAGCTCTCAAAATAGAGGAACTTACACTCTTCGCATGTCCCTTCCTCCAATCAATCACTTGCATGAATGTGGTGAGCGAAGCTATGTCGCCCGTTGTCTACGCAATAGTAGACAAATACACGATTGTCAAAGATTTTGGGCTGTTCCACAACATAAACAAATAATTGCCAGATGCATCATGGGTATGTTTACACTCCAAGGAAGTACAGGAAGAGTCCGGATGGGGACGCCAGAATGAAGCCGACCGATACTCCACTAAAAGATATGGTGATCTTGTCCAACGTCGGTTGCAAAGACAAAATCAGGCAAGGAGGCTATGACCGCAAGATCCTGCAGAGGGTCGACAGTAAGACCACTCAGCGGCCTGAGCTGAGAGGCAAGTGTGCGTATGGGCCATGTCCGGAAAAAATTGGTGTTTGCGTTATAATTCCGAAAGAAAAGACTGTCCTGTCCCAACATCCATACTTCGCACCCAATTGTGACCCTAAAAAGTGGCCATCAGCGGCGGCATCTGTGTCAGTGAGTCGTGAGTGCAAACAAAGAGGATGAGAAAGCCCGTTGAGTCCATTGGCAGGAGAGCACAACAATGTAGCACCTTCAATAAGGCCGGCCAGCCCGGTACACAAGAAGGACAAGCAAAAACCCAAGCCATCTGCAGCTGCGCAAAGCTGTGATCTTCAGGGAGGGCCAAGCCAGCGCTGAGAGATTGTTAGATTGACGTGTTCGAGATTGTAACGAGTCATAAAAGGAGCTCATTGTATGACACGATGCCGAGAACTGACAAGTTGTCAGGCGGATCCGCTGATTCCGGACAGACCTGCGGCGCAACCGGACGGAGACTCCGGAAATTCGGATTCCCGCCCCATATTTGTGCCTCGGGCAGGGTAACTCCACTCCGACTCATGCCAAACTTGTCACTTACCACAACGTTGTGTACTGCAAGTCAAAGGATGGTGCGTGCTCCACCTATGTCATACTCCGTTGACAGACAGTGCCCAGATGATTCAGAACGTGCGGTTCTTTGGATTTCCCATTCATAATTATCACAACTGACTCCCAGGCATCAACACTGGTTTCGTACGCATCAACAATGGGTGAGACATATACAGGATGCTGGCGGACTGCAGCAGTACCTGTGCCTCCGTCGCAACATAGCGCTCTTGCGTGACAGAGAGCTTTATTGGATGCTATCATCTCAATACTATTGCAATCGTGCAGCTGTACCGCTCGGATGTTAGCAAGCCACATTTCGCTCCCCAAAACTGCCGTATCAGGAAACAGAACACAGTTTCTACATCCGTTAGGTCTCTTTTCTAAGTGCACGACTTATTCATCCCCTGAATCTAGTGCCGCACTTGAGGCGTTCCATCATATCCGAGACAGGGAACAAGGCGTTCGGGATGCATACCGGTGCCCTGATTTTTATTCTGGCAGCCGTGAGTAGCAGCTCTCATTTCCGCCCTGCCACTAAAAAAAGTAATTTGTAGCTTCCGCGGGAGATGCTGTTGAGAGTGCCTCGTTTCGTGATACGAAGATGGTGGTGTCTCGGCACCGAAAATCGTTCTGGTTTACAAAGATGTTTACAGTGCCTGTTGTCAGAACAGCTGTCACGAGTTGATCACTGCTTCCTGGACATCGCTCTTGCCCAAGAGTCAGCCCAATATGACTCTTACTGGTCGTCAACGGGGCCTGAGTGTGCGTGTCTAGTAAGAATGACGGCGTATAAATGGTATGAGGATCCCAATCATTTTGATATTCATAGTCACTGTATACCAACATCGTCCATATAAACAAGACTCGTTCTCCCCAATATCTCTAACAATATGATGACCTCCTTGGCCCGCTTTGTAGTATATCTTGCTCTCTCATCATCTGTTCTCGGTGCTGCTATCCCCGCAACAGTGACCACAATATCTACCGCGGCCGCGACTTCTACACATTCTACAGACCCCTATTATAAGGAAGCTACTGGTGCTCTGTGGAAGAACAATGTTCACGATAAGGTCCATTTACCTGCGACAACAGCGACTACTGAAGGTGACCTTTGAAATACGTCGAGTTGCAAGCTTTTACTAACATACACTCCTTTGCGCAGTTCTCCGGCGGTCCGGGGAGCTTTGGAAGGGGAGAGAACACGAAGAGGTAGACCTAGTAACGGGTCTCTCCCGGCGATCTGGCGAACTCTGGCACGGATTGGAACATGAGGAGGTTTCCGCTTCCCCTAATCTTTAAGGTTAGTTCCTGTGCGAACCCCGCCAAAGCTCCTGCTGACGGGGCCCCACGTACAGCTATTCCGAGGCATCCTGAATCTGGTATTGATTATTCATGATTGAGGGACTCCAAGCCTTGCTGCGTATGCGGATATACAGCAAGTTAGCTACTTTGAGCCTTTGCTGTTCATTACCGACCTTCGCATTATTCTTTTTTTGGCCAAGTGCTACCTTGTAATTATTAATACCCATCATACAGCGGGACCTGTGGGCCTCTGAGGTCATACCTCACTGTATACCAGTCCACTTTGCTTCAATAGACATCTGATTACTTTTATTTTGTTAAGTTACTTATGACTGTTTATGTTTGTTGTACAAGTGGAAATGTACTTGTTATTTCGTGGAACTCATACCAAGCCTTACGAGAACGATTGAAAACGTGTGCATAGCCTGAAGCCTGGGGGCGTGTTGGTCATCTGGTATATATATGTAGTCTTCGCGTAATAGAGGCTTTGTTAATAAGATATTCAAGTGAATGCATTTCTCGAATAACAGTACTGCGGTGAATCGAGTATGGATGTTGGAAATTTCCATAGGTGCCCCGCAGTATTAATGTTTCCAAATTTAGACATCATTTAGCCGTATTACCATGATATATTCTTAGATCATTCTAGGGTTGCTTATTTTTAGTAGAGCCTTTAAAGCCTTCAGCTATGTCAGCAACTGACTACAATCTCATCGATTGTACCTTGAATGAAGGAGAACAGTTCGTCATGATCTCAATCACTGATTATCGATATCTTTTGCATCAGAATTCCATTGCAACGAGAAATCTAAGCTTATCAAGGCCTATCACTGTTCCAACCAAAATTAGAATTGACCTAATACTCTCTAATACTCCACTCGCCATGTTCCATTGACACTTAGTACCAGCCCTTTTATTTCCGTTCATGTCTTCATACCATGACACGCCTTATATCCTTTCGACGAGTCATGGCGACTCGGCGAGATAATTTGGCATAGAGAGCTCGGCAACATTCGGCATTACCATAATCGATCTCCGCACCATGCAGTATTTAACCTCCGCAGACAAACTTCTCAAGAGCGCGTTTTACCATTGTGCTTTACCCCGTTGTCTAATCACTAGCTTTTGTACATCAACGTTTCAACGATGGCGCATCCGAAGAACCTTCGTGTATGAGGATGGGTGAGTTTTCTTTCTGAAACTAGCTTTTTCTTTGTGGATGATATCTATATCACCAAATCCGAAGCCTTCATGGTGATGGTGAAAACACTAGAAAAAAAACTAAGAACAGCCATCTGATCCTCCTTCATGTTTTCATTTACGCGTGTGGCATTGATGCTGATTCTGTCTGTATCCATAGGTGTTTGAAGTGCGTATCGCCACGGTGGGCTCGCCTCCTTTCTTCATGAGGTTTGGTGCGGGATGTCTCGGGGGGTGACTTATCGAAATCAACTCGTACGATTGTGTTATCTTCACCAAACGCAAGGGAACATCCGTCTGACTTTTTTTGACATTTCCCTACGCGTTGTAGAGCATCACACATGGGCTTTGTTGTAATAAATGTTGTGCGTGTATTGGTACATAGTCGTGTATAGGCAGATATTAACGTGAATAGTTATCACTAACATGGCACGGGTGATGGTAATGACCATTAATGCGTAAACGTGTATATCTGGGATGGCGATAGTCCAGTATAATGGTATGTCTCGGTCACGGAGGTCTAAAGAGGATTGCAGTGAATATGATAGACGTGAAAAATACCTTGCGTTATGTTTTCTTTCTCAACATCTCCGCCATCTTGACTTCCCTTTCTCTCTAAAAGAGGGTTAATCGCAATACTAAAGAATCCATGCACGCTCGTACCTCGTCTGTAGCCTTCAGGATTCTCAAATTTTCGACCTCGCGGGCGCATTCTGCCATACGGTCCTCCATCTCCCTTACAGTCTCCCTCTCCGCTTCCAAGCGTTCCTCTTGAGCCTTGACCTCCGCTCTCTTGCCCTCCCATCGCGCATGCTCCTCCTCAGCACGAGCCCTTGCTTCAAGGAACGTGCTCTCAGCTTTCTGAGCGGTCATAAGTGACTTGTAGTGGGTAGCCTCTGCTCTGGCCTCGAGTTTGCAGGCAGCCTTGTGAAGATCTTGCAGAGCCGCAAGAGACTTGAGAGCCCGTGCCAATGCAGCTTTTTCCAACTTAGAATCTGTCTTCAGAAGCTTGGAAAAACGCTTCGACTCTCGCTCTACCGAAGGGCCTCAGTTATGAAGGAAACTCGTCATGACAGAATGCTCACGCTCATCCTTTATGATTTTATCTTTCTGTTTCTTACTCAAGGATCTCTCAGCGGTGGCGCCCCTGAGGACCACGGCTGCGTCTACATCTGGCTCGGCGTTCGGGCCAGTGAGAACTGACCCGCTCTGAAAGGCCGCTGTCGCCTCAGCTACTGATCTGGTCGTGCGATTACTTCTTGCTGTGCGCACGGAGGCTCTTCTCCCCAGCGAAGTGCTGCGCCCGCCGTCCATATTACCAGCGAGAGGTGCATCCTCGTCTATGTCCTCCGTACATACGGGAAGCGATTGAATCGACGGAGTCCTGCGGTCTGAAAGATCTTCGCTGTGACGGCTCGTGAACCCTGGGTGGTTGTCCTCCATAGTACTATCTTCCTTTGACAGCGGGGCCTTTGGACCTGAGATGTTACCGTTTGGTGTAGGAGTGTTGCCTGGATTGTTTGGCATTATGACGCTTTGCCCCTGATTATTGGATTCTTTGACGTTCTCGGACGGGTACTCGAGTGCGTCGAAGTACTGTGTTTTTTTACCGGGCGTTGAGGACAAACCAAGTTCCATTGGTTGGTGTGTCAAAAGGATCAGACTGGCTTGGCTTGGAACACAACGTCATTCATAGGACGACGTCACCGTGATCGGTGACGTCCTAGATGACTCAGCGCTCAGTAGATCGTGATCATGTCCTCATGCCCGCACCCGATATGCGTGATCGAATTGTGTAGTGCACACAACCATGCGCCGTGCACAGTATTTGGCAATAGCAAATGTTGCAACATGTACGCGAGTAGAACGTACAATCTGAGTGATGCGCATAACTATATAGATTCAAATAGTAGCGGTGACAAACTTGCAAGTAAAGAAGCGAGTTGTCGAAATTCAAGGAGTGACTTGTTGATCTCATCGAGTGGTCCTCAAGGTCCCGCATGCAGACAGCAAGCAGCTCATCAGACATCGCATCTTATCTTACCTCCATTCAAATACAAGTGTGACATTGATCCATCATGCAGAGGTTAATGTATTCGACATCGTGAATATTCACGACTCACGCCGTTGACGCCAACTACACAAATTAGCTTACATGCACCATATAACTAATAAATACCACAAACCAAACTTGAAATCAAGCGAAAATAAAATTCTCCTGCTCCCTCCAGAGCACCAGACAACCGTCAACTCCATCGAGCATCCCCCGTGCTACACACCATTGCCAGTCGATATATGCACGCGCTCCTGGAAAGCGATTGAGGTCATGCCCGTTGCTGCGTCAGAGTCGGCCACGAGCTTAGCGTGATATTCTCGAACACCAAGGATCAATCGCGGGCCAAATACGAACGCCTGCACGGCCAGTAAAATTTGAAGACACCAACCCAGGGAAGAATTGTTCTATAGAAATGATGAACTGTGGTCGCATACAGGTGTCAGTGAAAAACTGGCATACCACTAAGATCGTCGGAGTCAGATCATTTATGAGACTGAGACAAGAAACAGCAACAAAGCTAGCACGTCCAATCCTTCAGCAGAAAAAGAGAACCATATTCACAATATGAGCTCACCTCGCAAAGTACAACATGTGAGTTTTCATCAACACCTTGAAACAGTCCCCGACAATTCCTCCTGCCGAATGTTGTCGCAGTTCCTTGAAGTGTTTTACAGCAACCCAGACTGCGAGACTCAGTGCGAAAACTTCCCACACAGTGCCAACCATCCAAGTAATGGCACCCAGAAGCGAGGTATCTCCTGCAGAGACAATCATGCACTGATAGGTGCCGAAGAGGATCAGTTCCTCTGGTATACATCAATGAGCTCCATGCAATTTTTTTGATCCACATTTGAGCATACCCCCTGAAGTATGCATCGTTGTTATCACGGTGGAAACCCCATTGAAAATGTTGGCAGCGAGGAAGACAACAATGAGAAGTATCAGGATCATTCTAGATCGTTGATACATGGCATGTAACCGAGCGATCATGATGACTTGCAAGATGTTTTAGTCAACTCAATATCATTGAGGTCTTGCAACTGCAAAGCTCACCCCCCAGCATTGCAGTCACCGCAACATTTATCCAATCACCTATGGTGTACACAATCCAACCTGACGAGTCCAGTCAGTGACAAGCCTTGGGTAGCATACACTCCAAACAGACTCACATCTGTGGCAGTATAGCGTGGCAGACATTAGTGAACCAGAAAGTTAGTAAAGAAACATGCTCACTCCTACAAGGCACCATGGTTAATTGGAGGGTAATAGCTGGCCTCTGTGCAGAAGACTCACTGTATCTGTCAACAAGATTGTCGGAAGATTGTCTGTATGTCACAGGTCAGAAGAGACAAAGACTGTGGATGCGAGAAGACATACTCAGTATGTTCACGCTGATTATGAAATATGGTTCATCAGTACAACAACAATGCTGAACGTTCCAAACATACACCGTAAATAACATTCCAAGATAGCGCACCTAGGATATTTTCAAGAGTCAGCATGAGTTATCAACCACACCTATAATGCAAGCTACACACACTCAGATACAAAACGGTCATAAGTGACCAACGTTGCCTCTGTCGCAAATCAATTTTGTTCCTCTGATGTCGGGCTCTGCTCACCCAGATCAACTCAACCTAAAATCATTCTTAGCAAGATGGCTGTTCTGGTAATACATCAACGTACCTCCTGTCCGAATGTAAGTGCTGTATATAGTTGTAAGAAGTCAGCAGTTCTTTAATATTATCATGCTCACCCCAATCATACGTCACTATAGCAGCGACGGCAACTGCGAAACCATGTGCAAAGTTAGATCGAGACGTCAGCGGCAGCAACAATTTCCGACCGCTCTCTACAAACCTGGGGGATAACTGGTAGCACGATATGAATTGATTACCGGCCACCAACCAGGGTCGTCTGAGACTAGGGTCATACTAGTACTGTTAGAGGATGTATGAGTGTCAGAGGATCAGTGCAAGGGAGCGGGGAACTTGGTAGACATACGACGAGGGAGTCGGTGCTAGATATACAACCATCCAGCGCTTGTGAGGCCGAAATGAGCACAATCAAACGCATTATATCCGTTCCCGTCTTGATTGACCTAGTATTTGAAGGTAATTAACAAGGAGAAATCAGACCAGGAGTCTTCAAAAGAACAACAGACTACAATTATAGTAGGAACTCCCACATGGTTCCGAATGTTGAAACACTGCAAAAGACGAACATCCTGATTCCGGCAACCCATTCTCTAGTTAACACCGAGCACCTGTGTGTCACCATAAACGTTACTTATTAGTAACACTGATGCAATCAGATGTTTGTCACTAACTAGGGGCGAAAATCTGTACTGCGGTACTATTCAGTGAATCTCGCAGCACTCAGCAGTCACCTTGGGTGGGGGGAATATATGTTAATTATAATAAAATGTATATATGATATATTTAGCGTAGTATCTATTTATGTACCCTCGGAACTTGCCGCCGTTAGCATCACGTAGCCTCTCCGCTGTTTCCCACGTCCACTACACCATCGAGCTCATTGTCTCGCACAACGAGCTCGATATTTAGCTCAATTCTCATAGTTTCAAGGCGCTTTTTTTGTCTCTTGTATTACTCTCCCTCTTCCTGCTTTACCTTGCTTCATTGTTACTCTTACACCACACATCTGGACCACACACCAAGAGGCTATGGGGCGCAAGAAAATGTTGACATCCTCACATGTGAAGATGTCTGTTCTCAAATCTTCCAGCTCTCTCCATACAACAACAGCCTCACTCTCTCAAATTCAATGTGAGCGCTTGGATGCAGAATGTCGCTGTGCAGAATTAGCCAAACATATGTATCCATTCCTCCTATGATTTTTACTAACCCTGATTCAAGAGAATACCCAACAAGTGCGTGCCCTCATTGCAGAGGCTCAACTAGAAGTTGGACCTGACTATGAAGACCCTATGTACAACTTCAATGATTCAACCTCCATGTATGATGATGCCAATGATGGACATCAGGATAACAAAGATGACATGCCGCTTTTCTCTCAATTCCTCTGGATGACCACTCAGGAAAGGTAGGTACAACATCTATATTATACTTCATGCCTGCTCACTCATTTTCAGAGGTATAGTCAACCACCAGTGCTATGATAAAAGGACACAAACTCAATGCAACCTTCATGCTCATATTGCATGGTCTGAGCAACTCCCCACCTTTACTGATTCCTACTTACTTTGGAAGCATGGGTCACATGAGTCCGACAGAGATAATCACAATGCTGACTATAAGTTTGAGGTCTGTGGTGTTGGTATAATGGATGCATTTTCTAAGTCTTTGCATCATGAGATCTTACAGTTGGTTGTTACATAGATCTTGTCATCTTGAACCTAGTCTACTTGTTTTGCAAAGACTTGATGAGCCAGCAAATGCCACATTGTCATGTTTGGGCCTCCTTGAGTGTTTGTCATATCCCACAATCCGGACCCACATTCCATAATATTCCCACGCCTTCTGAGCCTACGTCCAGACCCCATATCCGACTCATTGCCAGATCCCCTTCTGCTGTGTGCTCCACACCTCAGTAGGATCGACTCTGCTCCGGATTTACCCCTGAGCTCTGGACCTCCGGATCCTCACTGCTAGCCTGATCTGTACCACCCTATGCACACTCCATCCAGCAAGACATCTGGACTTCACCTCATCTCAGATTCTGGACTATATCCACCTCCTCATATTCTGGTCCTGTATCCACCTCATCTTCTGGATCCCCAGATCTCTGGACCTCCAGATATTAACTCCGGATCTATTCTCACCCTCTGTCTGATATCCTGCACCTATCCCCATTTAGGCATCTCTGCCTTTCTGGCTCTCAGTTACCTCTTCTTCTGTCTTGCTTATTGATCCTTGTATGAGTCTTCATCTCCAAGTTCATTTAGTTATGTTCCGTCGTACTTACTAATGTGTTTCCACATGCTCGTACATAACCCTGCTCCTTTGCTTACTGATCCCCTCAGATATTCTCCAGTATATAACCCCTGTTGATACTCCTGTAGTTTCCTTAGTTTGAATATCATCTTAGACCTTGCTCTATCTACCCAATCCTCTCTCAGACTTTTGTCCAGCTAAGTCTGTCCTATCCATCAGGCCTAGGGATTGATTCCCTAGGCTGGAGCTCTGCCTTTCTGGCACTTCCCCTCTTTCTGGACTTAGGTCCAATCCCTGTCCCTCTGACTCTACCTTAGGGTAGTCTTCCCCTGTTTGTTTCTACATCAGATGAAGTCCAATGTAGCCCCTATTCCTCCCATACCTTCAGATGTCCTGTCCTCCATACCTTCGGATGTCCTGTTTCCCATAGAAGTATTACCTTGCAGTGGGAACTCTCCTGAGCACTTCCTGAGCACTTCCTGTGTCCCTATGGAACTCTCCTGCACTCCTGTGGATGTTTCCTGCGCTCCTCCGGAAGTCCTCTAGCACTCCACCAGAGTAGCCAGCCTCCAGAAGTCCTCTGGACTTCATTGGACCATCATTGGACCTTATATGAAATGAAGGGCACATACTTGGGTAAGGGGCACAGCATACAAGCTGAGGCCAAGCCCCTCTGAGTCAGTCTCTCTCTCCTTTGAGCAACATGGTTCTTAACACCTCCACAATGTGAGTAATCAAATGGCCTTGTATGATCTTGCATTACTTACCCTGCAGGTGGCATATTCTTTGTCATTTTGGAGTCAATTCACTATAGCATTTGACATCTATCTCAACATATTGTGCCATGTTCAACAGCAGGTTAATATTGCACTTAAGAGGGATCTGAAAGACTGGCACTTCCAAGGTGCTTGTCCATGTTGTGCATTTGAGGTATGTCACACTGCACATTATTTCTCATTTGTTGTTTAACATCTCAAATGTTCAGCAACTGAATGAACCACAGCTTATCCCACAGTGATTATACAGTATGGATGACAACCACTCAACAAAATGTGTTGATGGTTCTGGATCAGCAGATCCTCATACCTTCCACAGCTGTTAAGGTCACATGCTCAAGGGGGGTTGGACCACAAGGGCTTGGCCTCTGCTCATATGCTGTGCCCCTTTCCTGAGTATGTGCCCTTAATTTCTGGGGGCTGAATAGTTGTCTGGAGTTTCTGGGTTTTGACTAGGGTGGACAACAGATGTCCGGGTATGAAACATGAGATAAATCCAGTAGATGTCTGGATGTTGATTGGATAAGGAGGTAAGGCTAATCCAGATGAAGTCTGGACTAGAAACTGACAGAGGATAGACTACCCTAAGGTAGAGCTGGAGATGTAATCTAGGATACAATTCTAAGACTTGGATGATGATGAGAGAACTAACTCAAGTCCAGAGGGTGCAGGAATGAGCAGGAACTAAGATGATATTTGAACTGAAGTATTTCCAAGAGTTACAGGAGGTTTATATACTGTAGGTATCATATAGGAATCAGTCAGCAAACACAAAGGCTATGTACAAAGCATATGCAAAGTCTATTAGTAAGTAGGATGGATCACTAATAATGAATACTGGAAATGAAATGTATGTAACAGATCAGTAATCAGAAGGGAAACATAGTTAACCAGAGTCCAGAGACAGGGGAAGTCTAAATGGGGTTGGGCACTGATATAAGGTTTGGATTCTGGAAGGGAGATAAAGATAGATCAGATCATTGGAGATCTGGATCTTGGATCTGGATATCTGGAGAAGCAGATTTAGAGTTGAGAGTCTGGAATGGCATATGACAGTATCTCCCCCTTTAGGCTGAACCCTTGAGGCACAGGGGTTGGAAATGAGGGTCTGGAAGAAATGAGTGTGAGATGATGGAGAAGTTGTTGGGGAATCCAGGGAACAGATTTCACAGATATAGTGTTGCCAAAGCATCCTATTTGATTCTTACCCCCCACATTCTTCCACTAGCTTATTCACTATGTCTGGCAACTCATCTAACCAATCTAACAAGCCCAAAACTGCCAGGAAGGAACTGGAACTGCATCAGGCCCAGATGAGGGCTGAACTGGAGACCAACATCTGCTTGGCTGATGAAGCAGAAGATTTGCATTTGGGCCAGTGAGAACTGACTCACTCTGAAAGGCTGCTGTTGCCTCAGCCACTGATCTAGTCGTGCAATTACTTCTTGCTGTGTGCATGGAGGCTCTTCTCCCTAGTGAAGTGCTGCACCCACTGTGCATACTACCAGTGAGAGGTGCATCCTCATCTATGTCCTCCATACATATGGGAAGTGATTGAATGGATGGAGTCCTGCAGTCTGAAAGATCTTTGCTGTGGTGATTTGTGAACCCCAGGTGGTTGTCCTCCATAGTACTATCTTCCTTTGACAGCAGGGCCTTTGAACCTGAGATATTACCATTTAGTGTAGGAGTATTGCCTGGATTGTTTGGCATCATGATGCTTTGCCCCTGATTATTGGATTCTTTGACATTCTCAGAAGGGTACTCAAGTGCATTGAAGTACTGTGTTTTTTTACTAGGCATTGAAGACAAACCAGTTGGTTCCATCAGTTGATGTGGATATAATAGAGTCATCAAGCAAGCCCCACTTCTGACAACTACGCTCAAGTTGACATCCTATGTTATATAGCAACCTGACCAGCATATTAGGTGGTAGATGCTCAAAGAGCCGCTTCACCAATGCAAGGGAGTAATATTGCTTCTTGCCAGCAGAGGTCATGTTGATAAGCCACAGCACTCAATCATGTCAACAAAGTAATGCCATGAGTCCAGTGTCTGCAAAAAAGTGCATACTTGCTTTTTCACACTTTTCATCTGCTGCCACAAAGGACTTGCTGCACCCATCCAAGACAGACACTGGAATCCTCATCCTGTCCTCATACCCATCAGGGACCTCTTCAACTGGTTGCCTTGGTCATTTGTGTGTCCCAGTTCCACCCCCATGGCAGTCATTGACATGGTCTTCCATCACCTTGACATCACATTCAGGGATGAAGACAGTTGGCGTTGGGTTAGGTGGATCTTGCATGCTACCATTTCATGGGTTGTTGGAGCACTTTTGAGTGAAGCAGGCATCAACACAAACGATGCAGTTGACCCTAATAAAATAATGAGCTGAGATATTGAGTCAAATTTAAGTATCTTATGTGGTGTCGGGATCATGATGTTGCTGCCAGTCACTCCCACTGAAGCACAGAGGACAATGTGAAGAAAGGTAAGTACTTGGCTGACTGAGAACTTGTGGTATGCCAGGTGTTTCATGAGAAGCCACTGTCTGCACCAGCACACTGAGAATTTGAGATAAATGTGGTGAGGTAGTCCAATGACATTATTGTCAGAACAGTATACCAATGATACACATTGCTAAACTGGTGTCTAAGACTGTCCTATTGGCTGGAGTCAACATGACAAGACAATGAAAACAGTGAGTGATAATCTGACCTTGGTATTCAATTTATAACCTCGCTCATTCAGAAACTTTTCTAGTGCATCGCACCACACAGTTGAGTTGGGAGTCATCTGTACAAACAGATTTTTTACTAGCTCCAAAACCTGGATGTCTATTGCAAGAGACAGGGTAACAGGAGTGCATGCAAATAACCCATGTGTCATGAGTTGGAGTGGTGCCAGGCAACACTCACAGCAGGAAATGGTGATGACTTGCAAACCTAATATTTATGGTGAATATAAGTAAAGACCCTTGGGCCACAAAACACAGAACGCACAGTCAAAGAGTACACAGGTGACTGCCAGTTATTGCAGGCAACAAAATGCACTGCAATATAAATTGTCTCTGGTGAGGAGACCAAGGTCAGGGTTGGATTGCAAGGATCCAATCACTGGCAGTAGGCAAGGTAAGGTTTGATGAGGGAAGGGACAACTTCTTGAGACCATCTCTGCCATTTATTTTGCTTCTTCTGGAGGCCAGACAGATGTGGGCATAGAAGGTTGATAGGACCATTGGGCTCATAGAGGAAGTTGCTGAAAAGAGGTTCATCAGTGATGAAAGGATCAATATCTGGAGGATCAGCACCTCTAGGGGAATGTGGGTGACTTTGATCTTGAACAAGTGAGCATTGAGATGAAGATCCAATATGTTGGGTAAAATGATGCTGGTCAGATAGAACAAGAAGGGGGGGTGCAAGTGAGTGGTACAACTGAGAAGCTCAGTGTTTGCAACAAACCATCCACAGTTCACAAATGATAGTTGTCGGCTGTGAGTCTGTAGGAGTAAGAGGTGGCAGGTGATCAGAGTGGAAATGCAATGAGGGACCCACATGATGGGGTGGCAGGTGATCAGAGTGGGGATGCAATGAGGGACCTGCATGACAGGGTTGTTTGGGATGCTGCACAGCCATGAGATGTGTAGTCTTGATGTCTAAGTGCTGTAGGATGCGAAGTCACTGAAAGTGTGCATAGTCAACATGTAGTCAGACTGCAGAGGGTAAAACAGATGTTGATAAATTGGCTAATGAGGACAAAGAGAATGATGACAAGAAAAACAATAGAAAGCGATGATCAATATATGTATTAAAAGCAGGAAAAAGATTGTGACATGTAAGTAAATGGGCAAGACTGTGTTATATGGCAGGCAAAATTTGGCAAGGTTGTGTAAGTAAGGGCACATCAGTAAATAGGGTAGATGAAAATTCAAAAATTGTATCCATTGGGAAGCCCAGCACAAATAATTGGGCTGGAGTCAATTGGGAATTGTATCAGGCAATTTAGAAAACTTACCCATGAGACTGGATTAGAGTGTTTACATGTGCCAAGTGTGGTATATATGACTGAATGATACTCATGTGAACAGTAAACTTGGTCAGATGTAGGAGATAAAATACTCACCAATATGGTCACTACCCTGGTGTGGTTGAACTGATGATTACAGTGAGATCTTGCGGATGCAGTGGAAAAATGACTTGCCCATTTTAAAACAAGTCAAGTAAGACTGGTTATCAGAGAAGGCAAATGGTACTCCCAAGAGAGTCTTCAACCCCACTGGTGCAACAACAAGAGAGCAGCTGGGGTGACTCTCCAGACATGAAGTCTAGGAGATTGCTTTAAGTGATGTGAAGTCAACTACAAGCAATGTGAATGGCATGTAGCCAGTTTGATGGGTCCAGGCGCAAATGTTGAGACAGAGAACATAGCCAAGTAAAATCCATGGCAGGGAAAAGGTGATTGATAGATGTAGGAGGTAGAGGTGAAGGTGAGAGATCGATGATGAGTAAATGGACAAAGTTTGTGTGTAGTGCAACAACTGCAACAACAAGACCAAACAAATGGATATCGATATGATCAATATGATAATATCCTCTGATAAGATCTCAATTCATGCTGGAAATTCCCAAGACTCATCCAAATTTCCATTCACAGTCATATATATCAGTTTCCCCACCTCAAATTCCTCTCATGCTCTCTCAAGCTCCTCACCCATTGTATTTGTCACCCCTTCAAGCCGTCTCCCTCTCAAAATTCGTGCCTGGACCCATTGAACTGGCTATGTGCTGTTCACATTGCTTGCAGTTGACTTTGCATCACTGAAAGCAATCTCCTAGACTTTGTGTCTGGAGAGTGTTACAATCACATATGCCCCTATTCATTTTCTCTTACCTTGTATTACATCATGAGCTGCTGTAGGGATTTCATATTCTGTGGGCTTGTATAGGCAGATATTACTTAGTGTTATGTTCGCACTTTTGGTGCTTATGTAATCGTCATAGTTCCCACCCCCTACCAGTACCAGTCTGAGACTGAGCAGTTTTTAGCATGATTTCCTACTCTCTCTGAGCACTGAGCTTAGTCCAGAAACCCTTTAGGGTTGAATAGCAGCTAGGCATAGTGTTAAGAACCATGTTGCTCAAGGGAGAGAGAGACTGACTCAGAGGGGCTTGGCCTCAGCTTGTATGCTGTGCCCCTTACCTGAGTATGTGCCCTTCATTTCAGAGGAAGTCCGATGATGGTCTGACAAAGTCCAAAGGACTTCTGGAGGAGTGCAGGAGAGTTCCAGAGGAATGCAGGAAGTGCTCAGGAGAGTTCCCACTGCAAGGTAATACCTCTACAGGAAATGGGATGGAAGGATAGGAGGTCCAGAGGACAGGATGTCCAAGGGTTAGGAGGATGGAATGTCCGAAGGTACAGAGGGCAGAACATCTGAAGGTATGGAGGGTGGAACATCCAAAGGACAGGATGTCTGGAGGTCCAGAAGGAATAGGGGCTACATCGGACTTTGTCCGATGTAGAAGCAAACAGAGGTAGACTACCCTTAGGTAGAGTTGGAGAGACAGGAAGTGGACCAAAGTCCAGAGAGAGGGTAAGTGCCGGAAAGGCAAGACTCCAGTCTAGGGAAGTAATCCCTAGACTTGGGACAGAGACATAGGGGACAAATCCGAAGGTCCAGAATTCTGGCCTAGGGAATCCATCCCTAGGCCTTATGGAAAAGGACAAACTCAGATGGACTGGAGTCTGGAAGAAGATTGGCAAGTAGAACAGGATCTAAGATGATATTCAAACTAAGGAAACTACAGGAGTATCAACAGGGGTTATATACTGGAGAATATCTGAGGGGATCAGTAAGCAAAGGAGCAGGGTTATGTACGAGCATGTGGAAACACAATAGTAAGTAAGACAGAACATAACTAAATGAACTTGGAGATGAAGACTCATACAAGGATCAATAAGCAAGATGGAAGAAGAGGTAACTGAAAGCCAGAAAGGTGGAGATGTCTAAATGGGGATAGGCGCAGGGTATCGGACAGAGGGTGGGAATAGGTCTGGAGTTAATATCTGGAGGTCCAGAGATCTGAGGATCCAGAAGACAAGGTGGATACAGGACTAGGATATGAGAAGGTGGATATAGTCTGGAATCCGAGATGAGGTGAAGTCCAGATGTCTTGCTGGATGGAGTGTGCATAGGGTGGATGGGACAGGGGGGTATGGATTAGGCTAGCAGTGGAGATCCGATGGTCTGGAGCTCAGGGGTAAATCCAGAGCATAGTCGATCCTGCTGAGGTGTGGAGCACACAGCAGAAAGGGATCTGGGAATGAGTTGGATATGAAGTGGGGTCCGGATGTAGGCTTGGAAGGTGTGGGAATATGATGGAACGTGGGTCTGGATTGTGGGATATGACACATAGCACATTTAGCCCAGCATTAGAAGTCTACTTTCCAGTTCTCTTCTTGTTGTGTTTCCCACACTGCATGATGCTGCCGCTAGACTTATCTTTGACTCATTCTTGTATTACATCACAATCACCACTGCCATCACTAGATGACTCATGTCCCTACTCTGTAGTTCTTTACTTTAATCTACTAGGTTTTCACCTGGACATTCCTTTGCTTAGGACCTCTAATCCTAAGTAGTCTGAATCAATATTCAAGCTGAAGACACTCTCTTCATCTTGTCTTATGACCCTTGCTTTTGCAAGGTCTTGACTTAACTTCAGCTGTCACTCTTATCAAGCTGCTGTTGTTACGATTATCCTAGTTCATAACAGAGAGTCACCCCAGCTGCTCTCTTGTTGTTACACCAGTGGAGTTGAAGACTCTCTTGGGAGTACCTTTGCCTTCTCCTATGCTAGTTTCTGCACTCACTGCCTGCCTTACAATTTCCCAAAACATTTTCTCAAGGTCTGTTTTCTTTAATTGATTTTAATACTCATGTCTTTGCAGGCTCACAAACTTCATTTGGAATACACTGTGCTTACTTTTCTACCATGCTCCCTGCGTTGCAATCACACAGGCCTGTTCATAGTTCATCTTTGTGATGTGCATTCACTTTAACTGATTTCAACACCAAACTTATACAATATTACAGATACCAACCATAACTATGCCCACTGTGTTAACCAAGTTCACTCCTTACAGCCGTCCAGATGGTAAGACTATCATTTCTATGCCATCTTTCATCTTCTGACAAGATGTTTACAGTGGCTATCGGTGCCCTGGATGCCAGAGCCATTGGCTATCAAGCACCACTTGTTATCACTACTCTGAATATAGATTGGGTACTGGAACTCCACAATGACGATCTAGAAGAACCCAGGGCTCAGGCAGATGGATGTTTTGGAGTGGCTGATTTTTTTCAATGGCCACAGATGTATTGTAAGGAGTTTGAATATGCCATCTGCATCCCTCACAAGGATACCTCATCAATTGACCTGCAATTTGCCTGGTTCACTCCCACTACAGCTGACTTTGCCATTCAACCTGGGACTGCATTTGCCATCAGTACTCTACACTCACATATTGTTGATGGTATTAACAACTTGCTTACCATTGCTCACAAGTGAGTTCAACCATGGCAGGCAAATCGTGCAGGCAAGAAGGACATTGTCATCAACATGCTTGCATCCCTCAAGCATGACATCAATGTGCTCTGCTGACATCCCTTGACATACTGTGATATCATCATCTTTGTTGCTCAAGCACAACACTCATTCCTTGACATCATAGCTTTCATGGATTATGTTGAAATAGTCTAACCTTGTCTCACCTCAGGCTGGTCCTCTTGGGGTCCACTTGAAGGGAACTCAAGATGGATGGGTTACTTTACTACTGATTCAAAGACCTGCAATATATATCTCAATGCTGGCATGCCTGTGTGGCTTGTTTGCACGGAGGTGTATATTTCTCCCCAGATGAACATCATCAAACCTGTCATACTGACATTCCCAGATGATCTGATAAAGAATGTCTATTGTGAAGGCAACATCATGTGACCATTCCCCCTCCTGTATTGTGGCCCTGGTGGCTTCAACCATCACTTTCATACCCATTGGGCTTATGCTAGCACTTTCTCTGTGAACCCTGGTGCCCCATTGCCTTCGATACTGCCTCAAAACCCAGCTAGTGGTAAAGCCCCCTCTCAGGGACAAAAAGATAAGAAGGCATGAAAGATTACTTTGTCTCAATTGATGAAGCTGAGTGCATGTACATCTATTGTAATTGATACTAGAACCTTACCAACTTTTTTTCTTTAGAAGATTCTAAGATTGCTGACACTCAACCTAACTGTGACAAATGGGAGGACCTCCACTGCCCAGAAAACCCCAAAGCCATCGGCTTTTGGACTTCTGCCTTCCAGAAAGCAAACAAGGACAAAAATTGCATGAAAAGGGTCTCATTGACCAAGGGTATTAGTTCCCTGAGCCTGCGCTTCTCATCACTCCCAGTTCACTGGAGCAGAAGAAATTGTTTGTTACAAACTGGCTTGCTGCACAACTACTGTGGATCAGCTGTGTCAATCACAACCTTCCAGAGCACTTTCCCTCACCACAACTTTGGTGAGAATTTCTTAACAGCAGCCCCTCTGGTGAGCCATCCATAATAGCTTTGTCATCATCTGCAGGTCCTACTGTTGCAGCTACACAGAAGCAAGCAGCCACACAAATATTTGGCAAACATATTCAGGATGCCCAGGGTACCACATGGGCCATTGGTGAGAATGTGCAATGGCACAATATGACAATATCAATAATATCTCTTTGTGACCCTCCTTTGCGCTTGATGTGCCTTATCCTCTGGGAGTTGTACAAGCTCGATTTCTGTTATGAGCTTCTAGCTCTAGATTGAGTCATGGCCTGTGCATTGTGGGAGGAGTCACAACATAATCACTAGGATCTCCTTTATAGTATTTTCCCTGAAGAGGGTGGCTTTGTGATGGGGTCATCAGATAATTGACACTTTCCCCTATGTTGACAATTTCTGCAAGTTGTTGTCCTGCTGGGAGGATTCCCCACCACGCCTCAATGCGCCATTGGATGCAAGTGTGTTTGATGCTACCATGTACTTCCAGGTCATGCAACAGGCTTGTGATTTTTATGTGCAATGTTTCTTTGACCACTTTGGCAGGCCCCCCATCGTCCTACACTGCTTTCCTGCATAATATTTCTTCTATCTGCAAGTTTCATTCTGCAATCTGAGTTATGGTAAGCCTGTTTATACTATACATTCTGTAGCCCTAAACTCAACACAGCTGATTTAGTTCTGCAATTATGCCATGTCTGTTCAAGGCACGTGTTTCTTCCATATGTCATCCAACTGTGGCCATTAGTGCTGAGAATTTGTATATTTGTTAGCAGATCTAATACATCAACTGTCAACTGTTATTTGGGCAAAGCTATGTTACTGATCATATTTCACTGACCTGAATATGCTGATTGCAATGTGTCTCATTTTCCATTCCTTAGTATTGACTGGCCCCAATCCCTCAGCCAACCCAATATCCCACATCTTACATACTTAGCTCCGATTGTTTGGCCAGTGTTTAACCTAATATGGACCCCTGAAACCTAGTATGGACCCTCTGAACCTTGATATACAATGGTGAGTCTTGCAGTGAACATAAAAGTGCATTCTTGACTTATTCCATGCAAATTTCCCTCTTTTCCACTGTACCTGTTGTTCTACTCACTGTTACATCTTGGTTCCCTGAGGTCTGACTGCATGTCAACTGTATTTCCTTCTTGTGACTCCACATCCTGGAATACTTGGACCTTCAGACTACACATCTTACAGTCCATTTTTGAACAATGACCAAGCCATCAACATCTTGCAAGGTCGGCCCTCCTCGCAAGGCCACCCCTCCTCACAAGGTCAGCCCTGCCCATGCAGTGAAGATGAATCACAAATTTGGAAAATCTAAGGTGCGTGGTCTTTTTACTATTTGCAACAAGTCCCTAACCCTTAACTGCTGCAGCTCCCAGATACCTTGCCTATTGCCAATGGTTCTGTTGGAGATGGAAGCCCTGAACCATCCCCTACCAATAAGGATTCTGGTGCACTTGCAGTAAGCATAACTGTGTTCATCCTTCTGCCAACTTACTGACAGAACTTCTTCAGGATGATACCACTGTGGTTGACTTGGATGTAGATGGGCCTACTAACAAGCATTCTGACAGTCGCCTTCCGACCAATGATGAACTTGTTATACCAGGTATTATCTTAATTATTTTGTTGCATGTTTTTACTGAGACATTGATCATCCAGATAGTCCTGATATCCCAGTACTCCTCAAGAAGTGCAAGCTATGTCAGCACAGCAAAATATCTTCTGCAGCGTGTGAAGTTGATGAATATTCAAGTGGTATGTTACACAAGTGTTACTGTATTATAGTACTCTAATGCCATGCCACCAGAGGCCTCTCCTGAGGGCAGCAACTATGAACAGAGTGAGCCAGGCTCTGACAATGATGATGCTGACAAGTCACCCATGCCTTCTTATACATAGCCTGATCAAGAAGTAGATGAGGATTGCGTCTCACCTGCACCTCCTGCTCAAAGGGCCAAGGGTAAGGGGAGGGAGCTGCCTTTCCCTGCAGATGATGAAGACCTACATGATGTTTAGCATCAGGTTGACCTTGATGATGGTCAGCAAGAGGTCGACTTTGATGAAAATTCTGGTGATTCTCTTATGTCTGGCTGACTCCCACAGGAAGCCATTGATAAGGCCGTCACCTTGGGTGACAAAACAGTTGCAGAGGTGGAGAAGATTGCCAAGGAGTATGGCAAATCAACACGCATGATCTTGATTCAAGCTGGGTTAGCAGTGAAAACTACTTGGGCTGACAATAGTTGGAACATGTACCAAGCATGATACAAGATGAAGTACCCCAAGTCTTCTGACAGTGAGTAGTGTCCAGTACCCATCAAACCTCTTCCTTATGCTATTTTTTCAAGTGTCTACAAATGACTGGAAGCAGATGCAATGCATCCATTGGCTCAAAGACTCCAACCAGTGTGAAAACCCCAAATTATGGAAGGAGGTCTGCAAGTTCTGGGACGGGAGCTCCAGGACCACAGAGGAGTCCTCAAAAGCATTATACAACCATGTCATGGCTGTACATGATGCCTTTGGCCTCAGTGTAAGTTTGTATTGTTGATATGTTTATATGTTGTCTGAAGTCATTTGCAGTGCCAAGCTTATTTGCACCTTGAGGATATTTATGTGGGGGGATTTGTATTATACACAGGTACTGCTGAAGCAGGTTAACGAGTGGCAGGGGTGTTCACTGGGTCACCACTTATCCTGGACCTTGTCAATAAGAAGCAAGCAGACATCAGAGAACTTATTGATTACTTGACGACTGTCATCAAGTAATTATCTTTTCCCTCTACATGTTTTGTGATATTAACTTGTGTTCTAGATACAATTGCATTGATGATACGGCTTCCTTGCCATCCTTTACTTGTTTTATGGCTCTGAAATTCAATCCTGAGCTTTCTTGTGAGAAAGGGGAGGGAACTCATGACTGTAATTGTCGTGTAGCTCCCATCATGATGCTAGAAAAATTTGGTAAGTTCTATGGCATTCATATCTATCATTGTATTCATGCTAGCTACAGAAGGTGTTGGTATTCTGTATGAGGCGAAAAATATTCCCTGGAAAACCATGCTCAACTCACTATACCTTCACCAAGCACAAGTTGCTGACTGGCCTGCAGGTGTCCCTCCTGTGGGCTCTGATTTTGTATTCAAGGACTTGAAGACTGACAAGCTGAAGGCACTAGTTGGTCCCTACTTAAAGCATTGCATGGGCTCTGACTACAATGTGGAACTTGCTCATGTTAAACACCTGGAGCTGAAGAAGACAAGGAAAGATAAGTTAAGTGGGGTGAAAGTTCCTGAGCAAGAATTGATGTTCATACCTTGGTCAGATGGTAAGATTGAACTTTCTTGTATCATGGTGCAACTCACTCAAATTCTGACAGAGTCTAAAGACTTGATGAGCAACAAAGATTCTGACATGTTGAACATCCCCCTCATCACCAACACAGATGGTAAAGTCCAATGCACTCTCATGGATTGCATTCTGTTTATGAAGAATCTGCCGCCTAATATTGAGGTTCCAGACCCTGCTGCTTCCCCTCACAATTCTCTAACTCCTCAGCCCTCCTCACTACTTGCCTGGTCCCCTTCTCCACCACATAGGGATCACTGCAAGGTCTTGCCACTTCCCCATTCCAAAGTCACTCCTCATTAACCTTCATTGCAGCAAGGTGTTGTCATGCATACTTCGAACCCTCGACTTATGTCTTGAATGACTCAGCCTGTACCTAGCGTACTTGTGAAATCTTGCAAGGCTCCAGAATTCCCACCTATTGGAAGTGCCAATGAGATGAGAGTGATGGTGAGGATAACAAGGTGCTAAGACGCATCAAGAGCAGCACTACACAGTATGTCTTCTGCTTTTCACACAAATTCTATACTTATTATCATAACTAGCCATTATGATCCCCATGACCATCAGCAGCAGTGTCATTCGCAGCACCATCCCACTCATCCCACTCATCTACCTTGTCATCATAGCCCATCACCACCTATGCGCCATTCTCATCAATATACCTATGTGCAGTCCAGATCTCCTGTCCAGTACCAGTATGCTTATACCTGAGAGTCTGCCCCCATTGCTGGTCCATCAAGGCATGGTACTAAGGCTTGGGTGTCTCCAACAGAAGAAGAAGAAGAGCAGGAGGAGGAGGGTGGTGGCTATGATTGTGATTACTATGAAGATTATTAATGAACTTCACTACCTATCTAGTCATGTTGTCCATCTCCCTGTGCCATCTTCTTGGACCTTATATTCATTTGTCTCATAGTGCAGTTTGAATGAATGTCTTGATTGATGCACATCACACTGATATAAGGATAGTGACATATATTTAGCATGACTTGTCAATGTAAGACATTAGGATTTAAGACATTAGGACTTATGACATTAGGATTTCCTGATCATCTAGTGTTGGTGCAAATTCCTAGTGTGATCTTGACTTGGCAGGTTACTATTACACACTGGGAATTCCCAACTTTGGAATATGGGGGTCTGGATATTCCCAACCAAATAATATGGGTGATCTGAGAATCTCCAACAGCAGAATATATGTGGTCTGGATATTCCTGACCTGGAAATATGAGTGGCCTGGCAATTCTCAACTAGAATATATGTAAGCCAGGAAGTCCCAATCAAGAATATGTGACCTGGTAATCCCTGATACATCAATATAGGAATTCAAAACATGATCATATGTGGCTGGGGAAATACCATCATGACATTATCGTGACATTATATGTGGCCTGGGAATCCCCACAATGATCATATAAGTGGCTTGGAAATCATCACTTGAGCATATACTTATGGTCTCCATACCACCCCTTCATGATCCCTATACTACCCTCTGATGGTCCCCATACCACCCCTTCATGACCACTATACCACCCTCCAATGGTCCCCATACCACCCCCTAATGATCCCTATACTACCCCCTAATGATCCCTATACTACTCCCTAATATGATACAAAAATCAGCACAAAGGACCCCTGACACCACCCACAATACGGGGAAAGCCCATGAGAATTGTCACACAAGTATGTCCCAGGTGGACTGGGAAAGCATTGGTGTTATCCCACAGGACTTATCCCACACCTACAGTATAATGGGAAAACCAGAGGAATCACACCTCTTAGGTTGATACTTGTGTAGAGGACTATCAACCTAATATATATCTTTTTGGGGGTGACTGAAGTGCTGATCCCATCATGTTGGGTTTTCACTGGGCCTGAGACCCAGTGAAAACCCACTATGGCATGGTACAATGAGAATGGGCATGATAAGTTTTTTTTCTCACCAATGCAAAAAATCAGAGACAAGCATACAACATCAGTAATAACCACATATATTGCATGAAAGGGCACTATTTCCTCTGTTGAGATAAGACTTTTGTGTGATTTTCAGATTAGAACATATCACACCATATTATGCAGTGCAGTAGAACAATTTTATTCATATGATGAGAACAGGCAGGAAATAATGTGCTACAACAATGTGTGATGTTCACACCTTTCAGTCTTATAGTACTGCATAACCTGTTGATAGGATGTGTACATTGACCTGCAAAACCAGGTGTACAGGACACTAGCCGGTCTCTGCACTGCCTGTATAGGCCAGCCATGCAAAAACCTTGCAGGCCGATGCCTCAGACAGAAAATGATATCTCTGCACTCCCTGTATAGGCCGGTCATGCAGAACCTTGCAGGCCAATGCCTATAACAGAAAATGATATCTCTGCACTCCCTGTATAGGCTGGTCATGCAGAACCCTTGCAGGCCAATGCCCCATAAGTAGAAAAGATACCTTTTGCTGATGATGTAGGACCCCTGCAGGTTCATGCCTCATATAGAGAATGATATTTTTATGCTACTTATATAGGTGAAACCAGCATATCAAAGTACAGTTATCAATCAGTACTTGAGACATGAAATTGAAAAATGAAGTACTGTGCTTTTACAACACTTTATACAAACTCGGTTGTATTTTTCCTAGCAAGTAGTATGTGTCAAAATTGCATATCTGAAGTTTCAGAGAAAAATATAAAACTGTTCATGGACAACACTCAAAACAGTGAAGGGACCTCTTTTTGCTCATTATCACTCCATGAGACATGTGACTCATTAGCTAATCTTTGCTTATTGAACATTAGCAAAATCATTATCAGTTGCCAAATAGCAGTTCAGAGGTATTATTCAGGCCATAAAATGAATTGTGGATGTGTGAGATGCATTTTGTATCATGGAGTGATAGTGTCTCAGGGACTGATTGATAACTGTAGATCTGGCCAACCTTGCACCCTGAATATTTATGCAGGCTGTCCTAAATGCTCTAATATAAAATGAGATTCCATACAGGAGTAGGTCTAGCCAACCTCACTCATGTAACAAAAGATATAATCTCATACGAGATAATATAAATGGTGACTGAATAAAAAATAAAAATACAGTCTACCTGCACTCCTTGACTAGGGAGGCTGGCTTGACAGGCCAATACATTATTGATAGGCCAGCTGGCCATGTCCTACATACTGCACAAACTGGCTGGCCCAATTGGCCAATATGTTATCAGTAGCCTGGCTGGCCATATCCTACATACCGCACAGACTGGCTGGCCCAATGGGCCAATATGGTATCAGTGGCCTGGCTAGCCACATCCTACATACTGCACAGACCGGCTGGCCCAATGGTCCAAAAAGTGTTCAGTGGTGGCTGCCCCTGCCCTGCATACAGCATAGGGTAGCAGGCCCACTGGGCCAATATAATATCAGTAGGGTGGCTGACCATGGCCTACATGCTGTACAGACTGGCTGGCCAATAGGCCAATAAGTTATCAGTGGGTTAGTCATTCCATCTATGCATACTGCTGAAGTATTGTCAGTGCTAACATCAATGTTACTCAAAATAGACATGAAAATTGAGGTGTATATGACAACAAACTGCAAGAAGGGAATTCTAAGGTATTGTGCTAATGATAATGTCTCAGTTCTTATACTTCTTTGAAGCTACTCTGTCTCTGGAAGAGCGATGAGGAGGATCAGGAGGAGCAGATGTCTTCACCTTTTTTATGACTGAATCATCTACATCTGTTGCTGGGCGCTTACCCTTCCCTTTTCCCCCAGTGTTAGTACTGCTTGCCTTCTTTGATGTGGCAGCCCTCTCCTCAGTCATCTGAGACACCTCAGCAACCCTCTTTTCCTTAGCAGCCTTCTTCTCCTGAGCAACCTGAGCCTCCTCAGCCACCCTCTTTTCCTCAGCCACCCTCTTTTTCTCAGTTACCCTCTTTTCCTCTGCCAACCATGCCTGCTCCACCTCCCTCCTCTCTTTCACCTGCCTTTTGTTCTCCAGACACCTCATATGAACTTCTTCCCCCACTGTCATCTGCTTCTCATTATCATCTGGCAGCATTGCGTCCACCTTCACCTGGATTCTGGTAATTGCCTCTTCAATCTTGTCTGTCCCCTACCTCAAAGCCAAGGATGGAGTCACTCAAATATTGAGGCACATCATCTCCAGCCTCATCTGCTTCATACTCCTGAGCGCGTTGACACTCATGAAGGAGGAGTCCAAGGCCCAGGACAACAATCATACCCCAACCATGAGATTTGATGATATAGTTGCCTATTTCCTCCAAAGCCACAAAGGATGCCTGAACATCATTGTGCATATTTTGAGGTAGATATGCCTCAGACCATGTCCAAGATGCCCAGACAGGCAGATGCTGCTTCCTAGCCTTGCCCTTAGGATCTGGAGTTTGCTTTTAAACAAGAGTCAAATTTAATGCTGTATCACAAAAGTAGTGAATTATACATACTGTGTTGGAAAGTTTTTGAACTGTGGCCAACAGATGACCATATGATGGGAGGGTAGAGAGGGATTGAAGATAACTGACTGTGTCACCACCCATATGGAATTTTGGGCAGGAATTGGAAAGAGATAAGGTGTGGCATTCCAAGTCTTCCTCTTCATCAGAAGCAATGGCTTGGGGGTCTTCTTCAATACCTCGTCCTCATCTGATGATACTTCGACATATTTTTAGTTCTTCCTTGATTTTTTACTTACATCCCCCTTCTTAGCCAGTGAATCATAGAAGTCACCTTCCTTATACCCAATAAACTGTACAATTGGTTCATTGCAGTTAGCATGATATTTCCAAAGTGAAAAAATCATACTGATGGCTTCCTTCTGCAGGTGAGAAGGATCCTTGATGATGACATTCCAAGGGATACAGTCTATGTCAAGGTAATGGTCTGGATCTTGGGTAATTTGACCCCAGGGGACTGCAGCACGAGGGTTGTTTGAGATGACTGCTGTTGAATGTAAGCTGTCAGAAAAATACAGTATTTTGAAAATAGAAATGAATCACCATAAGCCTTTTGAAATATCTTTCATATGACCTTCTGCTGGTTCTTGAGCATGAGAGATTCAAAGCCTGTTGGTAGGCAAGGATAGCCCTCATCATCTACATCCACTGTTAAATTGGGTAACTTCTCATCTTCCTCATCAGATTGGTCCTCAGGGTCTATGCCTGTTGCTAGATCATTAGGAATTAAATACATTACAGTATCCAAGACTTACTGTACTTGGCTTCATTCAGCCAGTCAGCAAGTCGGTCTTGCAACTCTCCAGCCCATTTCTTGTTTTCTTTGGAAGCCAGAGTAAAAGTTTTCTTCGCAGTCCTGGGACAGGATTCCCAGCTAAACCAATAGATTATTAATAGTAATGTCAATGGGAAAACATAACACTGACATGGTTGTTCCAGGCATTTTGCCCTCCCCTCAATCATGAGCTATGAGCATCACAACATGTAAACCCATAGTTCTTCCTGCCATCTTTATGAAGTCCTCCATGATTTTCTTCTGGTGTTGGCTGCAGTATCTGTAGATACACATGAGTTTTTCCTAAATATAGAAAATGTAGTGTTAAAAAAATACCTGTCCTTGGCATCGGAATGAGGACCTTCCTGGTTCCACTTTTCTGCCACAAGTCTGAGCTCCTCATGCACATCTGGTGACAGGGCATTGTACCAGGACTGGACCAGCTTTGTCCTTGTCCCCATGGACCTTAGGTCAGAGGTGTCATGGTGCTTTTTGTCATACTCCCTAATTTCTTCTTTGAACAATTTCTGGGCGACATCAAAAGTCAAGAATTCAGTCTTGAATGCTGCAGCATCCAGAGGCTTATCATCCTGACAGTCTTTGACCATATCTACAGTGATGATGCCTGCACCAGATGTGAGTTTATGAGCTCCCTCAATGATTTTTTGCTCAAGATCACAGTCCTCATTGTCCTCCAGAAAATGCAAGTAATATGTATGGATAGCCTATAAAATTAGATTAATATAGACAAAGAGACTGGAAGCTCACCTTCTGAATGTTATTGCCTGGAAGCATAGTTGAAGGATCCTTAGCCTCATTGCTTTCAAGTATAGTATCTTTGATGTTTTTGAGGATTTTTGCCCTCTCAGCAGGGTTTCCTTTAGCTGAAACATAGGAAATCTTGTGCTCATCCAAAACAGCCTTGAATACATGTGTCCAGTCAGCCATTATATGCAAAAATCTTGAGAATGCAGGCCAGTATAAGTTTGCAGAATGTGTAACCAGTCCCAACTCACTTGACAACAGATCAACAAACCATGTCACATGATCAAAACACAGTCACATGCTAATCACGTGACTTCACACAAAAATCACCCAAGTACATCTGGCCAACACAAAAATTCAATGACATTAGCTTATACACCAAACCTCAAGATTCACAAACACCAAACAAATCATTAATAAAACTCATAACAGTGATCACATTGAGCAAAAGTAAGACATGAGGTAAATATTGCTGAAAAACATGTAAATCAAGCCAAATTTGAGCTCACAGGAATATCCAACCAAGTACTACCATGCTTCCTACCAGAATACAGTATGGTGGACCCTGGTGGCTGAGAGAACAAGTGGCTTACATTGCAAGAGTCATTTTTGCACTCAAAAATGTAACTCTTGTCCTTGCTCCCATTGACAAAGGCAGACCGCCATGAATTAGCCCAACCACATCCACTGCATTGGATAGGCAGGTGGTTGCCCCATGGATGGAACTCCAAATGAGCCCATGCAAACCTAGAGATCTTGAGGGCTCCCTCCATGACAGGTGTTAGCAGAAATACATCAGAGTGGTGGCCAAGGTCACAGGACTGTGCAGGCATATCCTTGAATGCCAACCGAATTGGGCACTGTCCAATGAGAACCTTCTCTGTGAATGCAAGGAGCAAATGGGAGGCAAAAGATGGTTGAAAGCAAGGGGCATTGAATGCCATGGTAGTGGTCAAGTTGTGTCTATTGAAACATTAGATCAAGCATGTCAAATAATGGTCAAATACACTTACTGAAGAACAGCATCTTGCAAGCCAAGGAATGACTTGGAGTTGGTGACAACTGAGCCACTGTAGGGAACGAGAATCCTCTAGGCGTATATCACGCATATTTCGGCCCATGACAATTGGTATAGTGTGCAACTCACTATCTAGGACTTTCCCGTGAAATGCGCCAGAGGCGCGACACTTTCCCACATTATGCGACGCATTCCTGTGCACGCACTTAGCACACTCTTCCCGCGCTTGGTCGCACTTTGTCGTACAGCATCCCAGAGCATCCATCCATCGTCCAACCAGTTCCCTAGTGAGTCCTTTCTTGTTTATTCTCATTATCAGACCATATTTAGTATTAGTATGACATTATTTCATCATGGACCCTGACTTACATACTTAGAGCGCTCCCTATTCACTTCCGAGCCCTGGGAGCGCACCTAGGCACAGCTTACCTGTTGCCTAGGAAGTTTTCAAAAATACAGCTACCACCATCCAGTAGTCATCTAGCAGTTAGAATCCATCATGAGTTAGCATCTATCAGAGTCATTGCCCTAGTCACCAGCAACAGTCCATTATCACTCAGCAGTCTTAGTTCACGCTTTCACACCTTTCACCAGTCTTTTACACATTTGCGCACTGCATGCGCCTTATTCCCATGCTCCACGCTCCTACGCGCTCAACATTCCCGCGCATGCGCCCCCAGCGTGCTTCACCAGAGTTGATCCAGCATCACTTCGTGGATCTTGCTTTCTTTGCTTCCCTTAAGGGTCGAACACATCGCTTGGCGCACTTCGACCAACACTTAGAGAGTCAGTAGCCTTCCTCTCACCCCAGAGGTAGAGGCCTTCTTTCTTTCTTTAGCTCTGCAAGCCCAGCAGAGTTGTTGAACCTTCACCACAACACAGCATCCACAGGTATGATTCCTCAGCTTGGTTGATTATACCTTGCCAGGGGTGGAGAAGAATTTCCAAGAACTAGAACAGAAGTCAATAATGGTCATGTTAAAATAAAATAAAATAAAATAAACTCACATCATTGACTGGAGTGCTGACATAGCCCTTTGGATCATCATCCCCATACCCGGTAAAAGGGTCTCCGAATTGGTTGTCAGTGTGAGTGGACATGCCAATGACAACGTGCTCCCAGGTAAATGATTTCCCCAAACCTTTGATCATCTGGCGCACTTGAGTTCGGTAGGGGGCAAGCTTGGCATCTGTAGTGATGTCGTAGTAGATCTCGAGATATTGAATGCTGCTGCCAGTGAAGTAAGGCTTGAGGAACATGTGAGTGAACTCAAAAGGGCTAGCAGCTGGATGGAAGCCAACAAGGATAAGGTGGATGAAGAGGACTGGAGCAGCCGATATTTTGGCTTGCTAGGACACCTCAAGTGCACCATTGATGGCCAAGAACCTGTCCAACGATGGAAGGCCATTGGTGTTATAGAAACCCTGTAATCAAGTAGCATTATCTATGAGCTGTGAACAAATCAAAAGAAAATCAAAAAGACTCACAAAGTAGGTGCAGCATTGTTCCATTTTGATATGGCAACAAATACACCTGAATGAGATGTCCTCTTGCAGGACTTTAGTATGCATGTCAGGTGGCAACTGCAGGCACATTTTGCAGACTACTCTGGGACACAGAGCACACATGAAGAGAGTATTCTCTTCAGAGTGCTCTGCACCATCCCTGCAGATGATGCAAAACTGAAAGACAAAGTAGATTAGCAAATAGAAGAGAAAGACAACACATGCTAGGCACACCTCATTGTGAACAAAACTCTTCTCTAAGTTGCCACCTCCCACAGGTAAGGTACCCTTGGTAGTAGACAAAGCCTTCTTGTGCTGGCCTTGTCCTCCAGAAACATGTGTTCTTGAGGCCTTGAGGAGGATGCATGGTGCTGAGCCACTGTTTGACTTCTTGGTGGTCATCTTGGTGCGGGCCATGGCTGCTGATGAGGGAGAGCAGGCAGAAAAGTTGAGAATGTAGTCAGTACACCACACCTACAAACACCAATAAAAATGAACAAAACAAACTCACTTGACAAAAGAGGCATAAACTGGCTGGTTAGCAAGATGCATGAGCAAACAGACACATTGAGAACAGAGGATCAACTCACCAAAGACATGTAGACTGGCTGGATGCATGAGCAAACAGATGCGTTGAGAACAGAGGAACAACTCACCAAAGACACATAGACTGGCTGATCAGCAAGACGCATGAGCAAACAGACACATTGAGAACAGAGGATCAACTCACATGACAAAAGTCCTAGGTGCAGACTGGCTGGTTAGCAAAAGAGACACGTGAGAAAACAGACACATTGACAAAAGAGGACAAACTCACATGTCAAAAGAGACACATTAGCAGAAGAAGCACCTTGAACAAAAGAGCAGGCAGAAAAGCTTAAACTGTAGTCAGTATACCACACTTACAAACACCACACAAAATAACTCACATGACAAAACACACTCAAGAAATGTGTTGAGAAGCAAGACACATTGAGAACAAAGACATGTTGATGAAAGAAACATGTCCAAAAACACCAACCAAATGTCATGTGACATCCTTGCAAACAAGGACAAATCAACAAATTCAACCGTTAATATTTCTCTCTGACTGCGGCAATACCCAGTGCAAACATGAACAAATAAATACATGTACTTCAACCATTCATATTCCTCCCATGGTTCATGTTTCTCAACTTCAACCATGCTCACTCTATCTTTCCTTCTTGTGCAACATTGCGCAACATATTCACTTGTTCTGTGCCTGTCCTTTGGCTACTTGCAGACTGCAGCTGCAAGTAGTCAAAGGCAGCACTACAGTAATATTTCAAGCACACTATGTGACAAAGTAAGTTTTCTTTTACATGTCCTTCACTGTACTAACTTGCTGTTTGTGATTCACAGCTGCAGTTCATGCTGGCACACTATCAAATCCTTTTGATTTGATAGTGCACCTTAAGGTCAGTCTCTTAGCTTACTGACAATATGCTAACTTGTTCTTTGTTATTCACAGCTATGCTTGATAGCTGGCATGCTATCAAAAAGGTCAGTCTCTTTTGATTACATCCACATCTGACATATGTCTTCAGGGAGCGGATTTGACTTTGGGATCTGGGGGATTCTTTTACTAACTTGGTTGACTAGCTTTTGCACCTTCTTTGTTTGTTGATCCGGTCTTTTTCAGTTTTCAAATATACACTGTACTAACATTGTTTCTTTGTCTAGCCTTTTCCACCTGCCTTGTTAAGCCCCCCTTTTTCTTCTTCTTCAAGTATACTCCAGCACTAACCACATTTTTTTCTCTAGCTTTCTATAACAGTCTCTTGCTTTGTGCCTGTCTGGTTGAGTGGGTTTTTCTTTTTTCAATCATACTCTAACACTAACTGCATTTCTTTCTCTAGCTTTCCATATCATTTTTTTGATTTCACCATTCCTTGGTTATTTTTCAAACTGGTAAGTGCCGGTTTAATATTCAATATCATACTGACTTCCACTACATGAGATTATTAGTTACTGCACATTTTACCTATATTTTGTACTTTAGGGTGCAAGGCTTGGATGGAGAGGGCCCCTCCATCCTTGTCTTGCATCACTTACATTAGTTTTTTGTCTTTGTTTGCCAACTTTGTACACTTTAGATTAGATGTGAAGCCATAGCGCAAATGTATTGCCCTTTATGGGCATTTTGATGTCATGTGATCCTTAATTTTTGCCAAAAATAATTGTCACGTGATCATGAGAGTGCACTTTAAAGGATAATAATGTCTAGAGATTATATCTGTCTATGGCGACTGAGGATAGATCATTGAACAGTATACTAGGTAGTCCCTGTGCTTGACGAATTCTAGGGGTGTCATCATCGCCTGGTATTCCAAAACACGAGCCCATGCCAGTACCACCACCATCAAAACACAAGATGTTCGGATTTGCATTGCTGGCTGTTTGGTGATGGCAACTGATAGGGTGCATCATGGTCATTGTGGCGTTTGTTCTGTCGCCACTTATACACTCATTTTCACCCTTCTCAATGACCCTGCTAACATATACACTTTCATTGCTGTGGGTCACCATCAGTAGTGGTGAGTTTATTTACCAGGACTATCTATACCCTATGCTTCACTTACTGCATTATCATCCATATGTTGTTATTTACCAGGACTATCTATACCCTACAGCATCATTACTTGTTTCTCAAGGAAACTCCAGCAGCATGCCTAGCCCAAGACATTGGGTTTGGTAATGTTTTATGCTCAAAGATCAAGTCTTCTAACCATCAAAGATTAAGTCTTGACTTTCATCTTCATTCACTCTACCAACACTGCCATAGCAAGTCATGGACTTTGTCAACCTCCAGAATGAAGATGAGATGCTTATTGACGAACATGAATCCCAAATCACTAAAACGGTGAGTAGGGTATATCTTGTATTCATTTATATTTACACTTCGTTCCTTCTTTCACACTACATAGGGAGAGATGGACAATGTCAGCCTCAATGATGAAGAGGCAATCCTCATTGACCAAGACATCTCAAACAATGTGAGTTTATTATATTATATTTTACTGTACTCCTCCTTCTACACTATCATAGGATATGGACGTTGTCAGCCTTGACAAGGAGGATATGATGCTTATTGACCAAGATGGCTCAAACAATGTGAGTTTATTATATTATGTTTTGCCACTATATATTGACACTGTACTCCTCCTTCTACACTATCATAGGGAGATATGGATGTCTTCAGCCTCGATGAAGATGATGTCATGAATATTGACAAGGATGAGATTATGGTATAGGAAGGCATTTGGATGTAAACAGTATGTGATTTGCGGATTTATCATTTACCAGGGAATCTGGAGATACCCCTGAATGTAAACATTGTACTACTATCATAGCTATCATACAACCACTTCTTTTTTTTAGGTAGTGAAGCATGGTCCCAGAATGACACTGGGCCAAGTAATGATACTGTAGGGTATAGATAATCCTGGTAAATAAAGGCACTGCTACCAATGGTGACCCACAGCGATGAAAGTGTATATGTTAGCAGGGTCATTGAGAAGGGTGAAAATGAGTGTATAAGTGGTGACAGACCAAATGCCACAATGACAACAATGCACCCTATCAGTTGCCATCACAAAACAGCCAGCAATGTGAACCCAAACATCTTGTGTCTCGATGGCGGTGGTACTGGCATGGGCTCATGTTTTGGAATAATGGGTGAAGAAAGGTCTGAATGACAGCACAGTACTGTAAACTTCATTAGCATAGCCAAGAGTTTGGGTGTCAGTTACCAAATATGCCTTAATTAGCAATAATTAGCCTGATCATGTTTATTTATAGACTCATTAATTACATCACAACTAAATTTGAAGTCCATGAGAACTTTGGTTCATTTTCTTTTTTACATCCACCATGGAAGAGAACCTGAAGAGCCAGGCATCTGAAGTAAGGGAAGCTCTGAGTAGCAGGATCAGCAAGATACTTGGGAATTCATCTGAAATGGGTGTCCTGAAAGATGGGCAAGTGGTAACTAAGCTGTTGCATAAAGCTAGGTATCTATGGTAGATCATCAATTTTAGCTGAATTCTAATTGATTAATCTTTTAGAATGAGAATATCAGTGCACCTCCAGATTTGCTTGGCAATGCTGGATGACACTACATTTACCAATACATCAATTTTGGAATATGAAATTGATCGGGCCACACTAACTATTGCCCATGCAATGGTCAATCCCAGTGAGTGTCCCCAAATATTTCAAACTGTCATGAATCCTGAAGCAGAAGTATAGTCAATGTTGATTGGGATGTGGATCAATATGCTGACAGGGTCAAGTTGTCACCACCGAATTGGGATGGGTCAGCAACCTCTGAGCTGGAAAGGCTAAAGAAGTACTTCTCTGAGGCAGTGCTTGGCAAAATTTCAACTCCAGCCACCATTGTAGACAGGCATGGCAGAATTTTGATGGTTTACCTGCCCAATATTTTGTCACCTGCTTGCCTGGTATGTTTCTGGATGGGATTTTCCCTCAGGGACTGATTAATTAATTAGGAGTATGTTAACAATGCTACCTCAGGCTTATGAAATTCTCTTCTTGATACCCTGCCACCCATTTCGGATCAAAAAAAGAGTTGGAGAGATGATGGCTTTGTGGTGCCAGAGGGAGGGGGTGAATTTGGGGCTGGTAGGATTACTGTGTCACCTGTATATTTCATGCAAAGACAAGAGGTATTGTATTTTCAGTGCTGAATTTTCCCAGTTCTCACTTGGTGATTAGCGATTGATAGATCCACTCGTAACATTGGAGTCTTACAACTCAAAGGAGGTCCAAAAATGGCTAGAAGCTTTAACAACATCAGAACTTCTGTGGAACTCCATTACTGCAGCAGTGGCACCAGAACTTTTTGAATTGGGCACCTCTGCATTTTCCAAGGTTGTCAAGGAGGTTAGGCAGCAAAAAAATAATTCAGCTCTGGTGGATTCTTGGCCCTCTATCTTTTCAGGGTTGGAAATCATTGCCAACCTGTTAAGAACCATGCTCAAAGGAGAGAGAGACTGACTGAGAGGGGCTTGGCCTCAGCTCATACACTGTGCCCCTTACCCGAGTATGTGCCCTTCATTTCAGAGGAAGTCCGATGATGGTCCGATGAAGTCCAGAGGACTTCCGGAGGAGCGCAGGAAATGTCCGGAGGAGCGCGGGAGAGTTCCAGAGGAATGCAGGAAATGCCCAGGAGAGTTCCCACTGCAAGGTAATACTTCTACAGGCAAACAGGATGGAAGGATAGGAGGTCCGGAGGACAGGAGGACAGGATGTCCAGAGGTCCGGAGTATGGAGGACAGGAGGTCTGGAGGTATGGAGGACGGAACGTCTGAAGGTATGGAGGGCAGAACATCCGAAGGTACAGAAGACAGGAGGTCCGGAGGTCCAGAAGGAATAGGGGCTACATCGGACGAAGTCTGATGTAGAAGCAAACAGAGGTAGACTACCCTAAGGTAGAGTCGGAGGGACAGGAAGTGGACCTAAGTCTGGAAAGAGGGTAAGTGCCAGAAAGGCAAGACTTCAGCCTAGGGAAGCAATCCCTAGACTTGGGACAGAGACATAGGGGACAAATCCGAAGGTCCGGAATTCCGGCCTAGGGAATCCTTCCCTAGGCCTTATGGAAAAGGACAAGACTCAGATGGACTGAAGTCCAGAAGATGATTGGCAAGTAGAACAGGATCTAAGATGATATTCAGACTGAGGACTCTACTGTAGTTGTACAGGGGTTATATACTAGGGACTATCTGAGAGGATCAGTAAGCAAAGGAGTAAGGCTATGTATGAGCATGCAGAAACACATTGGTAAGTAAGATGGAATATAAGTAAATGAACTTGGAGATGAAACTAGTACAAGGATCAATCAGCAAGACAGAAACAGAGATAACCGAGAACCAGAAAGGGGGAGATGCCTAAATGGAGATTGGCGCAGGATCTTGGATGGAGGGTGGGAATAGGTCCAGAGATAGTACAGTTAATATCCGGAGGTCCGGAGATCTGGGGATCCGGAAGGCAGGGCGGAAACAGGACTGAGATATGTGAGGTGGTGGATGTAGTCTGGAATCTGAGAGGAGGTAAAGTCCGGATGTCTTGCTGGATGGAATGTGTGTAGGGTGGACAGGATAGGGGATCCAGGAATGAGTTGGATATGGGGTCCGGAAATAGGTCTGGAAAGCGTGGGAATATGATGGGATCTATGTCTGGCATATGGGATATGACAGGCGCACTGAATGTCTTTCAGTGTTATTGGAGTTAGAGCAGCTGGTCAACGATGGGAAATATGAAGATTGTGGAGAAGGAGAGGGGTTGATCCAGTGTTTGTCTTGCTCAGGAACACATGCCTGGTGTCCTTCTTGTGTTCTTAAAGCTCATCAACACAACCCCTTCCATAACCTTCAACTCTGGAATGGCAGGTTCTATGAGACTACTACCCTGCAAGCTCAAGGGTATATAATGTATCTTGGCCATGGGGGGGAACCTTGCCCCAATCTCTCACATCAGCCAGACCCATCTCCCTGGCAAGATATTGGGTCCATGGAAGATATGTTTGCACAGGAGGAGGGGGATACAATTAATGACATGCAGTTAGGAGTATCTAACCTGGTCATTGTACACTCTACTGGTGTTTACTCACATAGTGTATCATGGTGCCAGTGTCCTGGAGCTGAGAAGGCACAGCATCTCCATCTCATGAAAGCAAGGTTATTTCCTGCCAGTATCACTTGCCCTCAATCTGCTTTCACATTCAATGTCCTGGATAACTTCCTCATAGATGCTTTGGAGTGCAAGACTTCAGCCATGAGTTTCTATCAAAAGCTCCGTCGGCTCACAAACAATGCATTCCCTGATAAAATACCAGTGAGTAATTTTATATGATTGTGTGCCCTGCTGATAGGACAAAAAGGACCAATACCGTGAGCTTATGTGAGTGTCACATATATGGCAGGATTTGGTCAATAGAAAAAGGTTCAGGTTTGGACATGACATGGAATGATCCCCTGGTACAGGGGATTTAGCCCTTTATTGCCCAGCATGTCCACAACCTGGAATCAACTTGCCAACATCTTGGAGATATGACTATGAAGAGTAAGCTGACTCATAACTATTGCAGTAGTATGTCACTCATTATTGGTCTGTGGTAGGTGGTTAGTTATGTGCAGATATGTGGTCAATAGAAATTTCACAGCACACCATATGAAAATGAAAATTCCAGAAGACAATGTTTCTCTAGCAGATTGAAAGGGATACATGGTAACAGAGGGACCTTATCAAGCTCACATCGATGATTCTGTAGAAGAGAAAGAGGCAAGTGATGATTTTGAATGATCAGTTACTCCTGACTTATAATATTTTTGAAGAAATCCACTTGCAGCAATCATCGGGCTGTGAATGCAACAAATGTCCAAAGAAGCAACCTTAGAGCTACAGGGGTTGGGGCAACAGCATGTGCTAGGCATGGATGCTTTGTTCCTCATGCAGTGGTGGACTTCCAAAAGGGAGAGCAGTCTGTGATTGTTTTGTTGTTTCAGACAATGGACTGACCCTGTAGTCAGGCACACGAACATGGACTATTCCATTTGCAATGCAGTTAAATATACACCCAAACATATTGGCAGTATGCTCATCATCTATGATGTTGCATGTCAGTGGAGTATTCACTTTGCTGAACGGGTGGACCAAAGCTATCATCTGTCCCTTCCAGAGGGGACCAAAATATTACCTGCAGTTGGCAAGTTTCATTTGAGCACACATAAGCTTCAATGCTTTCCTAGGTTCAGCCTGAATTTTATAACTGGAGCTGGGCATATTGATGGGGAAATATTGGAGATGCTCTGGGCTCCTTTCAACAAGATTTCCCCTACTGCAAGATCCATGTCTTTGGCTCACTGAAAGGAAGTTTTGGATGACCATATGTAGGATTCCAATTGGAAGAAGCTGGTTGGCATTGGCAAGTCTAATTTATTCTGGTTTCTGTTACTTCACCTGACATAAACTTGGCAAAAGTCAAGTCATTACTCAAAAAGTATTGTTAAGCCCTACAGGGTGTTAGTGACACTCAGGGTCCATATGAGGAATTGACCAGATCGCTCGACTTGGATAATGTTCAGGAGTGGAAAAAGGCAGCTGAAAAAGCAGCTCAGGACTGTGGAGAGCTTCTTGACATCTATCAGCTTAAAATGGACAAAGGTAGGTCTTGTGTTGTGGACATTGATTTTGCCCTGATGGAAAATAATTTAAAGCACCCTCTATGGCTGAAATACGTCTCAGATTGACTGAAAATGAACTATCTGCTAATGGTAGGACTGGGTCTGTTGCATGGTTGATTGAGGGTATAAATATAGAAAATTCTCAGTAAGGTATTTTAACTTTTGGATTGGATTGACTTAAATCGTATTACTAGAGATGCCTTGAGATTGTCTATAAGGCAGCTGCCCCAGGATCTGACTGCTTCTCAGAGGACCACGATAGAAGAAAGAAGGCAAAAGCTCATGGCATGGATTATTAAGTTCCATGAGGCTGCAGAGGTCATGACTAATGGTATAGAATTGAAGGGAGGTGAAGGAGCACCACTAGACAACCCTGAACTGTGCCTGGAGGAGGCTGACACATCCAATATGGAAGGTCCAGAGGAAGAGGACATTTTGGACTTTGATGGTAATATTGACTCACCTGCAGAAGTCACCAAGATTTGGATGCCATCATGGACAGCCTCTGGTCACATCATGGATGATGTCATCTTGGCATTAGGTCAAGAAGAACTCAAGCTTCAAAAGGGTCAAGCAAACAACTGCCTGGAAAAGCTTCATCAAGCCCTGGGTGATAGATCAGTCGTCTTTCAGGAGAAAATACACTCCAACAAATCAGTCCATCACCAGGGCACTAGATCTAAAAAGGAACTTCGAATGATAACTCTCTCCATCAATAGACATGCAAAAGGTTACAGCTGGGCAAGGGCTGCAATGCTCTGCCTAGGGGCTGACTCTGATACTGTGGCAGTGTATCAACCCATAAAGCCTCAGGACCTAGTGGTGAGCAAAGAAGTCACAGAAGAAAACAGGCATGGGCAGGGTTCAGATAAATTGGCTTAGTTTTGGAGGATCAACAATGCAAAGGACAGTCAGAAGAACATATGGATGAATGAGTGTAAGTTTCATTGTGATTTGTTTTTTATCAAGTGAATTGGTTGAAAGCCAAAGCATGGTACAACCATTGGTCAGAAGAACTGAAATTGGTACAACATGAAATGTTTGGACCATATCCTGGTTTCAGACACAGAAGGAGAGGTGGAGAGTTTGGGCAGATGAAAGCATCAAGAATGGGAACAGGGCATATGCTGAGAGGCAGGCATCTATGTGGGCAGAATTTTCAGCTCAGGGCCTCAAGAATTTTGAAGGAAAATTACTTATAACAAGTTGATAGTTCATGAGTTGATATGCTAATGTAATGTTGATCTTCCTGACTTGTAAAAAAAAGTGTGATATAAGTATTCAGAATGTAAACAGATTCTGGCCAAGTAGGCCTGCCCAGCTTTGCGGTATGTGGGCCATGGCCTGCCAGCCTAGGAATGAATTCTTGCTGGGCCAGCCACCATTTGCGACCCATAGGTCATGGCTGGCCAGCATGCTTTGGGCATCTGGCCCAGTGGCCTGCCCACCCCAGCAGTATGTGGGAGGTGGCCAGCCAGCCTAGGAATGAATTCTTGCTAGGCCAGCCTCCATTTGCGACCTGTAGGTCATGGCCGGCCGACATGCTTTGGGCATCTGGCCGAGTGGCCTGCCCACCCCTGCAGTATGTGGGGAGTGGCTGGCCCAGCAAGAATTCATTCCTAGGCCGGCTGGCCACATACTACATACTACCGAAATGGACAGGCCTGGGCCAGATGCCCACATGATGCTGGCCAGCCCCTTCCTGCAGACAGTAAGGGGGGACTGGCCTACTCAGCCAGATATGAGAAGCAAGCTGGCTGGCCCTGTGAGCAACAATTGTTCCCTAGGCTGGCCAACACCCCACCATGTACTGCAGAGGCAGGCAGGCCTACTGTGCCAGAAACTGTTAAGAACCATGTTGCTCAAGGGGGAGAGAGACTGACTCAGAGGGGCTTGGCCTCAGCTCGTACGCTGTGCATCTTACCCGAGTATGTGCCCTTCATTTCAGATGAGGTCCGATAATGGTCTGACAAAGTCTGGAGGACTTCCAGAGGCTGGCTACTCTGCTGGAGAGCGCTAGAGGACTTCCGGAGAAGTGCGGGAAATGTCTGGAGGAGTGCGGGAGAGTTCCAGAGGAACACAGGAAGTGCTCAGGAGAGTTCCCACTGCAAGGTAAGACTTCTACAGGAAACAGGATGGAAGGATAGGAGGTCCAAAGGTCTGGAGGACAGGAGGACAGGAGGACAGGAGGACAGGAGGACAGGAGGACAGGAGGACAGGAGGACAGGAGGACAGGAGGACAGGAGGACAGGAGGACAGGAGGACAGGAGGACAGGAGGACAGGAGGACAGGAGGACAGGAGGACAGGAGGACAGGAGGACAGGAGGACAGGAGGACAGGAGGACAGGAGGACAGGAGGACAGGAGGGCAGGATGACAGAGGACAGGAGGGCAGGATGACAGAGGACAGAAGGACAGGATGTCCAAAGGACTGGAGGATAGGATGTCTGAGGGTTAGGAGGACGGAACATCCAAAGGTACAGAGGGTGGAACATCCAAAGGTACGGAGGGCAGAACATCTGAAGGACAGGATGCCCGGAGGTATGAGGGACAGGAGGTCCGGAGGTCCAGAAGGAATAGGGGCTACATTGGACTTCATCCAATGTAGAAGCAAACAGAGGTAGACTACCCTAAGGTAGAGTCAGAGAGACAGGGATTGGACCTAAGTCCAGAAAGAGGGAAAGTGCTGGAAAGGCAGAGCTCCAGCCTAGGGAATCAATCCCTAGGCCTGATGGGTAGGACAGACTTAGGTGGACCAAAGTCCGAGAGAGGATTGGGCAAGTCTAAGTTTATATTCAAACTGAGGAACTACAGGAGTATCTACAGGGGTTATATACTGAACAATATCTGAGGGGATCAGTAAGCAAAGGAGCAAGGCTATGTACAAGCATGTGGAAACACATTAGTAAGTAAGTCAGAACATAAGTAAATGAACTCAGAGATGAGGACTCATACAAGGATCAATAAGCAAGACGGAACAAGAGGTAACCAAAAGCCGGAAGGCAGAGAATGCCTAAATGGGGATAGGTGCAGGATATTGGACAGAGGGTGGGAATAGGTCCAGCGTTAATATCCAGAGGTCCGGAGATCTGGGGATCTGGAAGACAAGGTGGATACAGGACCAGAATATGAGAAGGTGGATATAGTCCAGAATCCAAGACGAGGTGAAGTTTGGATGTCTTGCTGGATGGAGTGTGCATAGGGTGGACGGGACAAGGGGATATAGATCAGGCTAGCAGTGGAGATCCAATGGTCCGGAGCTCAGGGGTAAATCCAGAGCATAGTCAATCCTGCTGAGGTATGGAGCACAGCAGAAGGGGATCTGGGAATGAGCTGGATATGAAGTGGGGTCTGGATGTAGGCTCAGAAGGCGTGGGAATATGATGGAACGTGGGTCCAGATTGTGGGATATGACAGAAACCAGCAGAATGCCAGCCAGTCACCCCATATGGTTTGCATGACCAGGCCTACCCACATGTCAACCACAGCCTGGATATGTATATAGGTAGTGCCTGCAAGGGTCTGCATCACCAGCCTACACAGATACTGCAGAGATATCATTCTGTATATAGGACACCGGCCTGCAAGGGTTCTGCATGACTGGCCTATACAGGCAGTGCATGGGCCGGCCAGTGTCCTGTACACCTGGTTTTGCAGGTCAATGTACACATCCTATCAACAGGTTATGCAGTACATATGACTGAAGGGTCTGTGATGTTAGTGGTAGCTATTGCAGTGGCATAAAAACAGGTGCATGGGGTATGCAGAAACAATACAGGGCAGCAGGAAAACAATACAATAGGATGATGAGCAGTATAACAATGGCATGTAAGTAGGTATTGTGGTGAGCACAGGGTAACAAACACTGTGGGATGGCAAGAAAACAATTTAAAACTTGCAAGGAAATAATACAGGATGGTGAATAAGGGGCTTGCAAGAACAGTGTGAGACTTGCCAGGAAACCATTAATGTAGGTAGATGTGGAGCTTGCAAGAACAGTGGAAGTTGGAATTGCAAGGAAGCTTGAGACCTGGCAAAAGAGAAACTGAGAAAATGAGAAACTAGTAGAGAATGCCATTGATGACAACAGAATCAGAAAGCTTCTTCCAGGAACCAGCACTGTTGAGATGCTCAGCCTCAGCTTGATATTCATCTTGCTGTGCTGTGGATAGAGCACCCCAGTACAACCTGAATTGTTGTGTAGTCCCCTTCTTGTTGATATTCTTCTGCCACTGTATTGCACAAAGATTTCTAGTGACACGTCAGTGAAGTAGTACCCACACATAACTGATCTGCTTACCTCCCATTCTTTACAGGGCCTGGTCACATCCTGGCACTTTGTGTGGCATCTGCTCCATCAACATTACTGGCCTTGGACTTCTTCCAAAGGACGCTCTTCACAGCAGTGTTAGGGTCACATAGTGCAGGGGAGGGAATCCATTTAGGTATGCCATTCACACCGCCAGACACATCTGCACTGCAAATGACACAACACAGTAAGCAAGGGCTGAGTGGACAAAATATATCTTACAGTGGATTCTTCAGGAAAATCAGTATGTTCTCCTTTTCAGCCTGTGAATGGTTCATACAAGAAATGGGCTGGGGAAGATAGACACCATGGGGGGGACTTGGTGAAGGGTGTGGTGGGGGTGGTGGGGGCAAAAAGGTCTTGTCAAGTAGTACTGTCTTGCAGATTTGACTTAGAGCAGATGAATTCCCATCCAAACTTCCAGTGGCAGTTGCTGATGAGTAACTCAGCGACTTGATGATGCTGATTGAGGAAGACAATGAAGCAGTAATGTCAAAGCTGCCAGCAGCAGATGCTGATGAGTGACTCAGCAACTTGATTATGCTGGTTGTGGAAGACAATGAAGCAGTAATATCTGAGTCACCATGCAAAGACCCAGATTCTGAAAACATAGCAGGCAAAATGTATCAGCATAGTGTACAAATCATAGACTTCATGTACCCTTTACATGCTTGTGAGTGGCTTTAGTATCATCAGTGTCACATGCACACTTCTTGCCCTTTGAAATGACAAGAGGTTTAGCTTCTAGATCATTAATGTTGCTGTCAATGTCGTCATGGCTGCCTGCCACCTCATGCTTTATGACCTTCTTGTTGTCCATCTTCCAGTTTGATTCATTGTTGATATGACTCTTATGCCAGTTAGGATAATTGGTGGTGCAAAGAAGGGAAAGCTTCCATCCATGTGTGTTGAGCCTAAACAGCAGAAACTCTTTTTCCATGAAGGTATGGACGAGTTTCTGACCCATAGCACAGAGTCTAGCCCATGTTGGTGGAGCTAACTTTTTGATGACAAGTTCAGCCCAGACTCCATGACATCTATGATGGATAGATTTGAGTGTAGCCGGTAAGATAGGACACCCATTCTCATCCTCAAGATAAGGTACTGTTCCTTGATTGCCAGTAGTGCATTGAGCCACCTATCATAGTCACACCAGAGCCAAAATTGAACCTTGGGATACAAAGTACAATCAGGGTAACTTTCATTTGCATCTCATGCAACAATGTTTCCGATGCCAAAATTAAGTGGGTTGGTATTGTTTGGCAGTTGCAGGACCTTGATGATGTCATCAAACAACTGCCTGCAGTGAACATGTGTTAGGGTACTACAACATGCAGAATTAAAGTAAATAGGAGAATCAATTGATGTACTTAATGGTATCACATTCTCCAGAGAGTCTTGCAACTTCATACTGCAGTTTGTTGCATTGTACTTTGTAAACATTGAGGTGTTCTTGTAGGTGTAGAAATTGAGTTTCTGAAAGATGATTTGAGACTGGCAGGGGCCTATGTGCACTTTTTGAACGCATATAGCCACCCTTTCAATTCAATTAAAAAAATCACATCCATTTATGAATGATAACAATACCACTTACACCTATGGCCTTGGGAGGTAAAAAATCAGCAGAGAGGTCCTGTAAAAACTGAGATTGTGATGATGAAAATGACAGTACAGAGGTAGACAACATGGTTGTAGTAGCAATTCTTCTTACAATTACCATCAGAATCCAAACTCAATGGGTATCTGCAGAAAGAGCTTGGAAGGTGAGTAATTTGTGCTATGTAGTAGATCACAGACTCACACATTAACTAGAATTTTATTCAGTGTGGAATGGATCAACAGTGCCTGCTCTAGCCCTCACTTGACTCCATCTGACAACATCATGCTTAATCTGAAATTCTGGACCAATACACCTGCCTGTCATCTCCTTAAGCAGCACATTCTTCAAGTTACTCAGCCAAAGCCTCTGGCCACACAAATAGAGGCACTACAAGACTCAGATTGGATTGATGATCTGTAAGTATGATTTTTGATGACACTATCTAGAGATGGTGAATTACAATTTAACAGCTTCCTTGAGTCTGAACAGCATCCTGTGCTCCTGAAAGCTCTCCCTATTGATGGCAGTATCACTGAACCAGAGTCAGATGAACTGATTCCTCTCCCATTGAAAGCAGCAACACCTCTCCTGTCTAAAACTCTCCCTAGTGATGACAGTATCATGGAACTGGAGTCAGACAATGTTACACCTCTCCCATCTAAAGCTCTCCCTAGTGGCGATGATAGTGTCACAGAGCCAGAATCAGATGAACCAGGACAGTGCACAGTGCCCTCAAAGACTCTCCCAAGCAATGACAGCATCACAGAACTGGAATTGGACAAAGTTGCACCTCAACCATTGAACATTGCACCTCTACCATCAAAAGCTCTTCCCAGCGACAATGATAGTGTCATGGAACCAGAATCTGAACCCACTACACCTAAACCTATTGCTCCCAAGCTCAACTGGAAGTGGTTTGCAACACCAAGTCCACCCCCTCCAGACTCAATCTATTGGAAGTATTTCACTCAGGAGGAAGATGCACACATGTATGATTGTTCTGGGACAGATAAGTCCTTTCAGGCTGTGTGAGAGCTTAAACATAAACTTCAGATGTTTCTCGATGATGAGTTTAAATAATTGTAATAAAATACATGTTTTGCCTAATCATCATTGTCTTGAGCCTCATCACCTTCACCAGCACCTCATAAGCCACCCCAAATGTCACAATATCAAGTCCTGGTTTCTCAACTAAAAGAAATCTGTCCTCAGTCACCCCAGATGGTAGATTGGGTCGGTGGGGCACCATGCCAATGACATCAGTAATGGATTTCACATCTATGATACGAATATCATCCTCAATGGGTTTGCATGAACTTACAGCATGAAAGGAGAGCTTGAGAAGGTGACAATCTGGACAGGAATCCATCATGACAAGCACAACGGCCTGCCAATGAAAAATCTGTTCTCCATCTTCATCTAAGCCATCTACAACAGCTAGACAGGTAAAGTAAAGAATTTCAGCAAGGCAAATCTCACCATCCAACACAAGCTATAATATTTCATCAGTTTTGAACAGTTTGTAAGTACTAAGGCTTAGGACATACCTTGACATTGTGTGAAATGCAAACCTTCTCAGCAGGTTTCTCAGTTTCTCTCCACACTGTTCTTGCAGTCTGCCCATTTGGTAAGCACAGATGAGCCCAGTGACAAATTTTCACATCAGCCCCCAGGTACTCCCAAATAGCTTGGGCAGCTCCACCTTGAGGTTGTATGTTGTACAGATCATGTTTCTGGAGAAGACTATACCCATCACCTAAATCAATGGAACCCTGAGGAAGATCCTGCTTTGGCTCAACAAGACCAGGCACCATAGCTTTGAGTGCATTGACCTGACACCTGCGCACCCCCTTCCTTGACAGATTTGCATATGGGTTTGATGGTTGTTGAATCTCCTGGCTGAGATTTCCTATCATGCACTCCATCATCCATTGTGAGTAACAAATTGGCAGACCCTTTTATGAGGTTTTGGAAGCAAGATACAAGACTGAGTGTACACATGGACAAACAAAGTGGAGATGCTTAGTACAGTGCTAATAATACAATAGTTCAAAGTTGAGTTCCCACTCAACAAAGCAAGTGTGAGCTGCCCAAAGATTGGCAGTAGAAATTGAGTGCTGGCTTATTAGTCAAAAGCCATGAATGAGTTGACAATAATTGAGCCAATATGGCTGTGGAAGAATGTTGAAAAGGAGAGTGGGGCTGAGACCAAAGATGTACATTTGAAACTCCTATGTCTTGTACCCAGTGTTGATTTTTTTGGCTGGGTTCCATGGTTTTAAATTGAATGATCCTGGAAGATACTGGGCTGCTGCAGTAATAGCTGCACCATGTGCTTGCCAAGTGTCCAAGTCCCAAAATACAGCCCATGGCCAAGTAGATGGGTGGTCGGGAGCAGTGTGATTGATTGGGCCTCACCATAAGGATAGCAAGAGGTCCAAAAGAAGCTGTGCGAGATGCATCATGTCAGGAGTTAGACACTGTGGAATTCTGAGAGTATGATGGGGGGAAAGACCCAGTAATAAACTAGGTTTTGTGAGGCCAGTCTCAGTATGAAGCTTCTCATATTGAGTCTGATTGGGGGCAGCAATGAGCTTTTCAAGATTCACTGCATATTCTGGTGATGCTGCATTTGGTAGATCATAGATACTAATGTCTGGGTAATCGCTACCTGGAATATGATAATTGTTTGGAAGCAATAGTGCAGGGTAGTAGTGTGTTCCTACAAATAATCAATTTGACACTCATTTATGATGAAAAATCTAAATACCCTTGCAATGTCCAAGAAGACCACAGTAGAGATGGCATCCATTCTTCCCACTATGTCCTACCATTCCATCAAAGTACACAAGCCCTGGACCATCTGCAGTAATGTAGATGAGATACAAATTTGATGTGAAGACACGGTCAATGTGTGCATCCCAAATATGAAGTCCCTCATTCTGCAGGGCAGATAGATGGTGCATACCAGGAAGGAGGAACAAATCAATGTTCTTTGGTTTGTTGGGTCCTAGAATAAAGCCTCCCAGAAGAACATACTTCTTCTTATAGTGATTGCCAGGGGCATGATTCATTATGACCCATATATAGATCCAGCAGTTGGATTGTTTGCTTTCATATAGTTATACACTGTCCATTGAAATCATGAGAACAATATCATCCTTGAGGTTGATGTCGTTTCAGAGGACAGCATGTATGTACAGTCCTAATATTTTTGCTTCAAGTTAGATACTGAAGGATTTACTATATAGATTGTAGTCTTACCTTTGCATTGCAAGAGTGCAATGGATGCAATGCAATGTGTGCACAATACAATGCGAAGCTTCAAAGGATCAGGAGAAATGATTCAAAATGAGAAGTTGTGATGTAAGGATAAAAAGGTACAATGCAATGCAATGTAAGTGATGCAAGGAACAACACCAAACAATGTGACAATGATGTTGTTTTCATTATCTACCTGATCTGGCCATATCAACTACAGTATAAACATAAAATAATCAAAACCCATCATACCATGCCATAGTGGGTTTTCACTGGACCTGAGACACAGCCAAATGAGTCCCTGCAACAGATCCCATTCAAATTGAGGAACAAATTATAAATTTTGAAAATGGGATGTCACTTCACAAGATTCATGATCAAAGCCTGAAAAGGTCCATAATTAGATTTAGTGCCAGATTTGTACTTAAATAGGGAATATGTATGGACACAATTGCTGAATTTGTTGGCATGGATCTGCCTTATTGTTTGATGTATGATACAACAATGAAAATGACAGGTATGTGTTATCCGCAAGATTCATATATGAATGGTAGATATACTACACAAATGAATATTTAATATATTTAAACTCTGTTCAAAATTTGATAACAGAACATAGTATGGTTATGTTTGGTACACAAAGGAGGAAAAGATTGTTGAATTGTCTATGGATATGTCTGAATTTGAATTTTGACAAACATCCTGAAAATGTGCATGAGTCATATCAGTATCCCACTCAGTGCCCCACCTAGTGGGGCACTGTCAAAGTTGAGTATCCCACAAGGAGTCCACTCAGTGCACTGTAACTTGGATGTATCTACTGTAATCTACATGCAAAATATGGATGTTCTACTACTTAGTGTTGTGAAAATGAAACAACCTGGTTCTGGCCAATCAGTGGTAGTGAGTGGGAAGTCAGATGCATGGTGCCACTCTGCCACTTAATGAAATGACTGATTATTGGCAAAACCCAGGCTGAGTTCCATTCACTACTTAAGCCTCCACAACACTGTTTGATTCCCTTTTTCTTGCCACCATGTTGCAACTTGCTACAGTACTATACAGATTACTCTAGACACTATGCATTATGCTAGATGTATTGTAAAATTACTATTGTTGCAAGCATTCACTATGTTTGACAATTGCTACCCTGTGCATTTAAAGTTACACATGTTATGTATTGTGATTACAGATCAATAATTGTACATGTATCACTGTGTTTAAAGTTCCTTTTGCTCAGTTTCAAGATATTCTCCTGGCATTACTGTAGTACATGCTGCTTCATCATTAGCATCAATGTCATGATTTTTGATAAATGTTCACTCACCTATCCTAGAGACTGGTTTGAAGCCCCTTGAGGTTGTGCTCAGTGTGGTTCCCAGTGTTTGGACTGTACATGTCACACCATTCACAATGTGACATGCAATTGCAGATGGTCTGAGATAGTCATCTATTATTTGGCCCTGATATTGACATGTCATTTACAGATTGTCATACCATGAATCATCCCACTTACTATGTTATTGCCACCATCATTGGTCTGAGTTTGTGCTGTTGACCTTTGCTTATGCTTCATGATCTCATCAACATTGATGCCTAGCAGTGCAGCTTGAAGTGCAATATGCATGTGCACCTGCTTAGTACAGGGATCCTGTGTGTTGAGGTGACATTGTAGATACTTGTCAGTGCATCTCTGCAAGATGCAAACAAGTCTTCTTTCCCCAGGAGACTTGTGCTCACCCTCAACAATGTTTTCTGCCAGAACAACAGCAAGGGGCCCCACCTTACACTAAAGTAAGCCACAGTGAATATCAGAAGTGGGTTTGCCAACCTTGTCATCTTCCATAGTAGTGTCTACACATCCTGTTACAATACACCCTGCCCTGCTATATTTTTTCTTTCTCTTGTCATCTATTGTCTCTGTCTGACTCATTTCATGCCTACTGTATTATGTTGTGTGCCGCTGCTGCCACCATTAGATGCCATCTATGTGTCCTGTCTACATGTATGTTTCCTTTCTGGTATCTCTGACTTCATTGCTTCATCCATATTAGGCATATGCTCATATTCCTACTTCTCGCACCTGCCCTAAACCTCTCCTAGCTTTTCCCTATAAATATGCAACTCCAAACTGTGTAGTTCTCTACTTTAATCTTACTAGGTTTTACCTAGAACTTCCTTCACTTAGGACCTCCAATCCTAAGTTGTCTGAACCATACTTTAAGTCAAAGGCACTCCCTCTGTCTTAGCTTACTTGAATGCTTGACTTATCATCTCATGTAGATTCTCAGCAGAGGTCCTGACTCTTATTGAGTTGTCTGTTGTTAGAACTATCCTAGTTCATAACAAAAGATTAAAGTCCTAAAACCTTGCAGTGTCATCATGTGTCGCTGAACCCAGAACCAGAAGCTGCTCCCATTAGAGCCACAGAAAGACTCACTTCCATGACAGGAATCAGAGCACCCTGACTTTGTTAACCCCCATCTTTGGAGCGTTAAACCTCAGTGGAACCATACCACTGATCCCACCTTTACCACTAGCCATGTCCTCTATGAAAGCAACCAAGATCAAGATTGGGACACCACCTATCTTGGATGATGATGGAGAGAAATCAGAAGGCTTTTTGCTAGCATGCATTGCCTACCTTGACATCAATGATAAGATCTATGTTGATGAGAAACAGAAGATCATCTTTGTGACTTTGTTTATGAACTTGGGCAATGCTCAGTTATGGAAAGAAGACTTCCTTCATCTTGCTCAAGACCCCAAGAATACTACAACCAGTGGCACCATCATTGGCTATGGTACCTGGGCCAACTTCCTCACCAGCTTTAAGAAAGTGTTTAAACCTCTAGATGCTTCCAGTACTGTGCTAGCCAAGCTACACAATTTGAAACACCATCCCAGGGAGCTTCAGACCTTTATTGCTGAGTTCCAGATGCTTGCACATTGTGCTGGAATAAGGGAGAATGTGGCCAAGATTCAGTTTTTCTTTGATGGCTTGCATATGGGTTTACTAGTTAAACTTTATGACACTGGAGATGTATCTGAAGATTTTGATATCATAGTCCAGACCTGCATCAACCTTGACAACTCTCACAAACATCTCATGGCCTTCCATAACCGTAACCAACCACAGAAGAAGAAGAGCTATGGTCCCTCCCACTACACCCCCTTGTGTGACCCCAACACTATGGAAGTTGACCGCCTCACAGAGGAAGAGAAGACTGAGCACTACCAGAATGGCAAGTGCCTCATATGTCACCAGAAGGGCCACATCTCCCATAACTGCCCAAAGAAGAAGAACAGCAAAGCTCTGGTTCATCACACCAAGCTCACTGAATATGACAAAGAAGCAGAAGTCCATCGTATTAACAAGGATTTTTGATGTGGAAGACTGGATTGATGTCAGTATCTTCCAATGTACCTATTAGACTTGTTCACAGTGTAGGAATCAGAAAGGAATTTTGCATTCCCATTTCACTCATCTCCAAAACTTGTCTGAAAACCATTGAAATGACCACTGTTGTTGACTCCAGCACTGCCAGAACCTTTATTTCCAAAGATTTCATCAAGCTCCACAAAATTTGCACACACAAGCTTACAAAACCCTTCCGAGTAACTACTATGGATGGAAGCTATGTGAAAGGAGGCACCATCACTCATTATTGCATCCTTATCATAAAGATTGATGAATGATCTGTGCTCAGAAAGTTCAATGTCACTAGGCTCAGTCGCTGCGACCAGATTTTGCTAGGGATCCCTTGGCTTCGCACTATGGACCCAGTGATTCAGTGGAAAGCTGAAAGCCTTGAACTGTCTCATACTGAGAAGAGTGACCTCATTGAGGACAATGTTGACACCAAATAGAAGAAGAATGGCCTTCCCCCTCTCTTCCAGAAACCTGTTGAGAAGATGTGGAAGAACTCCTGTCTAAAGAAGGAGATAACGCCAATTGTAGTGCTGCTGAAGGTGCCTCTAGAACCACTCCCTCATGCGACCATCAAAGAAATCCCAGATGATGAAGCACCCCCAGTACTACCCAACCTTGACCCCATCCCTGATGATGATGATGACTCTTTTGATACCAAAGATGATGTTTGGACCCAGGATTATGCACCCCCTGTATGTGAACTTGCCACTTACCACCTTGATGATGATGAATTCTTGGTTGAATACCCTGTTGATGCTACTGAGCTCCAGGTCATTGCCAACATTTTTATGGACACCCCATTAACCAAGGATGGTACCAGTTTTGCAGAACAGAAACCTACAGTCACACCCCTGCCATGGCCCACCAAATACGTTGAAACCAGTAATAAAGCCCAGCAGTTTGCATTAGCAGCTGGGCTTGAACAGAAGAAGAAATCATTCAAAGAGCTTGTCCCCTCCTATCTCCATGACTTCACCAACATCTTTGCCAAAGACAGTCTTAACCAATTACTGCCTGAATGCCCTGGTATCAACCATTGTATTGAAACTAGACCTGGTTTTTTCCTGAAAACATCCAAGGTCTATCCATTGTCTGAAGCTGAACACACCACTGTCAAGGCATTCATTGATGAAAACATAAAGAAGGGCCTTATCTCTGAATCAAAGTTACCACAAGCCAGTGGATTCTTCTTTGTAGGAAAGAAAAGCAGCAACCTTTGTCCCTGTCAAGATTACCAGTACATTAATGACTGGACAGTCAAGAATGCCTATCCCCTTCTGCTCCCACTCTCACTGGTTGCTTGGTTACACAGTGCTAAATATTTCACAAAGATGGATGTCCATTTCAGTTACAATAACATCTGGATTCATCCAGATGATCAATGGAAAGCTGCCTTCACTATGGAATATGGTCTCTTTGAGCTGAATGTGATGTTCTTTGGTCTCTGTAATTCGCCCACCACTTTCCAAGCATACATGAACCAGACATTCCAGCAGGAAATTAACAAGGGTTGGTTAGTCGTCTACATGGACAATATCCTGATCTTCTCCAATGACCTCACCACCCATCACGCTCATACTCATTGCATCCTGGAATGTATCCATGCAGAACATCTATTTTTGAAGCTGGAGAAATGTACCTTTGACACACAAGAAGTGGAATACTTGGGTATGATCATTTGACTGGGATGTGTTGCTATGGATGTTGCCAAAACTGATGGTATTTGTGACTGGCCCGTCCCTACTACGGTGGAAAAGTTCAGTCATTTCTCAGGTTCTGCAATTTCTACTGCAATTTCATCCCTCATTACTCTGACATTGCTAGACCCCTAATTGACCTCACCAAGAAGGACACTGTATTTCATTGGACTGACCCTTGTACCTCTGCATTTACCATGCTTAAGGAATGTTTCCTAAAGCAGCCTGTCCTACATAATCCAGACCCTAGCCAGCAGTTTGCCGTGGCTGCTAATGCCTCACTTGTCACAACCAGTACAGTGCTACTGCAGACTGATAAAAATGGAGTTTACCATCCATGTGGATATCTCTCCCAGACCCTGAATCCTGCAGAATGCAATTACCAGATCTTTGACTGAACTCCTTGCAGTTATTCATGCATTGACAGAATGGTGCCATTACTTAGAAGGCAACCCTCACCCAGTCATTGTCTTTACTGACCATAGGAACCTGCTCTATTTCCAAACTGCACAGAAGTTGACTCATTGCCAGGCCTGCTGGCAGCTCCTCCTCTCCTGTTATGATATCAAGCTCCATCATGTTGCTGGTACTAAGCTTGCTGCCTCTGCACTTTTGTGCTGTCCTGACCATGGTACTGGGCGGGAGGATAATGATGATGTCACTCTGCTGCCAGATACCATGTTCATGCACCTTCTTGATGTTGAGCTGATGACCATTCTTGTGAACCTGGACCCTTCTGATCCTGATCCTGTCTTTTGTGCTGCTGTGGACACCCTCAATGGGTTGTCTCTTCCCCCTATGAAGTCCGCTGTTAAGGTCATACTCAAGGGCTAACAGATCCTAAGGGCTTTGGCCTCAGCTTGTGCACTGTGCCCCTTACCCGAGTATTGCCCCTTATTTCAGAAAGGCAAGACTAACATGTCCAGAGGGTCAGGCGAGTAGTGTAGCGGATCTGGATGACTTCTGGATGCAGGATAAGTGTCATAGGGCTAATCCAGATGAGTCCAGACTAGAAACTAACGGTAGTGGACTGTCATAGACAGAGGTGGATATGGATAGACTATAGGAATCAATCCTAAGTCTCGGAGGATGATGAGAGTAGAGATACTCAGGTCTGGAGGACAGGAATGAGCAGAACTAAGTTGATATTTGAACTAAGGTGTTACAGAGATTTACAGGAGGTTATATACTATATGTATCTAATGGAATGATCAATCAGCAGGGTCTGAGGCTATGTATAAAGCATATGGATAGTCTATTGGTAAGTAGAAATGGATCACAAATAATGAAACGGAAATGAAGCATAGGTAACAGATCAGTGAGCAGGATGGATATACTGATAACTGAAATACTGGAGTTAGGGGATTACTGAAAGGAGACAAGCACTGGTTGTGGATTTGGATGGATTGTGGACTGGACTGGATGAGTGGACAGATTGGATGATGAGATGTTGGAGGGGGATAAGATGTGGATAGGATCGGAGATAAGATGTGGATTGGATCTGAGATGAGATAAGGATTGGATCTGAGATCCAGATATGTGGATATGACATCTGCCCTTACCAATTGGACAATCAAAGAGGACATCCTCTATTATAAAGATCATGCCTATGTCTGCCCTGCCAGTTGGCACCAGATTTTGGAGCATTGTCATGACCATGCCTCCACTGGTCATCTGGGTTGTTTTAAAACCAAAGAGCTTGTGAAGTGGGACTTTCTATGGGCTCCTATATCTGGAAATATGTTGATGGTTGTGCTTTGTGTCAGCAGATGAAGTCTGACACACACCCTGTAACTCCCCCACTTGTGCCTATTCCCTCCATTGCCTCTTTGCCCTTTTCTCAGGTCTCCATCAATCTCATCACTGACCTTCCCCATGCATGAATTTTGATTCTGTTATGGTCATGGTCAACCATGGCCTTATGAAGGAGGTAATTCTGGTTCCTTGCACAAAAACCATCACTTCTGACAGCATTGCCAAGAAATTTTTCAAATATGTCTATTGCCAATTCAGCCTGCATGAGAAAGTTATCTCTGACTGTGGTCTGCAGTTCAGATCAAAAATCTCAAAAGCCCTTGCCAAGCTTCTAAAATATAACATCGCCACTTCTACCACCTATCATCCCCAGACTGATTGACAGACCACACATCTCAACCAGGAACTCAAAACTTATCTCTACATTTACTGTCATAATCACCCTGAAGACTGGGTAGATGTCATATCCCACAATCCGGACTCACATTCCATAATATTCCCACACCTTCCAAGCCTATGTCTGGACCCCATATCTGACTCATTGCCAGATCCCCTTCCGCTATGTGCTCCACCCTGTCTTCCGGATCCCCAGATCTCCAGACCTCTGGATATTAACTCCGGACCTATTCCTACCCTCTGTCTGATATCCTGCGCCTATCCCCATTTAGACATCTCTGCCTTTCTGGCTTTCGGTTACCTCTCGTTCCGTCTTGCTGATTGATCCTTGTATGAGTCTTCATCTCCGAGTTCATTTACTTATGTTCTGTCTTGCTTACTAATGTGTTTCCACATGCTCATACATAGCCCTGTTCCTTTGCTTACTGATCCCCTCAGATATTCTCCAGTATATAACCCCTGTAGATACTCCTGTAGTTTCCTTAGTTTGAATATCATCTTAGACTTTGCTCTACCTGCCCAATCCTGTCTCAGACTTTGGTCCAGCTAAGTCTGTCCTATCCATCAGGCCTAGGGATTGATTCCCTAGGCTGGAGCTCTGCCTTTCTGGCACTTACCCTCTTTCTGGACTTAGGTCCAATCCCTGTCCCTCCAACTCTACCTTAGGGTAGTCTACCTCTGCTTGTTTCTACATCAGACTTCATCTGATGTAGCCCCTGTTCCTTCCATACCTTCAGACGTCCTGTCCTCCTAACCCTTGGATGTCCTATCCTCCTGTCCTTTGGACATCCTGCCCTCTGTACCTTCAGACATCCTGTCCTTCATACCTCTAGACATCCTGTCCTTCTGTCCTCCATCCTCCTGTCCTCCTGTCCTCCTGTCCTCTGGACCTTCGGACCTCCTATCCTTCCATCCTGTTTCCTGTAAAAGTATTACCTTGCAGTGGGAACTCTCCTGAGCACTTCCCGCGCTCCTCCGGACTTCATCGGACCATCATTGGACTTCATATGAAATGAAGGGCACATACTTGGGTAAGGGGCACAGCATACAAGCTGAGGCCAAGCCCCTCTGAGTCAGTCTCTCTCTCCCTTGAGCAGCATGGTTCTTAACAGTAGAACACTCCCCCCCCATGGCAGAATTCATTCATAAACACCAAAAACATGACTCTCATAATGCATCACCCTTCTTCCTGATGATGGGATATGAACCCCAGGCTCTCCCTCATATTCTTCCCAACTCTACCATGCCTGCTGCAGAACAACTCAGCTTACTTCAGAAGGTTAGAGAAGAAGCACTATCATGTCACAACCTTGCTATGCAGTGAATGGCAGAATGGACTCACAGGCAGAAGTATCACCCATGGAAAGTAGGCAATAAGGTTTGGTTATTGGGAAAGAACCTGATTACCCAGTTACCTTCACAAAAGCTTGTGCCAAAGTGTTACAGTCCTTTCCCTATCATTGCCATCTTATCCCCTATCACATTCACACTCCAGCTGTTAAGAACTGGTTTGCTCAAAGCAGAGAGAGAGACTGACTCAGAGGGGCTTGGCCTCAGCTCATACACTGTGCCCCTTACCTGAGTATGTGCCCTTCATTTCAGATGAGGTCTGATGATGGTCCAATGAAGTCTGGAGGACTTACAGAGGCTGGCTACTCTTGTGGAGTGCTAGAGGACTTCTCGAGGAGCATGGGAAATGTCCAGAGGAGCATGGGAGAGTTCCAGGGGAATGTAGGAAGTGCTCAGGAGAGTTCCCACTGCAAAGTAATACTTCTACAGGAGGACAGAAGAACAGGAGGATAGGATGTCCAAAGGTATGGAAGGAATAGGGGCTACATCAGATGAAGTCTGATGTAGAAACAAACAGAGGTAGACTAGCCTAAGGTAGAGTCAGAGGGACAGGGATTGGACCTAAGTCCAGAAAGAGGGTAAGTGCTGGACAGGCAAAGCTCTGGCCTAGGGAATCAATCCCTAGGCCTGATGGATAGGACAGACTTAGAGCAAAGTCTAAGATGAGAGAACAGGATCCAAGATGATATTCAAACTGAGGAAACTACAGGAGTATCTACAGGGGTTATATACTGGAGAATATCTGAGGGGATCAGTAAGCAAAGGAGCAGGGCTATGTATGAGCATGTGGAAACACATTAATAAGTAAGACGGAACATAAGTAAATGAACTCGGAGATGAAGACTCATACAAGGATCAATAAGCAAGATGGAACAAGAGGTAACCAAAAGCCGGAAAGGCGGAGATGTCTAAATGGGGATAGGCACAGGATATTAGACAGAGGGCAGGAATACATCTGGAGATAGTTATGGTTGATATCCAGAGATCTGAGAATCCAGAAGGTGAGGTGGATACAGGACTGGGATATGATGAGGTGGATATAGTCCTGAATCTGATGTGGGAAACACAACAAGAAGAGAACTGGAAAGTAGACTTCTAATGTTGGGCTAAATGTGCTATGCCTAGCTGCTATTCAACCCTAAAGGGTTTCTGGACTAAGCTCAGTGCTCAGAGAGAGTAGGAAATCATGCTAAAAACTGCTCAGTCTCAGACTGGTACTGGTAAGAGGTGAAAATTATGATGATTACATAAGCACCAAAAGTGCGAACATATCACTAAGTAATATCTGCCTATACAAGCCCACAGAATCTGAAATTCCTACTCTGAGACAAGGTGAAGTTCAGATGTCTTGCTGGATGGAGTGTGCATAGGGTGGACAGGATAGGGTGGTACAGATCAGGCTAGCAGTGATGATCCGGAGGTCCGGAGCTCAGGGGTAAATCTGGAGCGGAGTTGATCCTGCTGAGGTGTGGGGTATACAGTGGAAGGGGATCTGGGAATGAGTCAGATATGGGGTCTGGACATAGGCTCGGAAGGCGTGGGAATATTATGGAATGTGGGCCTGGATTGTGGGATATGACACCAGCCACCAACTCAATGGAAAGTCCATCTCACATTCCATGCTTCTGAACTATCATCCTATCAGGAGAACAAGATCCATGGACTGAACTTCCATGAACCACCACCCAATGTCATAGATAATGAAGAAGAATATGAAGTCAAAGCCATCTTATTGCATAAGGGGCTAGGTAAACGAACATACTATCTGGTATCCTGGAAGGGATATTCATCAGCTAGCAACAAGTGGATCCCTGAAGAAAATCCATTTCCTCCCATACTTTATCATGTCCTTCCTTTCCTTCCTTTTCCTGTTGTTGAACAACAAAGTCTTGTATATCTGAGTGTTGATGCAAGAATAAGATATTAAAATTTTAGTTTTTCAACACAGCAAGGATGAATCACCTGCTTTCTCTTCTTCCATTGTGCTTGGTCAACCTTAGGAGCAAATAACCTGGCAGCCCTAGCTATGGCAGTGAAAACTGCCCACTTCTCTTTCCTTTTTGCTGAAGTCCACTCAGGAAGGTAGTTCTTCAACTCCAAAATTTCATTTTCTGTGAGCTTCTGTGTCTATGGTTGATGTGCCCTATGTCTTCCAGAAGTCAACTGAGTGGAGTGACTTGATCTTGCCATGGTGAATGAGATTGCAGAATGGGCTGAGGATAATCAACCCATATTGGATGCAATGCCATTAGTGGAAATGAATTTGTAATGATGCATCAAGACTGCATAGCATCATATTGCAACTACAATTCATTCAACCTTCCTGAGCTAATGCTTTGCTTGCAACATCAGAAAATAAGATGAAGATAGATAGATGCACCCCACTGCAAAAATCCCACAGGGTAGAAGCAAGGGGCAGCAAAGGTAGGAAAACTTGGGTCAAGGTCCCACTTGCTAGCACAAAACAACATGCCTACAGGTTCATGCCCAACTCTCCCCCAGAATCACGAACACTTCAGCTTGTTGAGGCACCACCTCCTTGGGAAGACTTTCCTGACAATGCTTATGAGCATGACCAAGGTTCATTTGAGCCTTTGCAACTCCCAAAAACCATGGCAAGTTCATGTAAAATGTTGGATTGTCATTCAAATGATAGCTAAGCACAAAAAATGCAGAGTCAGAATGACTACCTCAGGCAATGGCTGCCAAGGCAGGAATCATATCTGCATCACCTCCTGGATCTAGAAGCTCCACCAGAAGATAGGAGATGTGTCATCTGCAACCAGGATGGGGTCTACAAATGTCAAGATTGTCTTGGGGAGCCACTATATTGCACTGGCTGTTGCAAGAGTCAACATCATTGCAATCCTTTCCACTGGATCAGTCAATGGAATGGCCAATTCTTTGAGCAGAGTTGTTTCGCTCATGTTGGACTCATCATACAACAGATAGGTGGGATTTGTTTGAAGAAGACGAGCATGAAGACCAGCTTGAGCCTGAAGATCTACCATCTGTGTCAGGACCCGAGTTCCAGCTGAAGGAAAATGCAATGGTAGTTGTTGACAAGTCAGGAGTTCATCACCTCGAGGTTCAATGCTGTGATTGTCCAAATGCCATGAGTCCAGACATTCAAATGTTTTGACATAAATTTTTCCCCATATCATTCAACAAGCCAAAGACTTTGTTCACCTTCAGGGTGCTTGATGATTTTCTATTGGACAACCTCAAATGCAGCACCTCAGTGATGAACTATTACAGCAAGCTCTGGTAAATGACCTCAAGCATATTTCCACATCTTGTTCCAGTAATGCCAAATCTCTGACATCTAAAGGACATTATATTGACAAAGCAAGTGACAAGGACCAATACAGAGAGCTCATGAGAGTCACTTGACAGTGGAGGCAGTTGAAGGCCATGAAATGGCATGGATTTGGCCATTGTTCTGACAACCCAAATACAGGAGATCTTGCATTGTTTTGCCCCGCATGTCCTCAGCCTGGGATTAATGTATCCTTGTCAGGGGATGAATCACTTGATGAGTGAGTCTAGTTCGATACCAAAGTCACCTCAGCAATAATAACAACTCCAAGCTGGAAATACACCTGGTCATTTGTTATGGATGGAAATTTCAAAGCCAAACACCTGCATCCCATCAAGCCATTTAATGAAGTGTGGCTTTCTGATGGGTTGGGATTCATGGTGGGAAAGGACAGGTATAAAACCCATCTTGCAGAGGCTGCTGACACTTTGGAAAAATCGAGCTGTAACAATCACTGGGCAGTAAATCAAGCAAATGTGGCTTGGCACAAGCTGGAGTCCATGGGTATCAGGGGAGTTGCCTGTGCCTGACACAGTTGCTTTGTCCCTCACTTGATGGTAGATTTTCAGAAAGGTGAAAGGCAAGCCAACCATGCATTCTACATTCACAAGTTAACAATGCATCATTTGCAGACAAATGAACATGGATTATGCCCTTTGTGAGGCTGCCCAGCACAACATGGAAGGCACCACCAGGGCCGCCACCTCCTATGACATCAACTGTCAATACAACAAGCAGTTTCAGGCTCGGGTGGATTGAAGCCAATTTCTAAAAATGGTTCCAGAATTGACCATCATTCCTGGAATCAGGTTGTGGCATGTCCATGGACGTCAGGACAGCTGCTATGTCCAATATGCATCAAATTTTATTGAAGGCATCAGTCAGATTGATGGTGAGATCATGGAGACCCTATGGTCATATCTCAACCTGATTTCCCCTGCTGCTTGGGGAATGTCATCCCCGCATTGAAAGGAATGTCTTGATTATCAGATGAATGATTCCAAATTCTGCAAGATAATCTGCATGAAAAGGACTCTTTGCCATAAATACAAGCAGGCAAAGAATGGCATTGCTGAAAGTGAAAAGGCTTTTGACAAACTTGATGAAGCAGCACCCACAGCTTCAAAGAAAGAATGGTTAGCCAGTGAGAGGATTGCTCAGTCCAGCAGAATAAATGATCCTGCAGCGATGGATGTATATGAAATTAATATCAAGAAGGGTAAGTTGACTTTGGCTCCATCGAAGTCAGAATTAATTGTTGCACTCAGCATCGAGCAAAAAGGAGATTGAGCTTAGACTGCTAGAGGAGGGTAATGCCTATAATGCAGCACCTGCTTGCAGATCAGTGGCAACATGGGTATCAATGGGGTTGGCAATTGAAGAGGCTCAAATTGCATTGGTCATTGAGCTCTGAAGAATTGGAAGAAGAACTACAGAGACACAGAGATTTGACATTGCCCAGTGTAGGGATTTCATTTACTGTGGGCTTGTATAGGCAGATATTACTTAGTATTATGTTCGCACTTTTGGTGCTTATGTAATCATCATAGTTTTCACCACCTACCAGTACCAGTCTGAGACTGATAGTTATTACCATGATTTCCTATCCTCTCTGAGCACTGAGCTTAGTCCAGAAACCCTTTAGGGTTGAATAGCAGCTGGGCATAGCACATTTGACCCAACTTTAGAAGGCTACTTTCCAGTTCTCTTCTTCTTGTGTTGCCCACAGTGATCACACCTTATCTCTTTCTTAATTATTCTATCTCTTTCTTTTGATTGTTCCACTGACCATTCTGTCAGTTGTACCTATCTTCGGTTCATCCAATGACTCACTGACCCTATGCCCTTACCATCCAATTGGTCCTTCTTACTTACTATGGTATTCTGACTTGTCATGACTCACCCATGTCCCCTTTACCCTTACCGCTCAACCAGTACTTTCTACTTACTTTGGTATCTTGACTCATCATGACTCATTCACTCTCTACCCTTACCACTAATATGGCAGACCTACCCTTATCCCTTCCAACAATATATATACCTTATGGGTAGCACTTGTATTCCCTAACTTGAATCTACTTGGTTCATACTGCCTACTCCATGAGCCCTAAGCAAGCTCTCCTCTTTAGCAAGTACTTTCATTGGAGCTCATCACTGCCAACATCTCTAGCCTTGTGAAGAGAATGATTGATGACTTCACCATTGTAATCATCAATAATCGATCATAGCCCTCAAAGCTAGATCAATTGCTGTGAACTCATACCTACAAATACTCACTGGTTGCAGCAGGCTTGGTGTGAGCCCCAATCCAAGTTCTATATTACTCACTTGCTTTGTTTGCATGTTGCAGACTTAGCTTGATTGTAACACAACAAGAATGAGGGGCTGATGCAATGAAGGTCCACTTGGATGTAAGTGTAGACAAAATGTATCCAGTATGTGCATCTCAATTTGTTTCTTTTGCAACTCACTCAAACACTGAAGTTGATGCAGGGAATGTTTCAAGAACCAAACCACATAGACATTGACATTAACTTAGAACACGCATACCTGGTACATCATCTCAGCCATTTTTTTCTGCAAATCACTAACTAATGTTGATGCAGGGAATGCTTCAAGAACCAAACACTATGAACATTGACATCAACTTACATGAAGTGTACCCAGTATGTGTATCTCAACTATTTATTTGCAACTCACTAAGGAAAACACTGAAGTTGATGCAGGGAACACTTCAAGGACCAGATCCTATGGAGGTTGACAACAACTTAGAAGAAACATACCCGGTATGTATTTCTTAATTCATATTATTTATAACTCACTCAGGAATACTGAAATTATCACAGGGAACACTTTGGGAACAAGACCATATGGATGTTGACATCAAATCAAATGAAGCACACACAGTTTGTGCATCTCAATCCTTTTTATTTGTAATTCATCAAGTGCAGGGAACACATCTTATGGATGTTGATGCAAGTGTCAATGCAGACATTGACATGAATGAATTCTATTCAGTCTGTATATACACTTTGTGCTGTTTTTCCATTTGATTTTTATTCTATCCAGGAAAATATGGAGAGCGGAGAGGTGATGCAGATTGATGCTGACTCCAGTCAGATGGACATTGATTGAGAAATCAGATCCTCGTGGATAAGTTGTAATAATAGCTCCACATTCTAGCCCATTTTGGGTTCATACTGTTGCTGATTGTATCACCATATATTCCACCCCACTCATACCAAGTTTCTATTTCATCACACAATAATCCCACAACCCCCCAATACTATTCCTAGACCCTAGTCCCAATGATACATGTATAATTAAATGTTTGTTCAAAACACATTGCACAAGTTACCTTGGTCTATTGCACTGACTCTAGTGTCCAGAAAAGCTTCCTGCTGCACCGGGAAAGATGCTACTGTTGTCATCTTAGCTCATTTCTTCAGCTGGCACACTGAACTTTTGGTGATGAATGATGAAGTCTTGTTTGTGCAGTTGTCAATTGCCCATTTGCCTATTGGCTATATACTATCATAGGCTACTCTCATCACAATGCATTTCTGTGAAGCTATGACACACCTTTCTGGCACAAATATAAAGAGGGAAAGAGGACATGATTCTCCCTGGTGTGGGACATTCCAGATCACTTTGTGGATGGCAATGAGCAGGAAAATGTGGGCAAAGAGTTTAATGTCCAAGTGATGCAGGTAACTGAAGGTTAAGTGTGTTTTTTCAATGCCATGCCAAAGATTTTGTATTATATGCTGTGATTGACTGATTATTTTGCCCTCTCAAAATGTACATTATGCCTGTAGTGCCCAGAATGCAATAGATGATTCCACCAGAAACATGATAACTTGCTTATAACTATATATTACCAACTAAGTACCATTCTTTGTCAGCCAAGTCAACAATATCTCACTGTAGAATCACAGTTTTCACACACTGTATGTGGGAATATCTGGTTCACTATTTAAACCCCAAAATTGTCAAGTGTCACTCTTTTCCTTCTTACACCCTGTAGTAGCCATAGTATACATTATTACTACAGAGTGTACCCTAGTGTAATACTACAGAATTTTGATTCTGCTTCTTTCTTATGAAAACTGATGAGGCAATCATATTACACACCACTACCAATATCATATGAATGATAGATGAAATAACAGTATGCCCTGAGGTTTGCACAACTCACAACTACCTTCCAAGATCTGATTCTGTTTGCAGGGGTACATTCATGTACACCAACCTATGGAAATACTGCACCAAAATTCTGAGAACTTGGTCAGTCATAATGTTTCAATCTGTGTCCTAATATTTACCTGGTTCAAAGGTTTTAGAACAATGTCAACCTCCCCCCACTTCATTGAGATAGAGTGGCAAATGCAACTGGTGCCCACTGGGAAAATGTCAAGATCCTGGTGGTAGGCAGAACGCCACAATGAAGCACCAAAGTCACTGTACAATCAGAAAGGATCCTGGTGTTCTCTCACTAGAGGTAAGTTATGCTGTACTGTGAAGTAATATTTCTGGTCCTGATTTTCTTCTCCTATGGAGAAAATATGCTCAATCACTCCAGGCACAAATTCTTGGGGCTTGCACTGGAAGAACATGCTTGAGTCATGATTTGACCAGGAGTGACTGCAGTACTGCCTGCCTGAGATATCCAATCATTTGTAGAGTGTAATGGAGGTGCCTTCAGAGTCAGGACGATCTTCACATAGGTGAGCTTGAGTTGCTTTCCATGCCTTTAGGAGATCACCAGGAACTGGGATCTTGAGGACATGGATATCCCAGTGAGAACCACCATCATGTCTACCTGCAGACAGGATATCCATTTTGGTATGGATATTGCCTCCTGTGAATGGGTCACAATATTGACCCAAAATTGTCGCAGCCTCATTTAGAATGGCAGGTCCTGTAGGATCCTGTACCATGGCTTTAATGTTTGTGGCTGCACAAAACATCTCCAGCATTGTCTTCTCTAGTTCTCTTGTTACATTGTTCATACTCTTCTTGTATTTTAGTGTATAGCTCACTCACCTATCTTGTAGTTGGTGTTAGTTTTTTGGAGCACACCAATGATTCTCTCAAATGAAAACATCCACCAGCCATGCATAGGACCATATCTCAAGAGGAACTCACAGATGTGAAGAGCAGCATAATGATTTGGGTGCCAAGAATGATACAGGAATATTCCTTTGATAGACTCAAGTTATGCCTTCATATATCTAGTGTATTGCTGAGCATGGTGTGATGATGTTACATGTGAAGTTCCCCAATGGATTGCAATCGCCAGCAGCATTGTGTTGTGAACCAACTTCTGCAGTTGAGATTTGCAATCATCATTAGTGCCATTGGCTGTATGTTTGGATCCCCACAATTGCATCAGGGCCACTGGTAAGTCAAATTCAATTGATGATTTCCATTGTTCTGCCTTGAGCTTGCCATGTTCTGCATCCCCTAGGTTTTTTGGCAGGCCATGGTGCCATGTTGGCCTCTGAACATTTCCCAACATTTCCTGGATAGCATTTATCTTGTTGTCTGACAGTACTTCCAATCCCTTTGGTCCATCTTTTGCTGATTTCCTTTGTGCAGCATATTTCTGTACCAATTCATCAGCAATAAATGCCTGATCATAACCACCCAGTTGTCAACCATCTCCAAAATCAACATCCATAGGGGTACATTCAGGGAGTACATACTTCATAAAGTTCCAGTGAGTAATTTTTTCACCACTTGAACTATAAACTTACTAGCAGTGCCTCAACCATTTCTTTTTTCCTAGGGCATGGTGTATCCAGCAAGACCACCCCATATTCTTGAACTAGTGCTTCTAGCATGTCTACATAGAGATGGGTCATGGCAGACATGGTAGGGTTTGAAATCAAAGTATCTCTGCCCTTCTGTAAGTCCTTCAACTCAACATGTCTTAATACTCTTTGCTGCCTCTTTAGTGTCCTGCAACAGCTGGAGCTATGCATGATGAAATTGCTCATTACAAGTGTCAGTTCCTACATCCATATTCATAACTTTCCCCAGTGACTTCTCTAACTACAGTGGCTCAAAAAACTGTCCACATGTTTTTGCATTTTTTACTATTTACAATATTGTGTGAGAATACATAAAGACCTCAGTGACATGCTAATACCATATTGTAGTGCTGCTTCAGGGCTTTGGATTGAGCACCACATCGTGAGAATCAGAGGAGATATGGTGGAGATACAAGGCTTACAAAATCATGACTCATGCGGACAGTTTTTTGAGCACATATTAAAACTATATAAATCATCATTTATGACACCATAACAATCATGCCACCATTAAATAAATTATAAAGTGGTGTCATTATGTCATTTTAAAACCATATCTAACTATACAAACCAAAAATTTCCATATGTCATGGTTATATTCACCATGAAAGCCACCCCCCCTGCTCAAAGGGATAATATCCTCTCTCTTTCCTATTCTGGCCTCTCTGCTTGTCAAATTTCCTCTAGAACTGGAGTATCCAAGTCCACTGTGGCCAAGTTCATCAAAGAAAGTCACACAGACAAGGAAAACTTCTGTGAAGGGTGTCCATCCAAGCTCACCTCTACTGATAGGAGGGCTATTATTCAACATATCACTACAGGAAAGGCTGATAATGCTGTCCAGGTCACCTATTACATCAATTCCACCATCACATTCCCTGTCTCTTCACACACTGTGAGAAACATTCTCAAGACAGCTCATCTCAGGTCAGTAACAAGGAAGAAAAGGCTCTCCTTTCTATCACACATAAACAGAGATGACTAACCTTTGCCTTAGCCCATCAGAATTGGATTACATGGACTGGAAGCATGTTATATGATCATATAAGACCACAATAAATAGGATTGGGTCAGATGGCAAGGTATATATGTGAAAAAAGAAGGGTGCTAGTCCTCTCTGCATATGTGTGATAGAGAGGAGAGCCTTTTCTTCCTTGTTACTGACCTGAGATGAGCTGTCTTGAGAATGTTTCTCACAGTGTGTGAAGAGACAGGGAATGTGATGGTGGAATTGATGTAATAGGTGACCTGGACAGCATTATCAGCCTTTCCTGTAGTGATATGTTGAATAATAGCCCTCCTATCAGTAGAGGTGAGCTTGGATGGACACCCTTCACAGAAGTTTTCCTTGTCTGTGTGACTTTCTTTGATGAACTTGGCCACAGTGGACTTGGATACTCCAGTTCTAGAGGAAATTTGACAAGCAGAGAGGCCAGAATAGGAAAGAGAGAGGATATTATCCCTTTGAGCAGGGGGGGTGGCTTTCATGGTGAATATAACCATGACATATGGAAATTTTTGGTTTGTATAGTTAGATATGGTTTTAAAATGACATAATGACACCACTTTATAATTTATTTAATGGTGGCATGATTGTTATGGTGTCATAAATGATGATTTATATAGTTTTAATATGTGCTCAAAAAACTGTCCGCATGAGTCATGATTTTGTAAGCCTTGTATCTCCACCATATCTCCTCTGATTCTCACGATGTGGTGCTCAATCCAAAGCTCTGAAGCAGCACTACAATATGGTATTAGCATGTCACTGAGGTCTTTATGTATTCTCACACAATATTGTAAATAGTAAAAAATGCAAAAACATGTGGACAGTTTTTTGAGCCACTGTATGTATGTCCTTCTGAGAGTGTCACCAGTGCTTGCTCATCCTCAATCAAATCCAGAATGTTTATGACATCTGTCACTGTACAGACATGATGGTTGGCTTCATGATTGAGGAGGTAGAGTGTACAATAGTCTTGCCAAGTTTAATCTTCATACTGAGCTGAAGGCTCTCTATCATTGATGGCCTCACCTGCAAGCCTCATCTGTGATATGCCCAAGGTGATGCTTTCTGAATCCACATAATCATCATTTTCTACTGCTACCTTGTCTTCCAAGGTTATCCTGAAGATTTCCCTGGCAAGATCTTTATCATCTGCCATTAGTACCTTTGATGTGTGGATTTCATGGCTCCAGTTGGAACTTAGTTTTGCCACTCTCTTATCCTGCAATGTGGAAGGGAGGAAACCAATTATTTCCAGACACCATTTTGTAGTGAATGGTAGCACCAAATAATCTTCAATGTGATTGTTGTTCATGTATATCTACAGTTGTCGCATTGCCATATCTTCTTTAGTATTCCTTGTCTACAGTGCTCTTGTACTCTGTGGGTGTGATTGTGTTGTTCGCCCTTAAACTTTGTATTGCTTTACCTCCCTATATTGCCATCTGTATCTAAGGTGACTGCTTCTATTGTGAAATGGACTGGATTGGGATCAGGCACTTCATCAACCTGAATCACTGACATAAATAGTGCCATCAAACTGAGTGTGGAGCTGGTGTTCATCTAACTTTGTATCCCATGCCTAAAGTTTACTCACACTGGTGATATGCTTGCCATTTCTTGCCTCTCACCATGCATTGCAATTTTCCCCCAGAACACACAATGAGCCCTCCCCTGTCAACACAGCACAAAGTTTTTCAGAGAGAGGTCAATTCAATTGCTGTTGCACAATTGGACTTACTGCCCAGTCCTCTTATACCTTCCTTACCCCCTAAAATCTCAAAGCCTCCAGGTGAAGTAAGCCATCTTAAATGAGGGGGCTACAACTTGCAAGAGACATTAGGCTGGTCTCCATTGGAGTACAAGGAAGTTCGTGTGTACATGCTATTGTAGGGTTTTTCAGAGTGGCTGATATCAACCTGCAGAGTTTTGTCATACATCTGGCTTGTGAGCACCTCAGTGTGAAGAAGACTTGGAAATCACAATTGCCTGAAAATTTGAAGTTAGTTTTTCAAAAGGTGAATGCTGGTATCAATCTTTGTTTTGAGATAATACTAACTTGCCCAGGCCAAGCAACATTATCCAATTCTCCATGACTATGACAGAGATTGGGTGGCATTAGATGTCTTGTGGGTCTTTTTAAAAAATAGTAGTACTCGCACAAACTAGAAGAATAGTGGATTGGATTGGGTGGTATCAAATGTCTTGTAGGTATTTAAAAAAATAGTAGTACTCACACAAACTAAAGAATAGAAGATAACCATGGCTACACTATTGAATTGGGGGGTGGTCCACATATTAAATTGAGTGAACCTCTCAGAGGGGTACTCAGAGGGCTACTTGTACATACATTTAGACATATCTACAAATTGTAAACAAATTTGTTGCACTGATAAGTCCATGATGTTCACAGGTTATAGCCATATCCCTCCAGTTGACAACATGAACTATTCAAATCTCCAACCTGATCATGGGCACCACAACCCTCAGCCCAAACAGCCACAAGTTGTTCAGTCTTTGCCATTGGACAGCCAGGAACATTCAAATCTCCAACCTGATCATGGGCACTATGACCCTCAGCAAAAACAGCCACAAGTTGTTCAGTCTTTGCCATCAGATGGCCAGGAACATCATGATCATGATCATTCTCAATTTCCTGTGGCAGATGGTGACAACCAATTGGCTAGCAGCAGTTGTTATGGTGAGCTTTCATTTCTAATGTGTTTTCACATCAATAAATTCACAATTACAAAGTCCAGTCTAGATTTCATCCCTACCCAGAGGTGCAATGCTGGGCAACTATGGGCAATTGCCATTTGGATATCAACTTGGAGTCAATGTGATCATTGTCATCCAAAGAGCCCCCCCCCTCTGACAAACTCTACCAGAAGTTATATAAGGGCATTAAAACTGTTGACTCTAAACTCAAATGTTGTGTCTCAAACCAGTTGGTTTTTGTTAGTGGCATATATATCCCCCCAGAATCCTCAATGTCAATGGGATGGGTACTATCCCTGATAACAATGCCAATAATCTTAATGCCACAGACACTCGAGAATGTGAAGGTGGCTGCTTCAACAGCCATGATCACAGATATATTCAACAAAAGCCTTTTTCTTACTGTGAAAGAGCTCATGGACATTGTCATGGCCATGGTGGACAAGACCATCACCCAATACTTAGGTGAAACTCATACCAGACTCTTACAGTGGAAGTTAAGATCAGAAGGCAGCCAACACATATTGAGGATGAAAGGTGAGCTGAAACAAATATATGTCAACTTTCAGAATGTTGCCGATATGTCAATGTTATCAGCTTATGGACTGGCCCACAACATATCAAAGACCAAGCAGGAGATGACAAATTCACACATTGCTGACATTCATTACCTGCTGTCAAACTACTATTTTGTGGACATGTTCAAGGTTGGTTACTCAAAATGATCTTTCCCTTATTGTGTTACTCCTAGTTCCATTTGGCCACATGGCTAGCTGCAACTTGCTAGAGTATATTATATCAGTGAAGCAATACTCCCAATATCTACTCCTCAATCAAGATGGCTGGGAAACCCACCTTAAGCATGCCATCACTTTTGCTGCCACAGCAGGGCATTGGTTGTTGGAAAAAAGTTTGGCCAGTTGGTCTGCAACCTTAGAATTTGCAACACCAGTGCACAAAATTCTGTATGATGAGTTGGTGTCTCAGATGGAATAGCTGCCTGAAGTTCTCAGAATCAGGTTTGATAGATTGTTATGTGATATGTGTTGTGCACTAATGTAAATAGCATACTTACTACTATACTTGATGGAATGCTCAAGCTTTTGCTAATTGATTGATTGAGAAATTTATGCCGAGTACTAGTATGCTGAGGTGGCTTATCTTAGCACCTCTCAGCAGTCACAGACATTACTTAACTTCAATCTTCTTGTTACAGTTATTTGTCATTACTACCATTATGTGCATGACTCATTATCATGATTATTCTCCTCAGATAGTGCTGCATGAACTTGAAGCAGCCTGGGATCAAGCCTCCAGAGTCTTGCATCATTCACCAGAGTCAATCATTGTTGTCGCTAAACCATCTAGCAAGATGTACCAAACTGACCTTGCTTTATGTCACAGGAACTTAGCTTCACACTAAGTCATGCCTGCACCCAATTGACTCCTGACTGCTGCAAGTGAGGGACAAGCTCAGCTTCCACATCTTCTTCCAATACCCCACCCTCGCACTTCCAGCCCCACCTCACCCCACCACACCTTCTGGATAACCTGCACTGATGGGCCATCTTCGCCCTCACCCATCAGGGTAGCTTATATCATTTTCTGTCACTGGTTGAGTTGGTATTCTGGCTGATCACTACTGATCATTCAGTATTCACCCACAGACACAATGTAATGGTCACTCACAGGATCTTGGCTCATTTTGAAAGTAGTAGGTGTAGATTTTTGATATTGTCAAGTTTGAACTTCAGTACTGATCAGGCTGTCATTTGAAGCCTGTACTCAAAAGGCATCTCCTGGCCATTTATTTTTTCAGACAGCTAACTCCCACTTTTTCCAGTGTGGTCCTCCCCTGGGCCTTACTCCTCCTCTACCTTCAGCTTTTTTGGTTCGATCTTCTTGTCACATTTTTGACATGTTAGCTTATCTATGTATCCTCACTTTCCTGCATGCTTGCTCCTCCATGACCTTCATCAATGTCTCTGTTTCAACTTCATACTGTCTCCATTACCACTCTCATTGCTGATATGGCAGAAGTTAATCTTCAAGTTCTGATAGTTAAGGTGTGTTGCCATACTTTTTTTCTCAGATCACCTGTTCACAAGCATGATGCGCACACATCCAGTTCCAGAACCACCCTTAGCATCACATCCACATTTGTGTCCATCACTCTCTATATTCCAATGCTCATGACTCTGTGTTTGTTTCGAAAAAAAGTCCACATGTGTCATACATGAGTCATTTCCATTCTCTTTGATGTGCTGTCAATCAGCTAAGCCATACCCTAGAGTTAACTATATCCACACTCCATGATGACCTCTGCAGGAATTGTGAATATTTGTCATGACATCAATGTCAACTTCTAATGCCACTCCTCATGTACAACAAGAATTACCTCAGAACCAACTTCTTCCAGCTCCCCTCCACCAGACACAAGTCTTGCCAGCTTAGGCTAGACTTTGCCCTCAACACTCCTTTGACACTCCAAGAATTTCACCTACCAGAGAAAATATTCTCCACCTGAACTGGTATGAGAACCACTATGAAGTTGCACTCAGTTGGGTGGGTTGGCAATGGGTAAAGGAGCGACTTGGGGGCTGGGAAGATTATTTATTTGCTTAGTAAGAATGCTCGGGTGATTGTGCCAATGAATGCATGGACAAGGATCATTTTAACTGCAAGCAAGGAAAGATGAGCTTTTCAGGAGATCATGGTCGAATTATGCAGAATGGATGGGTCCATTGTGAAACTTATGAGCAAGCGAGCAAATGAAGCAATGAGAGGTGAGAGTATGTAAGTTATCATAGCAGAAGCCACAAAGAGCATAAATGAAATGTAAAACAGAGTAATGACCTGGGTACATTTGAAACTGACTACAAAACATACCTGTAATTCTGTTCTTTGAAACAGTATATACTATGCACTTGTTTGCACCTTAAGCAAAGTATTGTATGCCTCTCAAACATCATAGCCCACCAAGCAACAGTACTTAACATCTAATAGGACAATAAAATGATACCCTTTCATGCTGCAATATCAGCCACCTGTTGATCCTTTGGTTTGGATTGTCAATATTTCAATCCTCAAGCCTTGATATCAATGAAAAATCCTTGTGGTCCTAAAAATCCTTTGTGGGCTTTGGATGATAGTCATGGACCTCACATTGCACTCTATCTTGAAAAAGGCCCCCATGGGATTGGTACATCACTCCTTTGCCATGGGTTTCCCTTTGTGTGAGACTTGTGCATCATCAGTGCTCTTGTATGCCCACTTTTCCACAATCATCAAGACATGACAGGGCTCCCAGTCCCATCCCCCTTGTCCAGCACATTGTTCATGCTCAGAGATGTTGATTCCCTGGAATGAGGTAACTACATTAGCTATCAATAAAATGAAATTTTGTCCAGGAACAGTCACAGTGGACACTCCCAAAGTTGCAACTATGCCCTGAACAAGCCTATTTGGCTTTTGGAACTCATTGAACACCATTTTGTTATGTTCCATGGACATGGTGGGATGAAGGTGCCAAAACTTGAATACACATTAAACTGCCTCAGGTAAATGAGTATTGAGGTATCTTGCAACAGCTGCAGTACTAAGTTTGTGATATATGAATATAAGGGACTTTGAAGGATAAGACATGGGTGGATGAAACGGCTCATGATATGAGGCATCTGAGCTGGAATGATTTCAGATATTGTGATCATTTGGAAATAAAATCAAGTTGCAAGAAGGCCTTGAGAACTTGCTGGTGTTGTGCCATTGAAAGGGTACTTGTAAAGTCCATTGGGATATTTTCAATCACATCTCAAGCAATGAGCGATAAAGGTTGTATGGAACTCATAGTTCATAGCATATAGGCTGAGCAAGAGGAAACACATAACTTGTAAATACTGTATGATTGCAGGTACCTCAGCCAGCACAATTGGCAACTGTCAAATTTCAAACTCCTCACTCCTCCTGCCAAATTTCTCCAAGATCGATAGTGTTGTGGGCAGAACTCAGGGTTGGCAGTGAACTAGTCCATAATAATATGTACACTGTGAATAACTGAAAACAGAGTTGCAGATGCTCTTGGCTGATCCTTTGTCCCAAAATATGGTCCATGCTAGTGGCTGCCCAGTGCCATCCCTAATCAATGATAACTTTGAGTGATATCTCCATCTAATGTGTCGAAAACTCACAGTCACACAAGTAGCAAATGGGAGGTCAAAATTGCACTTGGCATTATGAAGTGCTGGAAGTGAGCAAATGGGAGGTCAAAATTGCACTTGGCATTGTGAAGCGCTAGAAGTGAGCAAATTGAAGGCAAAGAAGCTGGCAGATGACCTACAAACATACAATGAGTCAGCAGCACCATTCACAGGGGGCCAAGCAGATAGCCTTTCATGGTGGAAGAACCTTCCGCTCAAGGCATTTGCCATGACAATTTTATCTATTGTTGGGCATGCAGGCAAAGTTGAATGGACACTCTCTAATCTCAGCACCACACAGTCTGCAAGGTGCTGTAATTTTTCAGTTGAAACATTTGAAACACTGGGGAAGATTCATGCAAACCTTCACTACCACCAAGCTAAAAGAGTGGAGGACAACAGAAAGCCTGCATGTCATTGGCATCTGCATCTGCACACTCATGAGGAGGTTGGAATCAATGTTGATGTTGCCCAGGATCTGGAAGCCAATTTTGCATGGGTGCCTCCACTTGCAGCAGAACCACAAGATGTAGATGACCTCCTTGCAGGTCCTGAGACCATATCAGCTGATGAAATCACTGAAGAATTTGGTGCTCTTGAAGCACAGGAGAATCTGGAAGAATTTGTGAGCATTGACAACACAGAGGTCCTTGGAGGGAAGGCATTTGATTTTGCTGAATTGGAGCAGGTTGACTGAGGGATAGTACCATGCTGCCCTTGCTTATTTTTGTCTGTTTGAGGCTGGATTGCCAGGCTGTGGCCCTACCACTGCCTTTGGTCTTGCTCAGTGTGGTCTTGGCCACTCTCTGCATGCTGCTGAGTCTTGTAGCCAATTTTGCAGTCTGCTCTGTCAGTTGTGGCATGAGGACATGAAACATCACCTTCACTATGACCCGATGTCTTATGGTGGCTGTTGAAACCCTGCCCTAGCTGACAATGTCTCCAAAACAGTCCCAGACTTAAATATTTGGTCATCATACCTCAATCCTGCCATCTCTGGGCCTCTTGTACCTGTCCATGAACCTGGTGTACCTGATGTTGGCAGAATTGCAGCTACAGCAGTCTCTCTATTTGGCTGGGAAGATGCATGTTGCCTGCTCAACACATTTCATAAAAATATCTGGCCTGGCATTGTGATGAGCAAAATATTGCAAGACCTGTGCACCTGGCAACCAGATAACCAGGATGTAAGTCAAGATCACCTGAACTTATGTTTGACTTGCTAATCAGACAATGAGACAAGGTCGCACTTGTGGCAGCTATCACTTGGCATTTCTTTCTTCATTTTGCCTACAAAAAGTGGACTGTTTCTGGAATTTCTGGTTATGACATGTGAGTGCCTGCCAATGCCCTTGTGAGGGATACATTTAGGTCCCTCAAACATCTATCCATACCAGATCGACCATTCACTGATGGATGATGGCAAGTACTCAAAGGTATGATGTTCATTGTGACTCCTGCTAAAGCTTCCCTAAAATGTTGGACTAGGAATGAGAGGGCCCCTCATCACACAACACCATTGATCTGATGAACTGGAGTGACGAAAGTGAGTGGTTAATTGACCTGACAAGCCAAGGTCCTAGTTGCAGTTTGAAGAGCAAGGGGAAGTCCAAGTCTCAGTCTATGGATGTCATTGACCTCACATAAATTTAATCATATGTCCTATGTAGCTGAATATGAGTATGCATATGTTGTTTCAAGCTAAGCACAAGCACAGGTACAACCACATATGGGGCAAGGATCATCTTGAGGACAATCAGGGTTAAAGTAATCCTCACACTCAACAAATGGGCTATCAGTTCAGGACAGCATATTCTACAGGCTAATGGAATAGTGAGAATGAATGTCCTGCAGCTTGTTTGAACCAATGAAGAAATGAAAATGCAGAGTACATACTGGTCATAAAGGAAGCTCACTCTCTTCCCAACAAATTCAGTCTCAATTTGGCAGGGAAGACACAAATGTCACACTGTACCAAAGTAAGAAGGGAGTTGACTGTGTGCAGCGCACATTACAGGACAGTGACAGACAGGCAAACTCAGCATGGGTATGCATTCTGTCCATCACAGAAATAAAGCTGATGTTTTGAAAAAACATAGGCCCAAGCTGTTGTTGCATATTTCAGCATTAACACTGATTTGTAGTGTTAAGAACCATGTTGCTCAAGGGGGAGAGACTGACTCAGAGGGGCTTGGCCTCAGCTCGTACACTGTGCCCCTTACCTGAGTATGTGCCCTTCATTTCAGAGGAAGTCCAATGATGGTCCAACAAAGTCCAGAGGACTTCCGGAGGCCAGCTACTCTGGTGGAGAGTGCTAGAGGACTTCCAGAGGAGCGTGGGAAATGTCCAGAGGAGCGTGGGAGAGTTCTGGAGGAATGCAGGAAGTGCTCAGGAGAGTTCCCACTGCAAGGTCATACTTCTACAGGAAACAGGATGGAAGGATAGGAGGTCTGAAGGTCTGGAGGACAGGAGGTCAGGAGGGCAGGATGACAGAGGACAGAAGGACAGGAGGACAGGAGTATAGGATGTCCAAGGGTTAGGAGGATGGAATGTCCAAAGGACAGGATGCCCGGAGGTATGAGGGACAGAAGGTCCAGAGGTCTGGAAGGAATAGGGGCTACATTGGACAGAGTCTGATGTAGAAACAAACAGAGGTAGACTACCCTAAGGTAGAGTTGGAGAGACAGGGATTGGACCTAAGTCCAGAAAGAGGGTAAGTGCCAGAAAGGCAGAGCTCCAGCCTAGGGAGTCAATCCCTAGGCCTGATGAGTAGCACAGACTTAGGTAGACCAAAGTCCGAGAGAGGATTGGGCAAGTCTAAGTTGATATTCAAACTAAGGAAACTACAGGAGTATCTACAGGGGTTATATACTGGAGACTATCTAAGGGGATCAGTAAGCAAAGGAGCAAGGCTATGTATGAGCATGTGGAAACACATTAGTAAGTAAGATGGAACATAAGTAAATGAACTCAGAGATGAAGACTCGTACAAGGATCAATAAGCAAGATGGAAGAAGAGGTAACTGAAAGCCAGAAAGGTAGAGATGTCTATATGGGGATAGGCACAGGATGTTGGACAGAGGGTGGGAATAGGTCTGGAGATCTGGGGATCTGGAAGACAAGGTGGATAGGACCAGAATATGAGGAGGTGGATATAGTCCTGAATCTGAGATGAGGTGAAGTTCAGATGTCTTGCTGGATGGAGTGAGCATAGGGTGGACAGGATAGGGTGGTATGGATCAGGCTAGCAGTGGAGATCCAATGGTCCGGAGCAGAGTCAATCCTGCTGAGGTGTGGAGCACACAGTGGAAAGGGATCTGGGAATGAGTTGGATATGAGGTGGGGTCTGGACATAGACTCGGAAGGCGTGGGAATATGATGGAATGTGGGTCCAGATTGTGGGATATGACATGTGGCCTGTCCACAGGGCTGCATCAATATCACACATTGCTGGCAAAAATCAAGGCAATGATCCCAGAAGTACCAAAGCAACAGCGGCACTGCATGGAGATAGTGAGGAGGTGTGTTTTACCATTTATGGGATGCAGAAAATAAGTTGCACTGATTCGAACCTTTGTTTAGGATACTTTAGCACTCACACATTATGTACAGCAATTCCAATGGAACCTTTTCAACCATGTTGACAAAGTTGAGGACAAAATTGACCAAGTCCTGCACTTGCACACAAGCATGAGTCCATCTGTCCCTCCCAAGACTGCTACAGCCCCAATTTCACCCCAACACGAGCTCAATCCTGCAGCAGCACACATAACACCACTTCTAGACACCACAGTCCATACAGTGCCTTGAGAGGACATTCCCACAGCAAATCTGAAGGTTGCACATCTCAGAAACAAAGATTTCACATATGATAAGTCCCAACTGCAAGGTCCACCACTCATCCACTTCTCAAGGGACATTAAGAGGCTTTGTTCTGAGTGGGAGTCATCTGATCTCCTAATTGTGACTGGTCACAGGATTCCCATCAAATACTGGGGAGAGTTCTTCAAAAAATCAAAGACACACAGCAAAAACTCAGCCTGGGACTCCATTAAAGTCGAATGGGGGAACTGGAAGATGAGTAAGGAAAAAACTCATGCACACTGTTTATTGTCTGACACAATTTCTAGTTTATTATGGAAGAATGGCAGCACTTTCCAAGCACTGATGCATTTTGGGGAGAATATTCAAACCCCATGACCAAAAGTAGTCATGTCACTGCTTGGCTTGGCTTGTCTCCAGTCTGGCTTTTACCAGCCACACCTGTAGTTTGGCTATCCCTGTGAGCTGCACCACATTGTCCAGCTTAGTTTGGTTTATTAACTGTGTGAATCAGCTGCAAACATGACTCCAGCAACATTGACTTGAGCCAGTTCAAACTGATTAAAGTCAGCTTCAGTCACGTGGAAGTTGAACTATCTTCTTTCTGTGCATCATTGTCCACTCAATCCCTCACTGCAATATTCAGTCCTGTTGTAGCATGAAGGCCCCAAATTGCATTGATGGTAGATTTAGGCTGGAAAATATTTTGGGGTCTGGTTCATATGGTATGTTCATATGATATTCAGGTTTTCAACATACATTAATGTTACTAGCTGTTGTGTACTGTGCACAGAACTTCCTCAATGATGACATTGTTGCTATCAAACTCAAGCTGGTCACCAATAACCCATCTTCTGTGGAGCATGAGCACAACATTCTAAAGCAACTTGAAGGTGGAGTTGGGATCCCCCATGCCCTTTGGTTTGGCAGAGAGTCAACACATTATGCCTTGGCTCTCGACCTCCTTGGGCTGTCACTACAAGATCTCTTCCTTGCATCCAACCACAAATTTAGCCTCCACACTGTTGTTAATTTAGGAGACCAGCTGGTACTGTGGTCAAATTTATTGTGGGCTACTGCAGATACTAACCTATTTTCCAGCTGTTGTATCTCAAGTACAATCACTCACATGACTTCATTCATGGGGATATCAAACTGCATAACATTTTGGTAGACAATTCGAGGCAAACTGTCTACATCATCAACTTTGGTATCACGAAGAAGTACTGGAACAATGCAACAAAATCCCACATCCCATTTTGCCAAGGTCAACATCTCACAGGCACCCCTGCCTTTGCTTCAATCAATAATCACTTGGGATTGGAGCCAGGTCACTGTGAAGATCTCAAATCACTTGCTTACATGTTGATATATTTCTTGTGTGGCTCCCTTCCATGGCTAAGTAGTGACCATGAGAGGCTGTCCAGCTCCATGATACTCAAGTGCAAAGTGGATACCACCATTGCTGATTTATGTGGTGGAATTCCTGCTACATTCACAAATATCCTTGTCTACTCACACTCTCATTCTCAGAGGATCCTGATTATGACCATCTTCGTTCTTTACTTCATGATCTTTGCACTGCAGGGCCCACACCAGCTACACACTCCCTGAATTTTGATTGTCACATTGCACCTTCCCCTCAATGTCCTCAAGTCTCTGAATCAGTGCCCCAATGTCTGCTGAAGGCACCTCTTCATAGATCAACCCATATGTAAGTAGTTTGATTTATCCTTACACATCACACTCATGATATATGAACTCATGATTTGCAAGGTTATGCCCACACAATGGTACCCTAACACCTGCAACTACTCCCACTTTGCATTGAATAAAGAAAAGAGTTGTATAGCCCACTTATTCTCATTCTTCTTTTTTCAGTACTACATCTGTGCAGTGCACGTGTTTGTGATGTTGTGTGATAGGTATCTACATATGTATATATTGTACATGGTCTGTGCGCACATGCTGTGTGATTCCCATGTTGCTTTTTATCACATGCTCAATTGAACTTGAATTTTATCTTTAATCATTCCATCAAGAATTGCAACCACGACTTGACCATGACTGTGTGTTCTATTCAATCAGCCAGTCTCCCACTCCTCAGCAGGGCTCAACCCTAATATCATCTTAATGTTTCTACTTGCATTCTGACTCACAATAAGTACTGATATATATGCCATTTTTCATCAGATGCTCAATTGAACTTGAACTTTATCTTTAATCATTACCTCAAGAGTCGCAACCACAACTGTGTGTTCTATTCAACCAGCCAGTCTCTCCCACTCCTCAGCAGGGCTCAACCCTAATATCATCTTAATGTTTCTACTCACATTCTCCACACAGAAATCCTCACCTAATACACCATGATTCTGTGTGCCATCACACACATTTGTATTTTCCTGGGTCTCCCCAGAATGAAGGTATACATATATAGACAGTTGAGTCTCTCATTGGATCTCCAGCCTCCAGCACTACTAACATGAATTGTCATGGCCATTGTCGCAAAAACAACAATATCCCCCAGGTTGAGGGCACTCCTGCTGCTCCCGTACTTGTCGCTCCTGTACCTTCCATACCTGTCACTCCTGCACCTTCCATACCTGTTGCTCATACTCCTACTCCTTCTGGACCAGCCACACCTGTTCCTGCTGCAACTACCACTGCAGCAGCTGCAATTGCTACTGCCCTTCACTGCCCTAGGAGGCAATGACAACTTCCTCAGAGATACAGGGCCAACAACACAGCTGCTCATCCAGATGACAGCAACTTGCACAATCGAGATGCTCAGCCCTCCCCCTAGTCATGGTGATGGTAGTTTGAGGCCCACTGTTGGGATGTCAGCAGTTTCAGAGTGTGGCTTGCCAAGCTTCTCCATTGAGGAGATGTATAGACACATAGTGAAGTTTATCATTGCTGACAACCAAGTGAGTACTGTCTACCATTTATGAACTCTCATTAACAACCATCTCTAGCCAATCAGCATTGTTGAGTGTCCCAAGTTCCACCAGCTGCTCTGCCTCTTGTGGCAAGACCTAAAGGAGTCTAATATTCCCCATCATTCAAAATTCTGGCAACTGATTATTGAAGCTTGGCATGAATACTTTACAGCCATCAAACTTGACCTTGCTATAAGTGTACGACTACCAATCACATATAGTGTCTCATATTTTGCAGACTACCCAAAGACAAATTTCATTCACATCTGATATCCGGTCCGATTCTAAGCTTCGTCCCTTCCTTGCCTTGACTGTGCATTGGGTTGCAAAAGAAAGCAAGAATGTGACACTTGTTTTGAAAGCCACTCTAATTGCTTTTCATCATATCCCTGGTAGTCATACCGGAAAGGCACTTGGTTCAATAATATTGAAGCTGATTATTGCACTGAAGTGAAACATAATGTCAGTGTCTCTTTGTACTTCATCACATGCTCTAACTTCATGTAGATCAGACACTTTACCTTGGACAATGCTAGCAACAACAGGACTGCGATGGATGAACTCTCACATTTATTACAGCACAATGGGGTTGAATTTGACATGGTCAATCACTGAATCCCATGTTTTCCTCATATAGTGAATATATGTGTCCAACACATCCTTGATGAATATTCTACTGTAGACTTTTCACATTTGGCTGACACATTTGTAGCTGGCCCTTACACTGTCAAGAAGGTGGAGTACATTGAGACTCTGCAAAGCAAAGTGATTGATCAGGCCAGAATGTCATATCCCACAATCCAGACTCACATTCCATAATATTCCCACACCTTCCAAGCCTATGTCTGGACCCCATATCTGACTCATTGCCAGATCCCCTTCCACTGTGTGCTCCACACCTCAGTAGGATCAACTCCATTCTGGATTTACCCCTGAGCTCTGGACCTCCAGATCCTCACTACTAGCCTGATCCATACCACCCTATCCTGTCCACCCTATGCTCACTCCATCCAGCAAGACATCTGAACTTCACCTCATCTCAGATTCAGGACTATATCCACCTCATCATATCCCAGTCCTATATCCACCTCACCTTCCAGATCCTCAGATCTTCAGACCTCTGGATATATTCCCACCCTCTGTCTAATATCCTGCACCTATCCCCATTTAGACATCTCTGCCTTTCCAGCTTTCAGTTACCTCTCATTCCATCTTGCTGATTGATCCTTGTATGAGTCTTCATCTCCGAGTTCATTTACTTATGTGCCGTCTTACTTACTAATGTGTTTCCACATGCTCGTACATAGCCCTGCTCCTTTGCTTACTGATCCCCTCAGATATTCTCCAGTATATAACCCCTGTAGATACTCCTATAGTTCCTCAGTTCAAATATCATCCTAGACTTTGCTCTACTTGCCCAATCCTCTCTCAGACTTTGGTCCACCTAAGTCTGTCCTATCCATCAGGCCTAGGGATTGATTCCCTAGGCTGGAGCTTTGCCTTTCCAGCACTTACCCTCTTTCTGGACTTAGGTCCAATCCCTGTTCTCTCCAACTCTACCTTAGGGTAGTCTACCTCTGTTTGTTTCTACATTGGACTTCATCCGATGTATCCCCTATTCCTTCTAGACCTCTGGGTATCCCTCCTGTCCTCCTGTCCTCCAGACCTTTGGACCTCCTATCCTTCCATCCTGTTTCCTGTAGAAGTATTACCTTGCAGTGGGAACTCTCCTGAGCACTTTCTGCATTCCTCTGGAACTCTCTTGTGCTCCTCCAGAAGTCCTCTAGCACTCCACCAGAGTAGCCAGCCTCTGGAAGTCCTCTGGACTTTGTTGGACCATCATCAGACCTCATATGAAATGAAGGGCCCATACTCGGGTAAGGGGCACAGTGTATGAGCTGAGGCCAAGCCCCTCTGAGTCAGTCTCTCTCTCCCTTGGGCAACATGGTTCTTAACACAGAACAATTGTCTGTGTAATCCAAGCATCAGGCCAGTGCCACAATAGTTTTTGAGCTCCCATTACTTCTGGCAATGCAGAGGGATGGTTCGTAAATGACAAGAATGAGTGTATGGTTCTTCCAATTGTTGAATTGCTATGTGACAAGCCTCCTCATTGGGATTCAATGTACATCATGCTAAACCATTTGAGAATTCTACAACAGGTAACATTTCATCTCATTAATTTTTCACATTGCCTAACACTTCCCTAGGCTATTGACCATTGGATTGATCTTCCTGCTCAATGCAGCATAGTCCAGCATAAGTTGAGCCCCATGGATTGGCAAGTCCTGCAGGATCTCAAGGTTATTCTAGAGGTATGTTTTTATATGTCTGAAATTCATATCATGTTTACTGTTCTACATTAGGCACTGCACCACACTCAACAATGCATGTCTGGTGAAACAAGTCCTCTACTTGGCAGCACCATTCCGGCCTTCAAAGGGTTGATTCAAAGATGGAAGCTTGTGGTGGACCTTGTCCCACATTGTGCACCTTTGGTTGATATAGGTTTAACTTGGGCAGCTAAGTATGATGACTGACTGTGCCTCACAGGAGCGTATGCTGTCACAATGTGTGAGTCCCATGTGTTTTTATGAAGGCGAATCCTCATGTTGTGCACAGTCATCAATCCCACAAGACATATGACATGGATGAATGAAAATTGGTCAGCCCCACGGATCACAGAGGCTAAAGAGTATATTCTCAAACTGGTACATCTTCCTGATGGTAATAACAGCAAAATGTGGGCTGATATGTCCCACAGATGCAGAACAAGAGAGCGACAAATGTCTCCACACCGTCCAATCAGTCAATTGATCAGCCATGTCCTGCAACATTAGGCTTGATGATCTATGGACTTCCTGAGATAAATATACTACCGCATCACCAGGGTGGCCCTCAATTGGTTGAAAATGAGTTCAATGCTTATAGTATGGGTGTCCTTAGCCCCACAGGTACAGATATACTATCTTTTTGGACAGTAAGATCCTTTGTCTCTGTAACAGGTTTTATTGATGACAAGGCATCAATGGTGGGCTAGGTTTTGAAACCAATGTTTCCAACACTCTACAAACTCACAATGGACTTTCTGCCAATTCAAGCCTCTGCCATTCCATGTGAGTGTGTATTCTCCTCCAGAAGTGACACATTTACCAAGAAGTGCAATCATCTCAGCCCATACTTGATGAAAGTCCTACAGATTGTCAAGTTCTCACTGAAAAAAGACTGACTTCACTTTACCAAGGGTTGGGCAGCATCCCAGAACAACATGGAGTATCACTTGATGTGTGTCACAGGCTCTTCGAGCTATGAAGATCTCTTGACATCTGGCTCTGATGATCTACTGACATCTGCCGTCAGTGGAACTACTTCCAGCAGTCAGAATTACAAGGCCCTTCTCAGAGTCATCACAGAGGATGAATGTGACAATGTTCTAGATGATATTCCAGACTTGTCTCTTCTTGTCTCATAATTCTTGCCTGTTTACTGCTACTTTTACTATGCCTGTCATCCTATTCATGCCACTGCTGCATTTGTCATTAAACTGACCTTTGACTAGTGATTTATTTATTCTCTCAGCTTTCTCACCATGACTCACTGGATGCCGACCCACTTGACTCTGCATTCGTCACTCCTTCATAGCTCAACTGATGTATTTGTCATGAAGCTTGTGTCCTTCACATGATCACTCCAAACAGCTGATGTTCCCATGATGATTATTGAACATGTACAGTTTACTGACTTCCATTCTGTTCATTAGAGCATACCATGCACCTGGCACCTGCAAACATGCCCTGGTGGATATTCGGATGAACACACATGAGCAGCACCTCCATATTCACCATTCATAGGTTGTGAGTGTGTTGATTGTCCTTCAAGCTCGAGCATTGCTGATCGACATTGTTTCCCATGGTTCACAGGTTTGATCATCCTTCAAGTGCAAGCATTGCTTATCAACATTGTTCCCCATCATTTGCAGCTTGTGAATGGAACAATTGTATTTCAAGCTCAAATGTTGCTGATTGATGTTGTTCCCCACTGTTTGTAGCATATCTCCTTTGATCAAGCTTGAGCCATGCTCATTTCATTTGCAGTGTGTGGTATTAATGGTACATTGCATCTGAATAGACAATCACTCAATTGCACAAATGCTAATCTTAACATGCATAGATTCCTACACTTCAAGGCCCTCACTTTCACTCCTGCCCTTTGTCATCCAACACCTTCACTCAACACTGCCACTTCTACTCCTGCCCTTCGCGATCCACACCTTCTGCACCCAACACCACCACCTCAATCTCCATGTTACAACTCTCTCCCTTCTTTCAGTTCCCCTTTTGGCTCTCCTTCGAGCTCTTTGCCTCAATGCACTTTCCTCTTGCAATTTTCATGCATGAGCAGCACTACAATATTGCTAAGGTTCTTTAGTTTTTGATTAAAAACTAACAAATCACTCACATCATCTTGGGGTGCCATTAGCACTAGTCTGATTATAGATCAGTGTGTTGGGAGTTCATGTAGTTGACAGAACTTTCCTTTTTGGCCTCAAGTGCTTGATCTTTTATTATTTCCAATTTATTTTTAACTTGCAATTTGTATATATATTTGAGCCAGTTTTAAGCCCTGAATTGACTTAATGGTAGTTAATTGAGTCGAGTTGGACCATATATTATGTAAACCAAAGTCATGTGTGAGTTCAGTTATGCATGGTTTTAGCCACAGCTAAAACTGGCAATAAGCTGGAGCCACAGTAACACTAACCCAAAGTAGACTTACCTACCAGCAAATCCTCAATAGGGTGACTTCATGCCACATGGAAAATGCAGTGCAGGACACAGCTGATGCATGAACATTTTTCAGAGGGAATCTCAACCACCCAGATGCACATGGTGCCTTCCAGTACCTTAAATGCGGTCAAACGTACGTCCTCAGCAAGGACAATGCCATCACAAAGAAATGGAAGGAGCTGCTTGACAATGACCCAGCCATTGCAACATGTTTTGCACAAATGCCCTCCATCTTGCCAGTCTGACATTGTTTTTCTCATCTCACAAGTAATTTATCTATTCTTGTCCTCATCACTCTATACCTTACAAACCCAGGCTCATTATTACTAGTACCATATCATCCAGCAGTCCCAGAGCTTTTTGGCCCTTTGAATAAGTTTATATTGCATATTCTACCCTACTCACACTGACTACTTAGTAGCTCCATATTACCTTGCTCACTGATCAAAACCATCCTTCTTTGGCACCCTCCATCTTGCTCATTCAGATGAGGCAGTCCTTGTTGAAATACTCCTTGACCGTGGTGTTCTCAGCTCACTCAAATCATGAAGCAGTCCTCCTTAAAGTCCTCCTTGACTGTGGTGTTCTCAGCTCATTTGAATCGTAAGGTGGTCCTCTTTGAAATACTCCTTGGCCATGGTGTTCTCGGCTCATTTGAATTGTGAGGTGGTCCTCCTTGAAGTCTTTCTTGACCATGATATTCTCAGCTCATTCAAGGCAGAAGCAGTCATTGTCATCATCTCTGTTCACAGTACCACCTCACATAATCATCTGTTTCTGAGGGCAGGAGTATGTCAGGAGAGTCAGATAGTGCTATAGCCACTCATAGTGCAAGTCCAGGAGCAGGAATAGAGACAGAACAGAGCACATTATGAATGACTGAGTGTGAATGTGAGTTCCTGCAGGCTAGCAGTCATGTAAGTCTGTAAATTTTGCACACTTGGCATCAGCCACTGCACATGCACCTTGTTCAGACTTGCTGCCAGTTCGAATGGAGAGAATTCAAACACCACAGGTCACAATTGATTGATAATGCTCAATCACTTCAGATCTTGTCCTCTGCCACTGCATCTTGAAAACAGACAACCAAGACAAGGACAAGGGCATCTGCCAGAGAGATGATGACAGGAAGGGTGGTCATACAGTGAGTGGAATTCGCTTGTTATGTATTCCTCTCCACTGATCAAGATGGTTAATTGTGCCTATTATGTAATTTTTGGGCAAATGAGAGGATGAATGGTCAAAGGAAGCTGGCCTTGAGACCGTGTACCATCATGCACTGACAAGATTGATTACCAACAGCATCTATAAGTGCTTGTGATCAGCATTTTGAGGATGTCCACTTGGCAAGACAGAAGAATTAGGAGGAGATTTGGGTGTAGGAGGTAGAAGATGCGATGGCAATGCATCATGCCAGGATGGAGTGAAGGGAAGTGGAAGCAGAATGTGGAAACAAACCAATCAGGAATTGCTGAGCCAAAAGATTGATGATGGATGGTGACATGATGCGGATTAAATGGATTGTGTGATGCGAGAATTCTGGAGTTGTACATTGAAGAAGGACTGCCCTTCTTGGAAAAGTAAGTGAACAACAGATCATTCAAACACCCATCAATATCACAGACATCCAATCCAAACTAGAGCTTAGTGTATGGTATCAAAAAAGGACAGTTCAAAACATAGCTGATGTAGGGATTTCATATTCTGTGGGCTTGTATAGGCAGATATTACTTAGTGTTATGTTCGCACTTTTGGTGCTTATGTAATCATCATAGTTTTCACCATCTACCAGTACCAGTCTGAGACTGAGGAGTTTTTAGCATGATTTCCTATCCTCTCTGAGCACTGAGCTTAGTCCAGAAACCCTTTAGGGTTGAATAGCAGCTAGGCATAGCACATTTAGCCCAACATTAGAAGTCTACTTTCCAGTTCTCTTCTTGTTGTGTTTCCCACACTGAGGAAGGCCACACCAATGGAGTTACAATATTCAGAGGTGTGCGAGAAATAATTGTAGGGGACGAGGAAATCATAGACTAATGATGACCATCCTGGTATTCCGGGGACAGACAACCAATGAAAAGCCAGAAGCGAGTCCAGAGTCCAGTCTGTCTGAGTATTACATCAGGGTGTGAGGGTGTTGAGCTTGCAGCTGTGGTATTAGCACCAACAGCAGGTGTAGTAGATGAATTGGAGACAGCTGGCTGTGGTTGCAAAGATGGCTGGTTCCAAGTTGCTGTGCCAGATTGCTGCATGGTATTGGGCTTTGGAGGCTGTGAGCTGCTTGCAGTAGGGTTCTTCCAGGGTAATAATAGTCTTTTCCATTTATCCCTTGCACAAGCATTTCTCTATGTGACATTAGGTGGAATTAAGCTGAGAAGAGAAATAACATACACATTTGCCCTGCACATATGGGACCTCAATAACTGTGGGGCTGCGCCCTTGCAACTCAGTGCCTTTACTACTTTGTCTGTGCAGTCTCAAAAGGTTTTGAGCCCAGTTGAGTGGAGAAGATGGTGATGTATCATGGGTATCAGAGGGGCTGTGGTGGAACAAGTGGGCAAGAAATGTGCCGCCTGGATGTGCTGAGGAGTGGGGATGGCTTTGTGCTGAGGACTGAAACCGTGGAGGTCAGGATAATACTCAAAGTGATAATGATGGCATACATGAGAACGATCTGGTGGGACTCCAGCAAAGAAACCTTAGTGGGTGAGTGTTCAATGATAGCAAGATAGGCAGGCTTAGACATGGCAATCATCAGCAAAGGGAAATGAGGGATAGTAAAGCTTTGGAGATGTATATCCATGTCCAGTGGCCTCGAGCTACAAAATATCATAATGTTAATTATGAACTGCAAAATATACCTAGGTGAGAAGTTGAAAATTGCATGTGATGGTGCCCCATCCATTTGCTGAGATCTCTAGCATGAGTGAGTGAGACACCACAGGCAATGATGCGAGTCTCAATCTCTGTTTGTGCAGAAACATAGCGGGTCCTGGATATCACCACTTCATATGTCAGACTGACTTCTCCACCTACAAGTTGGATTTCATCAGCAATCAATAGACCGATGTTCTGCACACTCTTGCACTGTCACCATCTTCGAGACAGGATATCCCACTAGAAATATTGGTTTAGTGAGATATTTGCAATGTGATTAATGGAACTAACCTGGGATGGGGTGCAAACAACAACATCCCTCTTCTCAAGAAGTTGAAGGTCAGTGCTGGTGTCTCCTGTGAGGCTTACTATCTCTTTGCCGCCTTGCAGGCTGCTGAACTTCCAATACCACTCTGCAACATGTTGGTCAATCATCTCCTGGTAGGGCTCAATACAGACCACCCTGGGCTGCTCACGTTTGCTCCAAAGGCAAAGTAGAGTAAATTTGGCACATATAGTCTTGCCGCTTCCAGTAGGTGCACCAATAAAGACATTCTCATCAGATGTGTAGAGAGCCTGGAAGACCTGCATCTGGATCTTGAAGAAATTGATACATCTATTCTGCCACCAGTGGTGATTTGCTCCTGAACACTCCATGTTGTTGTGGGACACATCGAAGCATTCCTGAATTCATCCTTGTTGTATCAGGTGCAATTGGTTTGCATGCATTCATCTCCTTGTATTTCTGCCTCCAAAACAAAATAAATCAAGCACAAGTTCAATAAGCTTGGGTTTGATCCCACAGGCTCAGTTTACATCCATCCACCTACATCAAAGGAGTAGAGCAAAAGCTGCAGAATCACTTTTATTTATCCAGCATAGCACTTGCAACAGCTGAACCGACTTTGCCAGCCAAATCATCCATCTTGAAGTACTCTGTGGTTCCCATGAGTGTCATAATGCCCACCACATGATCTAAGATGAATGAATAGTTGAGCGTTATGCTGAAGGCCAGTGTGACAATCATATTGACTCTAGCCTGCAAATGGTAGTTTTTACTATACTTCTCTTGTTGTTACTTTCCTTAGGTTATGTTCGCATTTTTACTGCTTATATAATCATTTTCCCTTTACCTAGGACTCTACAGTCACTACTCAGTTTCCCCTTGTCTCCAGTTCTTGGTTGCTCCCCATTCACTTGGGTTATTTAGTAGCATCCCCTAGTTGTAGCTTCCCAGCTCACCAGATAGCTCCTGGAACATAGTTTTCTGTCCTTGGCCTGGAGTGTCTCCCTTTCACTCATTTTATCTCTTGAGCTTGAGCCTAGTCCATTGATTCCCTTGGGTTGAATGTTCTTGCTTGCAGGTGTAGCAGCTAGGCAGAGCTTTGACCATTATACTGGCTGAGTACTTTTACCAAGTGCCCAGTCAGGTTGTGTCTTTCACACTGGAGCTAAAACTTTTCTTTCAGTGTTATATCCCAGCAAAGGGCCCATCCAACCACAATAAGAATATGTTGGTGCAGATGGAGGCAAGTCCCCAGGCCGACTGGAGGCAGAGGAGGTCATTGTTGAGTATATAGCCGGATGACTGTACAAATCATCATTGGCGACATATAGCACTATGGATTTGGAAAAATAGAAGCCTGGTTTCAGGGAGCATCACAAATAAAAAGATACAAGCTTACCTTTGCCTCCTTGTGATGTCCTTATGGCTGGGTGATGCAAATGTGTCCACAAGACCTGCAAATGGCTATCAGGCGTGAGACATGTCACACAGATCTGGCTCACAGTGCTATGAGGAGTAACAAAGTGCAAGTCTCTAGTGTAAGTACTAGTGACAACATCTGATTATTGATAAGATGCTGAAAAAGTGACATGCACTCTGAGACAAGTTGATGCTCATGATGGAGGACAGCCAGTTAAAATTGTTTATCATTTATTTGTAGGGAATTTGTTGCGCCCATCATCTGCATCACCATCAATTGCTCAAGTGACTCTTTTTCAATCATTCCTAAATGCCTTGTGTAAAATCATATCTAGTGACTCTGCTATGATAAGTGCAACAAGATAAATACGTTACATATTCGCTTTAACAATGACCAATTGGTCATTGGGATCATTGCCAGCAGTGGAAGTGAACCCAGTGCTGCAAGCCTTCTTGCCCAGGTGAACTGGGGTGGTTGCTAGAATGTTATATCAAATAGATATTCACACAGATGGACAAGTGGTAAATAACCTGTAGGAGCACTTGGACACTTTAAAGAAGCCCCAGCAGTCTGCACAATGTACTTGGGAGCTGATTGACTAGTAGTTGTTGTATCTTGCCCTTGAAGGGCAGTTTGTATTCGAGCTGTGGAATGATGGTTAGCCTCAGTAAACACTTCTCACAGTCAATTAACGCACTACTTCGGTCAGTGTGATTGATGGATTGGACGTTTGCTGTACCCACAAAAGGAACAATAACATTGGTATTGATATTTCAACAAGGTTCTTGCCATGCTGCAACCTGGAACATTCTATTTGTCTCATCCCCACTGGCTGTGTTGCCCCCATCCTCACCTTTCTTGCCTAGTGTAGTCAGGCATGCTACCATTTCACTGGGGGGGAAACTGTCACCTGAATTGTCATCTAACACATGTTCACCCATTTGGGACTCGCACCTCACAGGCGCCCCTACTTCAGTGTGATCAGCAGATATATTGCCCTCCCCCAATGCTTGAAAGCGATCATCATTAGCTGGAGATGCATGAGCTACAGACTTGATGGTGTCTGTGGCGGATGCTTATTCACCTCCCTGGCCTCCTAGGGCTGATTGTTATATTTGCTGAATAACTGTTACAAACTAGGGTAGTTCTAATGACAGACAACTTGATAAGAGTCAGGACCTCTGCCAAGATTCTATGCAAGACAATAAGTCAAGTGTTCAATATAAGCTAAGTCAGAAGGAGTGCTTCTAACTTAAAGTACAATTCAGATGACAAGAGATTGGAGGTCTCAAGCAAAGGATATTCCAGGTAAAACCTAGTAAGATTAAAGTAAAGAACTACTAAGTACATCATTGACTATATGTAGGGAACTGTAGACAATTCAGGGCAGGCATAAGTCAATTGATGAGTCAGAGATAAGAGAGATGAGTCAGAGATAAGAGCTGAGTCATCTAGTGACGGCAGTAGTGGTCGTGATGTAATACAGATAGATGAGTCAGAGATGAGTCTAGCAGCGGCATTGTGTGGCTCATGACATAATACAAGGATAGTAAGGAGAAAATGAAATAGGGGCATATGTGACTGTAACAATAACAACAAGTTCTTGATTTTGAATATATCAATGTAAGCCACACTGATCCTGCACTTTGAAAACACTGCATCTATCCTCTGAGTGTTTTGTGCTCGGTCAGTCGTTCGCTCCTTCACTTGGACAGGGTGCTTGTTCATCTTTCCACGCAACTCATCCACCTGGAATCCATGACTCCTTAGCTGCCAGTGCATCAAGTTAATCATGTATACATATGGTGAGTGTCTCCTCATCTCCAGATGTGTCACAATTGCAATGTGCCATGTTGATTGCAGTTGCAGGCTGTTGTAGGGAGCAGTGTTGTTCCTGACCCAGGATATAACTGATGGCAACAATGTGTCCTACTTCGAATTAACTGTGAAATAGCTGGTTAGATGATAGAATGCAGTGGGCAGCTGCTACTCATAAACATACATAGACAGTATTTAGGTAGATATCAATATAACAAGAAAATATGTGCCTCTCTGTTGGCTTTAGAGAGCCCATTCCCTCCCATCCCAGTAAGATGCAAAGATGGTTCCTGCTTCCTTTTTTTGTTCTTATCTTTGTTGCCCCCGTCATTGTGGCTCCTGGTTCATTAATCAAAGTGTCTCACCTAGTGTAGGGGGAGTCTCATGGAATAAGGGAATGCCCATAGTGTTACCGGATGTGTCTTTGTGGACAAACCATGGCCTTCTTCCAATGACACACTATATATGTTCATTAAGGTGGTTCAGGAAATGAGCTTCCCTCCCTTACCAAACATACATTGGTGATGAAATGCATTTCATTCATGACCCATATTAATATTCTGACACCCAGTGCTGCCTAGCCCCATACAGGACTGTGCAAGATGCTGGGAAAAGTACGATCTATGGGCATTTCAAATCAGTGCATTTTGTGCCTTTGCAAAGAAGAGCTATAGTCATAGTGCAACATTTGCACAGCAGGATTAAGCATATTTGGAAGGTGCAAAGCGAGTGAGACCAGCCAAACAGGAAAGGGACAACAATGGGCCTGGTCCTGTGACATTGCCAAACTCATTGAGCATTTGGGTCAGATAGCATGAGCAATGCAGAATATGAAGCACTTATTCAGAGTCACCAGGAGAATGCAAGAGTGACAACAATACCCAGCAGAGGACAAGGAGGGTGTCAATACAGATATATTGTCCATCTAAGAGCTAGATTCATACCAGCCTAAGATAATGTTGCATGAGAAATGCGTCACATCTCTTTGAGGATTGAGCTTGTGTCTCTGTTTGACAGGGAGTACCAGAATTTTGGAAAGTGCGGCATCAACTAGACAATCATCTTCAGTGAGTATCCCTATTCCAGCTGGAGTATCGATCACCATCAAATTTTCTGGATTGGAGATGATATGTGCTTGCTAAATTATTATAACTGGAACTTGACTGGCGCCCCCCTGAGGTGCCCATGTTTGACTCAACTCACTTGCAAAGTATCAACTTTGCACAATGTTCTAGGCCTGCTGTGACTACTGCTGTGACCTTCCAATTAGTAATTGCCGTGAG